CACTTATATGGAAACCATAACAGGACAGGGAACCAGAATAAACGGAAGCAGTGTATAAAATACCAAATGACAATTTTAAAACGGAAAATGTAAAATAAAAATGAATGATTATTTCAAACTATTTCACGGTAAAAGAAAAACCGAGCTAGCTTTGAGGCTTTTCCTTTTTCATATTAATCGTTCCTAAAGTTCTTATCAATGAAATGCATGTTTATTTTCTGATTTTGAACATCATTCTTTCACCGGAAGTGTTATTCTGCTAGCAATAGTCTGAATTATGTAGACACTCATTAAAAGCACTTTTATATCTATATTTAGCTCAAAGGGATTTCAAAATGGCGGCACCCAGTTAACTAAGGAATTAGGTTTAGGATATATATTTTTTTGAAATTTTCATTTACTTTTAATTTGATAACATTTGAATTGATAAGCGTCATACATGTTATCTAAGAGCTCTACAGCCCTCGTTTGGCCTTCGACCCTGCTGGGACTTTCTGCATATAAAATACAGAATGACATTTTTAAAACGAAAACTGTTAAATTTATGAAAATGAATGATTATTTTTTACTATTTTAAATTTCAACGATAAAAGTAAATCGAGCTCAATTTGAGGCTTTGCCTTTTTCATATTAAATCTTGTTGAAGTAACAACTGATTATTTTGAGAATATGTCTTCCTGTTTTGTTCATTCATGTAGTATTTCAGGCCGGAAAATCATCAAGGATGCTAAGCTGAGCTTCTTAGGCTGTTTTTGAAGTGTTTTCCCTTCTTGTAATATAATATACATTCACTTCTTTTGTGACTATTTCCAATGTTATTGAGAATGTTTAGCTCTATATCCTCAATTAGTTATATACACTATATCAGTTTCTTTACAACTTATATTCCATTTTATTTACATATAAAATATCTTTTAAAAACTACTATACGTGTTTCTGTTAATTTATTGTTTACATAAATTATTATTATAACTTCACTGGGTTTTGTAACATTTTGCATGAAACTTATTCTGGCCGTTCCACAATTTATTCCTGTATAATGTGCTATCATCAGTAAAATTAATAATTTACATCATACATGTTAGTCCTATGAATATGACGTCACTTTGAGATATTTTTGCTTCTGGGCAAAGCAACGTGTTATCGAAATTGCTCATAAACCCATAGCATGTTCCGCCAGAAAATCGGGCGGAACGAAAAACAATTAAGACAGCATGTATTTACATTAGTTTTGACCTATTTATGAACAAAACTAAAAAATAAATACCTTTTGTCAAAATAATTAAACTGTCACATCCGAAAAATCATTATTAAATCCTCTCATGTATTTAAATTCCTTTTACAGCCGATAAACAAATTGCGGCCATACAGTGTATGATTTAGCATGAAATTGAAAGAAAAGAAGAAAAACCTTAAAAGGCAAGACAATAGACATTTTTTGAATTTTTTATGATGCTATGCGTTTTTGAGCAATAACTATTAGATGTCAGACTTGACCGACATAAACTATAATAAGCCTGTAACGTCTAATATATTGGATATTGGACTACATACATCATGTACAAGTATGTATTGTAGATCACAGGGAAATCTGTCAATATTTTATAAAATCTATATATATAATAATATAAACAAGGGATAGAAGTCGTGGCCTCGCACTACCAGCACGGGTTCCTAAAATGCATTCACACGTGTAAACTGTATAAAATATCCTCTATTCCATCAAAGTTATTGTAGAAGTTAATATATGAACGAGTCATTACCCAAGTTCTACTACAAACACTTCATTAAAACCTGTAACATTGCAGGAAATAGCTAACATTTCAATATTTACATTGGCTGTCAAGTTGTCGTCCATTTTGCAGGTGTGTTTATGTTCCGAGTATTTTCATTGGCTGATAAAAAAACGCTATTTGTCGCAGCTATATGCCGTTATTATCCGGATTATTATTATTCATTAGCCGATGAATTTGACAGTTACTAACAGAAGTTGGATTTACGCATGGAACATACGGACAACATCAAAATGGAAGCCGAGGATAGAAATTATCAAAACAAACAAAAATTGTTACAATAATTTGTACCAGAAGTTAATGATTGCATCATTGATGGTGGTGGATGATTGATATTTAACCGATTACATGATTAAACTTTCTTATATGAGCATACATTTGCATTAGATATCGTTTTACACGTGTAATTTAACAAACCTAAATTTTACGAACGTGTGTAAAAATGAAACATGAAAAGTTATTTTCTATAATATCTTGTCAATGTAACAAAGTGTGTCATTTTTTTTGAAATTACCGATTCTTTCATCAATGTCAAACAATCAAAAGAAAAAAGACTGTTGTATACTGCATTATAGCCAGCTCGACGAGCAAAGCGAGCTTTACTGTAACGCGAGTACCTGCTAAGTGATGGTTTTGAAAACTTTCGTCCGAAGTACCGAATTGGACACATCGCAACCTTTTGAATTTAAAGATAACGATAAAAACTGAGGAATTCTGACTGAAAACGGATGTGTAGACTGGTCACCCGTGCACGTCTATGGGAACCATAATTGGACAGGGAACCAGAATAACGGAATGTGCATAAAATATTGAATGACAGTTTTAAAACGGAAAATGTAAAATGAAAATTGAAGGCGCCATTTTGTTTGAAAAATCTGATAAATAAAAACAATTTTTTGTCGAATTTTGTTGTGAAAACTATCTAGAATGAAAGAAAATGGTCTAACTAAGAAAATGAATCCGAACACCAATATCTTTTATTCAGTCGTTAACGCTGTACAGACGTTTAAAGTATTGTTTACGTGACGTCACAATGTAGCGCCAAACAGCACGTGCAAAACAAACAAATCAAGTACGCTATTTTAATGTCGCAAACGTTTTAAGTTTTACATTTATTTCACTTTTAATACGGGGAAGTCAAAGACTGGGCCTGCGAATGACACCTTTAAAACGGAAAGAATGAAAGGATTTTTTTTTAACGACTTCCCCGTTTATAGGCTTTGCCTAATTTCATATTAATCTTTATTTCGCTTGAAAAATTATAGAGTGAAATAAAATAAACAAAGTTTTATCAACGTTTTCAAAACTCGTTATTCATTTAACAACAGGGGCGGAGCCATATTTACACGTACTGTGTGATGTCACACGCACTCGTCACTGCGTTTGAAATAAAAATGAGCGATTATTTCATACGGGGAAGTCAAAGTCCGGGTCCGCGAAGCAGGCCCGGGCTTTGGCTTGCCCGGCTATAGACTACACGTGTATATTTAAAAGAAAATCAAATAAAAAAAAACAATTAAAAAATATATAAAATTCTATACCTATCAAGGAAATTTTCAGTGTCAGTTCTAGTTAGGCGCTGCCATTTACAATGTAACTCAATGATAACGGAACAAATCTCAACTTTTCGGATTAATAATAATCGTCGAGTGTTCCGAGTGAAAACGGAAGCGGGTATATATAATACCGAATGACACATTTAAAACGGAAAAAATGAAAGGATTTTTTACCGACTTCCCGCCTAATTTCATACTACTATTTCACATTAAAAGTACATCGAGCTCGCTTTGAGGCTTTGCCTTTTTCATATTATTTACTTTTTCATGAATTGAGCAATTTTGAGTTGTATCCCTTGTTATACGGGGAAGTCAAAGACCGGGCCCGCAAAGCGGGTCCGGGCTTTGGCTTGCCCGGCTATAGACTACACGTGTACATTTAAAAGAAAATCAAATAAAAAACAATTAAAAAATATATAGAATTCTAAACCTATCAATGAAATTTTCAGTGTCAGTTCTAGTCGGGCGCCGCCATTTACAATGTAACTCAAAGATAATAGGCGGGGTATTCCGATAACGGAACAAATCTCAACTTTTCGGATAAATGATAATCGTCGAGTGTTCCGAGTGAAAACGGAAGAGGTGCATGTAATACCGAATGACACCTTTAAAACGGAAAGAATGAAAGGAATTTTTAACGACTTCCCCGTTCATAGGCATTGCCTAATTTCATATTATTATAGCGAGCTCGACGAGCTGGCCCGAAGGGCCTGCTCGCAAAGCGAGCTTTACGGTAACGCGAGTACCTGCTAAGTGGTGGTTTTGAAAACTTTCGTCCAAAGTACCTAATTGGACACATCGCAACCTTTCGAATTTAAAGATAACGATAAAAACTGAGGAATTCTGACTGAAAACGGATGTGTAGACTGGTCACCCGCGCACGTTTATGGGTACCACAATTGGGCAGGGAACCAGAATAACGGAAGCTGTGTATAAAAAATGAAAATCGAAGGCGCCATTTTGTTTGAAATCTGATAAAAACAATTTTTGTCGAATTTTGTTGTGAAAACTATCTAGAATGAAAGAAAGTGGTCTAACTAAGAAAATGAATCCGAACACCAATATCTTTTATTCAGTCGTTAACGCTGTACAGACGTTTAAAATATTGTTTACGTGACGTCACAATGTAGCGCCAAACAGCACGTGCAAAACAAACAAATCAAGTACGCTATTTGAATGTCGTAAACGTTATAAGTTTTACATTTATTTTACTTTAGATAATCTTTATTTCGCTTGAAAAAATATACAGTAGAGTGAAATAAAATAAACAAAGTTTTATCAACGTTTTCAAAACTCGTTATTCATTTCACGACAGGGGCGGAGCCATATTTAACACAGTACGTATGACGTTACACGCACTCGTTACTGCATTTGAATTAAAAATGAGCGATTATTTCATACTATTTCACGTAAAAAGTACATCGAGCTCGCTTTGAGGCCTTGCCTTTTTCATATTATACATAGTGGGAAAGGGAAAAAATGACAGAATCCCCTGTGGCTGTGTTGTAGATTGAAGCTATTAAAAGTGAGCAACAGCTGAGTTCTCAATAAAACTAAAGTGAAAATATCAATAATTTAAACAAATATCAGGGAAGTGACATATATTAATGTTTTTCACCAATTAAATCTTTTGACATAAGTTAAAACTTACCTAAATTATTTACTTGAAATCTTTCTAATTTTTCTGGACAACAGGAGTCATTTTTATGAATATCTATTTTAATGGCAACACCGCTTATGGCTATCTGCACGGGATCGCCTATAGAAAAGCCGGGACCCGGGATCGTATTAAACATATAGTAATCCCGGGAATTGACCACCTACTCTCGGTGTATTATTGTTGTTATTATTATTATTATTATTATTATTATTATTATTATTATTATTATTATTATTATTATTATTATTATTATTATCATCATTTGAATGTTTTTGTAGAGATTTCTGAATAAGTTTGATTTGTAGTAGTAGGAAATTGACCAGTCTAAGAAGATATTTTTCAGATAAGCCGGGATCGTATTAAAACATATAGGGATCCCGGGAATTGACCAGTTCAAGAATATAGTTTTCAGAAAAGCCGGGATCGTATTGAAACATATATGTTATCTAAACATATTTATATCCTAAGTTAAATTAATTTAACGTTCATTACATACAATAAAAAATAAAAACTTAATGTTTAATCGCCTTTCATTACGGCATTTATCAACATTAGTTTTCCCTCTATATCTAATACGATCCCGGATCCCGGGCGTCCCGAATCCCGGGATTTTCCCCCCACCAAGACTTATTCCAGTTCAAGTTTCAGATATTCGACTGGTCATCTTGTCTAGCAAATTTAACTGTTCTGTTGCTGATATTTTTTTATTTATTTTTTGATATCGATATCATCATAAACATGTCATATGTTTGAGTATTTTTAATATTATTGAATAGATATAGATTGAAAAATTTAAGCATCGATCTAGATAAATATGTATGACTGCGGATGTTTTTGAAATGAAAAATTTCAACATTTATTTGTTTAAATATGTTGATATATGCTTAAGCCGGTGCTAGGGGTGTGGACGATGAAAGTTATTCTTAGCCTTTTATAACTAACCTGGTATGCATATATCAATTTCGGTATGTTAATTTATTACAATACTTTGTTTGTTTGTTTCATTTTACGCCTTTTCCCAACAGTATTTCACTTTCAGTCATATAGTCGAGTAGTTTCCTAACCATCGTTCCTTGAGAGTTACACCAGTACTAGACTACCTTCCCCCGCGCTAAACTACCAAAGCATCTCCCGGGGATCGAACCCACGCCAGAGAGGCAACTGGATTAGAAGTCATCGACTCTAGCCCCTCGACCACGGAGGCGGTTATATTACAATACTGTAATTGTGAAATCCAAATGTATATTTTGTATTATGAAATACATATAAATTGTTGACATTGTATATTTGAAATAATTTTTTTTTTAATCTTATATTTGTTTTTTTTTATTATTTTTACAAAGGTTCTTAATGGTACCAGATTAAAAACTGAAACATCATTCAGTGTCGCTTTAAACAAAATCTCGCCAATTAAAAATGTAAAAAAGTGAAAATTTAAAACTTTTAACATAATATAATTGATTAATTTATTGACAATGCGACCAACATAGACATTAGACAGAGTGACAATTAATTTGGGACTGCTGCATGTGTTGCTTAGAATGTAATATGTCCAATTAATTCATTCCTCTCGGGTAAAATGAATATGTGTACAAATCTTTAGATGTGTGTCTTTATGTGTTTTTGACGTTCTCTAAGGATTACGTTTTTCTCTATTCTATAGCTATGGTAGCATATCATTGTCTTGTTATCAGATGGAATAAGTAAACTTTTAGGATAAATAGCAGCATGGTGATAATTTATTTTATTGAACATTTTAAACGGGCACTTATTCTTTCGTCATTTTGATGCAAAACGGTATTGTAAATAAGGCTACAAGATACAAGATACAAGAAACTTTATTTTAAGTCGGTTTACATATTACAAGAAACATTAGCTAATAAGCTATTTACCGACAATAACAAAGGCATAAAACATATTTACTAACATATATAACAGTTCTGAAAATAAAAACATATAAACTATTAGCAGCTTAAGCATGAAATAAGAGTATCAAGGTTAAGAAGAACTTTACAATAAGATGGTAAATTAAGGCATAGATTGGTGACATGCACAGTACATATTGTATTAAAGGTAATAACAGTTTCTAAAAGTAATAAATGACTGTAGTCTAGAAGTTTAAGTATGATACATATAGCAATGTGAACAAAAAATTGTAAACGTTTACACAATTGCTAAGAACCGAAACGATACCGTTTAAACGGTGGTACCTCTATGTTCTATACACCATATATTTGAGTCGCCAAATGATGTCTTTCTTTCTATTTTTAATACATGTACAAATAAAGAATGTGCAGTGCTCATCACGATTGAGTCAGCACACATTTTTTGCATTATAACCCCATTTTTACCAAAAATGTTTTATGTCACCAGCAATTTTGCACGGCAATGCTGTGTTGAGGGTTGTAAACACCCATTTTCCGTTTGTTTACATTGGAATAAACCACTGGAATTGATAAAATCCATGATTACAGCCATACAGGCAATGATTAAGAAATTTAATGTAAGACAATATGGTCATTTTCGATTAAACGGTAAACAATATTGTAAACGTTTATGAATGAAAACCGAAACGAATCCGTTTAAACGTGTAATCGTGAGGGCCCTAATTGTAAAAACCCCAAAATTGATTGATTTTTATCACTGTCATTAAGAGCTGGTTGCTGAAACTCCAATCTCAAGATAGGCAAACCCTGATCTCATTTATCCTAAAAGAAACGTAACACGAATATACAGACATTATCACAATCATGTTGCAGAAATTACTATTTACTAATTCTGTTCCATCTGACTAGACCAATGTCTATGTATGTACCATTTACCAGAACCTGATTATTGCCCTATATACTAAACTTTCTCGTCGAACCCTTGTCATATTGTCGCTCCCCACCTATCCACAGATAAGTACTCATAATATCTTTTTGATATTTAACATTGATTTACAGATAAATAACTATGCGAAAAACAACTAATCGAATGAACAGATTCCCTGGTCAGCAACACTTTAGCAGGTAAACAAATAAATCTTAATTTCCCTTGTAAAAACTTAAATTTTAGAAAATGGTGTGTAAACATAAATTCGCAATTTGAAACGTTTCTTCCTAATTGGTCGGAGTCCAAAGATTGTGTTGGACAATGTACACACAACTGAAGTTCCTGTCACCGAGGGTATATCTATTCTTATTTGTATCAACGAACTTCCTTCTTCAGATTTCCAAGTCCCAATTTCGTTCCTTTGCAGATGACACTGTGGTCTTCATTAGCATTAACTCTTCCTCAGACGCGTAAAATATGATAAACAAGATCAACAAGGAAAGTTTAATGAATGCAACCCCACCAGCGACAAGGAGCCCAGGGTGACCCCAAACAAAAACAAGGCACGGCGCAAGGGAGAGCACAGACGGGCTTATCACTAAAATGATACATACATTGTAAAAAAAATATAGTAACCGACAAGGAAATCAAAATATAAGAAAACAAATAAATGATTGGTTAATACCCCCTTAGCAAAAAGGTACAGGGGAAGGGGATAGGAATTTCGGGGAAGGGGAGGTGGGGCGAATTAAAGAAACAAACATTGGGCAAAAGGGAAGATACTTACTCTAGACGAGAAAACAACAAGGGACAAACATAGAAGTGTCACCAAAACAGTATGAAACTACAAGCATACAAGCGTAAGCCTTGCAAGAGGATCTCAAAAAATGTAAATATGAGGTAAAGAGTGGGACATGGGTTTCAATCTCTTAAAATGCCAAGTCCTTTATATTACGAAAAATAAAAAATAGAGAAAATAAGAATCCCTATTACAGAAGAAGTCATATACATCAAGTATTTTTTATTAGACGTTATAAACTAAGAATAGATTGGCCAAGAGCTATCCACAAATTGAAGTTACAATACACAAACAAGCAGAACCCTAATAATTATCGAAAGAAATATTTACACAAAAATGGGCTTCTAAATCCTTAGCCCGACTTCTGTCGGTGTAGGCATCCACCGTATTGAACAATAAACACAATCAAACATAAAAAAGAAATTGTTCAAAGACGAGTGGCATGCTTGGTGATATACGATTATTTCCAAATTGACATCGATAACAGTTATGCAGGAAGATCTTCGCTGGTGCTTTTTTTAACATTGTAGGCTGGACTTAAAAATCTGGAAACAAAGTGATCCCTCACAAGCATTAATCACAGCACAATTACATGAAAATTGCAGACTCTGTTTGATTTAGACTTTTTTTTTTCAAAATCTACCATAACTTAGAAGCCACCTACCTCTCATCAAACATTAAAACTCCATTAAGGCTTTCAGAGGTTATGAAGTCTTTATATCACAGATAAGACGTCAAAAGACTTATTTAAAAACAGGCACCATATCCTAAGGGTGATTATTCAGCATTTAAGTAGGAAAAACACGAGAATAAAATCAACAAGGCAAAGGCAAAGTTCAAAGGACGCAGTCCCCGATACACCCAAGCTACCAAAGAAGGGTCAGAAGACACCACCAATACTAGAAACACCAAATTGAGTTTTAGGTAAAAATCTGGAAACAAAGTGATCCCTCGGAAGCATTAATTACAACAAATTACAAGAGAATTGCAGACTCGGTTTGATTGATTATGTACATGAAAATCCTGTAAGAGGACACAACAGACGTTTCAGCCATGAATGGAGACAGATACCCAAACATGTCTGATTTCACAGTAGGAACTGGGGGTGTGAAGAAACTTCTCCACCTCAAGCCCTAAACCCCACAAGGCAAGGCCTCGGGTCCCGACAACATGCAGACAAATTCCTGAAGGACTATTCTCAAGATATTACTCCGACTCCTCTCGCCCCCCCCCCCTTGTTCAACGCCTCTCTGCAACAAGGAACGGTACTTTGAGACTGGAAGAAGACAAATGTATCACGGTGATCGCAGCAACCCCGCCAACTACAAGCCCATATCCATCACATCAGCATGCAGCAAACTCCTACAGCCAAATAATGAAACACCTTGAGCACTGCACATCCTGTCAAAGCAACAAGATGGATTTAGAAAACAACGCTCAACTGAAATATGATGAACACGATCAAAAAGGAAAGGCGGCGTGCAATAAACGCAACATGCCTACAAGATCCACCAATCAACTCTTCAATCAGTCAAAAATGGAAAGTACCTTCGTGTCAACATCGAAAATAATCTCTCATGGAATATACACATAGAATCAGAAGGCCATGGCAACAAGTCCCTATCATTCCTTAGAAGAAATGTGACAAAATAATATAGAGAAAAGCAGAGTCGCTAAAGAAAGCCCAACACGGCAAAATTGAAAATGTTGCAGGCTTGCTTTGATTGAGCCTGTTCATGGACGGTACTGTCAAGTACAAATAACCGTCCACGCCCCCTAGCACCGGCTTAAGCAGAATTCAACATTTAAACACGAAAATGCTGAAATTTTGAATTAAAAAACATCGGCGGTTATTATGGGACCTTCAATGTGACACAGTAGTGCCATTCAATGAATAGCGGTATATATGGTCCCCAAGTAAAAGAATGCGTGTGCCCTAAACGAGAAAACAATGGATGGGACTAAATAAAATGGAATTCTGAAAGTGGATCTGAGGTTATGAAGCCTGCATATCACAGACAAGACGTCAAAAGACAAATTTAAAAAGCTGCACACAAGCCATTAATTAAGGACCAGTAGTACAAGACCCTTGTCAGCCAGTCCTTGAGTACGCAGGCATAGTCTTGGATCCACAAACAGCCACCAACAACAACCAGCTGGAAGCTGTGCAAAGGTAAGCAGCCTGATTTGTAAAAGGCGGCTACAAGCAGTCAAGCACCACCACTGCAGTGATGGCAGACCTAGGTTGGCCAACACTACAGCATCGCCGCTCAAAAGCCAATTTAGTGATGGTCTACAGGATCACACACAACCTCATCCATCCCAGCTGCACAGTACTTCCACCCTTTGACACTTCTTGTCATGGCTACAAACACAAAGAGTCCATGTCCTATTCTGCAGAACCGACACCATGAACTTCTCTGTTGTGACATCGGCCATCCGCATCTGGCCCCGTGTTTACAAAGATTTAAGGAACAGGATCAAGATCAGGATCAAATTTAAAAACTCAAATGTTCTTCATTGTTTATGCTCATAGACTAAATATTTAATAATAACTTGATAAAATTGGATCTCAAATGGCATACATATTGTTGTATTTATGAAATTTTAGAAATAACTTATTATTTTTGCAAGGTATTATTTTTGCAAGGTATTGGCATTTTACAGTTGATCCAAATAATTATTTTGATCCTGAAACTGATCATTTTTTTGATCTGATTATTTCTAATTTTGTTATTCGTCGATTTTATCCCAAATTGGATTGTTATTTGCAAATCAGCAATATTTTAAATTAGGAATAAGTAACATTTAATTCTAGCAAAATACGATCAATTTTAGTTTTCTAAAACAATGAAAATAAAATCAGGATAATTTGATCCTGATCCTGATCATTTCTTAATGAACACTGGGCCTGGACCCAGCTTCCAGTGCACTAAAACTAGGCAGTCAGTCTTGATGTCTTCAAAGGAGGACTAGTCGTGACGTGCGTTTAATGCCCTACAGAGGGTTATGTACAGTACTGGGAGAAGAACATGATGAATAAGAAGGAAAAGAAAAAGAAGAGTTCATCCCAATGGGAGTTGATTCGAAAAGATCACGGGGTCCGTGTTGATAGTAAAACTATATCCATTTCTTTTTTAATTTTGTTTACAGCATTTAATTTTCTTTGACACATACACTTTCTTTTTAGTAAAGTAAAACAACTGATGATATAGAATCAGTTTTAAATAGAAATTATTCGACCAACATAATACGAGCGTCTGCCGAAAAGTGACGTCATTAATGGCGGATACAGCATTACTTTCACAAATTTCCAAGTGTTGTTTATAATTTTCGTAAATTTTGTGCATAAGTTGATCTTGAGAAACATCAAGATGATAATAACGCTAAAGACTTTACAACAGCAAACTTTTAAGATAGAAATTGGCGATGAAGAGCTGGTAATTTACTTAAAAATGTGTCATTTCACGTGGGTGGGGTAACAAAAACAAATATTCGCCGGTCATCAAAAAAGCAGGTTACTCATAACAAAATGACACTGACTTTGATATTTTGACATTCTGGTAATTGAATCAATGCGATAATTATAATTGTTTTAATTATGTGTTGCAATTTATAAAGTTTGCCTAATGCAACATTTTCAATTCTCAACTGACCTGACTGGTTTCATAATCATGATAATTCATTACCAAAAACTCATCAACATTGTTACATACAGACTAATTTACAGACATTAATAAATTTAAAATAGTATGATATGTTGTTGATAAAACCAACATAATGTCAAAAATTATCTGCAGTTATCAGTCTATGTTTAAAATGGAAAAGAGTCAACTCGGCCCTATACCAACTCGGCACGGGTCAACTCGGCCCACTTTACAAAAAGATATATTACGTATTAACTTTGCTTTGCATGTTGTTAAGGTAAATGAATAATACGAAATATCTTATTAAGTACTATAGAATTATACATTGTACTTCTCCCGAAATAAAGTATATTTAATTTTTTTTTTATTTATTTGTCTTATATTTATAAACTCTCTCTGTTGAACTTCGTAAATAACAGAGGTATATTGAGTGAAAAAGCAAGACTTGTTTCCCTTAGTTTCCCTTCGCTTGCAAAAGAATGCAAATTCAGCCATGTTTAAATCGCTAGTTTGGGGAGAGTAAATGTCCGATTTTAAAATGTGTTACACCAATTAAAAGCTGGTGATCTTAGCTTCCTCTCAGTATATATTTGGTAGACAGACGTTTCACTATTAAGACGTTTCACTCCCTTTTTATACCAAAATTATTTTGATACTTATGATATGCTAAAATAGACATAAAATATTGAATTGAACTAAAATAGACCCTTAAATTTAATATAACTACATTAAAAATGGGGATTTCACTTTTTTTCAATGGCTTAAAACTCATTACCTTAAGTTCTATCATTTCAGTTATTTTATCTTCTTTATTGTTGTAATGAAATAAGGTGTTTTTCTATTCTTTGATCCATATGTGCAATTATCACATTATTTCACTTAAATAAAAAATATTTTTGATTAAAATAACACTTTAATATAACTAATTATTTGATCTTTTGTAAAAATGGACTCAATAGGCAATTTTAATTGAAAGCATAACAATGTCGTGACAACAATTAACTTTGAGTAACGTGTGTTTTTGTTGTTAATTTTAAACATGATGATGGGATAAAAAATGTTAAATTATTTAATGCTTGTATACTATACAGTAGTGCTTTTGCGATATACATTTATGTAAAAAAATTTAATGTCCATTGAAATCAGAAATATCTTTAAATTAAATTAGAAGCATTGGGACTTTTTCAATATTTGTCATGTATAATCATTTTTTGTGACTAAAATTCATTATTATATAAACAAAACTTATGGAGAAGTTTCTGTGTTTAAATTGGCTGTTGTCAAAAAATAGTTTAATGGTCCAATAAACCACTGATTAGTAAACTGTTGATGCTTAAGTGCAGTGTTTATACAACTGATTTAATAGTGGTGTCAAACTGTAAGTTGATTGTCTCAGTGTTTATACAACTAATTAGGCGATGAGATAACACCAAAATTACTTAAGTTTGTAAAGAACAGAACAGAACAGAGAACTGTTCTGTTCTGTTCATAAGTTAGTTTATTGGCTACTGTTTAATAAATTAATGAAGAAAATAATTTAAAAAAAATAATATATTTTATACACATGTTTCGCATATCATTGTTTAAGACTTACAAAAAAAATCATTACATGTATATAGTCAATATATTTATTATTATTTAAGATATTGATATTTTTTATTATTTGAATTATATTAGTAACTTTACTGGTAGTGATTTCAATATTTAAACTGATACTTATAAAAAGTTTGTTGTTCTGTCTATGTTATTCTATTTTTTTTTTTAATTTACTTTAGTAAATAGAATTTCCTCATGTTGTTACACTTATAATAAAAGTGATATTGAAGAAATTTGTCTTTCATTTGTAACACCTCTTATCACTCAACCCATAATTAAATGAGTAATCTTCTAATAATTTGTATTAACAATACCATTGAAATCAACAAAATGAAACATTAAATTGAATTTCCTTTTTACAATGTTTGATATTAATGAAATTAAAATGTGTCAACCTTCCTAGTAAACATCTAAAAATTGGGAGTGAAACGTCCATACAATTGACAAAATGGGAGTGAAACGTCTAGGTGTGAACCGTCTTGGGAGTGAAACGTCTCAATAGTGAAACGTCTTGGGAGTGAAACGTCTGACATTCATATATTTCAACACATTGTTTGACACTGAAGGTATTTAAATTTACGGTTAAACCTACCACGAGTCAGAAATACAGTGAGATACGCAATCGGTTGGTTATCTTTACTCGCAATTCTACTGATAAGAAAAGCCTGTCTGCTGCTAGTTCTGAAACTGTCAATCAGTGTTTTATAAATAATTACAATAATAACAATAAAAATTGATAACACAAACCTAAATATTAATAATTAAAAAGTGGGCCGAGTTGACCCGTGCCGAGTTGGAATAGGGCCGAGCTGACTCGGGGGCCGAGTACGTTTTAGGGCCGAGCTGACCCGGATTCTTTAAAATAGACCAATAAGTGTCCATTATCAGTCACCAAATAGCATTTAGGCTTATTGCAGGTAACTTATGTTCATTAAGTCTGATACAAATAAATAACAAGCAGCCCTTGTATAGCTATATTACACCTATTGATATTTAAGATTATTGCAATTAACAGGGTCTAGGGTTTTATGATTTATACGGACAGTACGTAAATTTATAGACCATAAGTAACTGTATAGATTTTTTACAGTATGTCTGAATACATATTTTTATATCAACTCATAATCGTGAATATAAACAGGAGTACCGAATATAAATATTATTGTCTTAACAAAAATAACAAAGATTAAAATAAACATCATAATATGAACAAGAAATAATTTTATTTTATATGATAAAACAGCTCTATTCTGGATGTTTTGGTCACTGATAAAAGTCTGAAAAAGAGACTTGTTTTAACATATATGTGACAGTTTATATTTGCTACATAAAATAAACTATTATTTATAAGTCTTGGTTATTTTCTAACAACACTTATCAAATATTTTATTTTTTATGTAGCATTCACCATAATATATGTTATTTATAGTGTCAGGGCTCACGCTGTCGGTCGCCATAGTCGCCATTTGCGATTATTTTATAAGATTGGCGATTATTTTTGCATTTTGGCTACAAAATCTGGCGATTAATTTTTACTTCCAACAGTGTTTATATAAGGTGTAAAAATCGATAATGAATGAAGTAGACCCAATTAACACCAGCGGGGTGCATTTACTTGAGAGTCAACTTTTTACCGGTCACGTGCTGCTAAATATATTGCCCGAGGTGATAAAATACATGCGAGATGTATAATTGTATAAGTACTTTAAAGATATTGTCCAGCATTTATAATAGCCATCAAATATCCGTCAATTAGCCACAAAAATCGTTTTAAAATTGATAAACTGGATATTGACTTACCCAAAATTTACCGTGAATTCCAGTAATTACAAATTTTGATTTTTTTTTGTTTTAAGCTACTTGACTAAATCGCCAGTTGAAAACAATGGTAAAATATTTAAAAAGTATTAAATTCCAAACAACTATTTGCACAACAACCAAAATTGTGAATATTTCTTCAGAAAACAGGAAAAATCCGATTGTCACATATTTTCGCAACACCGATAATTTTGATATTTATTTAAAGGTGAAATAAGCTATGTTCTGTTTAAAAATCTTTACTACTATAGCAGAAAATTTGTATTACATTGGTGATGATGATATTTTTCAGTAAATTATTCAGAAAAAAGGCTTCACTCTGTGAATGAGTTTGCAAACTTGTGTTATTTCTATAGGCTAATATGACCTAGATCTACTCCAGTTCTGTGTGAAATGTTGAAATTGACAGTGGTTATAGCTGACAAAATTTGATTAGAACAAACAAAAAAAGTTGTCTGATAACAGCCTTATGTAAAGTTATAATGAATCTTTAATATTATTGTTATACAGTAATTATACTAATTATAACGTTTTTATTCTGTTCTATAATAACAATTAAAGTTTTGGTTCTATTTAAAAAAGGTAGTTATCAATATACACAAATGTACCAGTTTTTTTGAGAATCCTTATAAAACTGAAAGATATAAATGTAATGTTTATTTAATCAACTGCTTATGTTGTTAATCACTAATTCGTGAATAGTCCGCTGAACTTTTGGCTATTATTTTTTTAAGTTGAAATTATTGGCTATTATTTTATTTGAGCTAGTGTGAGCCCTGTAGTGTCATTTTTTGACTCTACGCCAAATTTTTATAAAAATAATATTCATATTTGGTATTGTCTTTGTATTCCCGAATATGAATTCATATTCGGTATTAAGTCATACCCGATTTTTTATAGATCTGCAAATTTACAGACAGAAAGTACCAAAATAGTAAAAGTTGAGTGAAACTTCAAAATTGCAGGTTTAAAAGAATAAGGTTACTGATAACATAATTGTAACAGTATAGTTAAGATCAACTTTGAATCTTTCCTTTTTACAAAATTTCAAGATAAAACTTACCTTATTACCTTTGTTAATATAAACAATCAATAAAAGAAGTCATCTAAAGCTGCAGATTTTAGTATTAAACAAAAGACAGCAAATTTTTCATTGAATATCTGTATATTTATGTATTGAAAAATCTTTAAGTGTCAAGACTATCCATAAATTTATGGACAGTTCATAAAAATCTTGAAATCCTAGACCTGCTAGATTAATACAGAGTTAAAATATCATGATTAAGACATGCAATATATATTTCAGAGTCCGACAGATAGGCTTAAAGATAATTTTTATATAACTCACATAAGTTTGTAAAATTTATTACATATTTTCTGATTTAAATCAGGGCTCGAATTTAACACTCGCAAACTCGCAAAATGCTAGTTGAAAAATGATTTTGCGAGTTAGATTGATGACTACTCGCAATTTTTTGCGAGTTGAAGAAAAAACGGAATACACTCGTCAGGAAAATCCGAAATATAAATGTGGCGTAATATTCGCAGGTAGCCGAGTTATAAACTATGCGCGCACTTGCTGTCTGGTTTACATTTTCTATACCTTAACCTCGCTTAAAAAAGTACACAAATTTAAACCAGTCCAAATGTCATTTTGTCCGTGTAAATCAAGCGTGATCGGAATAAAATGTCTAAACGAAAAATAACGAACTTCTTCCCACTTACTGAAGCAAATGTGTCTTCAGATAACAATACTCTGAGTACAGAAGATGATTCACAGTCTATCTAAAGAAAGACAATCAGACCTTCAGTTAAAACGGTTAAAATTGGGAGAAAGAACTGCACTTCAGTCTTGCGTATCTAACTCGATGACGATGGAAATGTTGCCAAAATATTTTGCGCCGATTGTTGTGCACATAATCCAGACAAGACATCGTCGGTACGGCGACAATATTGCATTATTATTTTTTTTACATGTAGATTGACATTTGATAATAATCCCTGTCCCCTAAATCAAGTTTTTGAGTAGAAAGTTAAGTTGCTGATTCGTACCCCGGGCAGTTCGAACTCGTCCAAACAAATTACAATTTTAAACAATTTTGGAATTAAAAAATCATTGTCGTAAAAAGTGCTAGTTGAATTCAGTTTTTGCTAGTTAAAAATTTGTCCACTAGCAAAAAATTGCTAGTGGCCAAAAAAGTTAAATTTGAGCCCTGTAAATGAAGATTTTATTTATGGAATTAAGGAAATACAGTGTACATGAAAGAAAAAGTTAACAAGGATTAGGTATTGACATTTAATATTGATGTATAATTTCAGTCAAAAGATATATATTTTCAGAAAAATTTCCTTGTAATGTCTGAATAATAGAATTAGATTACTTTCAAAAAAATGAACAGATTGCTGAATGTTTTGATGTTCTTTCTGTTATGAATCATACTTTTTCATAGGGAAAAATAATAATATGTTCCCTGTCATCACAATATGAAACTGCAGAAAAAAGGAACAAATGTACAAGCATTTTAATATTGACTTTTCCATCCCTATCCATTTCCCTGTTGTCACAATAAGTAAACCCCAGAAAAAATGTAGCCAATGTAGCATGCTGTATTTTTTTTTTATCCCCCAACAGACAGTGAGGTAACTGGAGTGTGGGTAACTATTACTTTGACTGCTTGCCTCATGATTTCTTGTTACTTGAAATGAATTATATTGTATAGAAACATTAAGATGATTATATCGCTAAAGACTTTACAACAGTAAACTTCTTAGATAGAAATTGGCAATGAATAGCTGGTAATTTACTTTGAAATGTGTCTTATCATGTGGGTGGAGCAACAAAAACCATCAAAACTGGCATGTTACTCATTAGAATATGACACTGACTAGATATTATTTTGACATATCGGCAATTGACTCAATATGATACTTACAATGGTTGTGAATTTTGAATCTCTGTATACCATAGAATGTCATTTGAGTAACAAGAAATTATTCATGAGGCAAGCAGCCGAAGGTCTTAGAGAGATGCAACCAGTTTGCTGATTTTTATCCTAGGAGTAATTCCATAATTCAACAATTTTGTGGAGCATGCTGTCAGCAGTCTTGTTTAGTTATGTTTTGAAATCCAAAAATATGGTTTATAAGTAACCACTATTAATAAAGACCTGTTCTATTGCAATGAGACTGTTGAATTTCCTCTTTTCATAATTAACATAAAAGTCATTGGGCAACAAAATGAAATGTAATTCTGCCAAGAGAATTTGATGTAAAAGTAATATACATTTAGTGTATACAGCAGCACATCAAGTTATTAGGACATCTCTTGAAAATACTTTGGGGTGGGGGATTTGTATTTGGGTAACTAAGAATATAGATGCCATACATAATATTACATTCAATATGAAAATTTATTGAAAAAAATATTTCTTCAGGTTAAAGTACTTAAAGAAAAAATAGAGAAAGAAAAGGGAAGTGAAACTTTTCCAGCTGGAGGGCAAAAGCTGATATATGCAGGTAAGAAGGTTTTATAAACTGAAATTTAGGTTGATTAAAGTTATTTATGGTTATGATAGTATCATAGGTCAAATCAATGGTGTGGTGACTGGGACTTGAACCATGGACTTGTGTTTTACAGTCCTCGGCCTTTTCGTAGCCATTTTGGGAAAAAGTAGGTAACCCAGTTTGGGAAATTTTGCATTGCAAAATACTTGATAAGGGAAAATATTTGAAATCTCTTTTGGCGTAGTATTTTAAATAAATTGTGAAACATTGTTTATTCCAACCAACTGAAATGGCAACGAAAGCAAAATGAATACAATAAAATTTGACAGTAACATCTGTCTGTTATGATACTGAAATTTGACAGTTTAGATATTGGGAATTTAGTTTGATTTGGGATTTTTTTTTTCAAAGATTGGGAAAAAATCAGCATATTTGACATGAGTCTTGTAATCTGACCTGTGGTGACACATGGAAAAGATATGATCCCATAGCTCTACAGTTTGAACTGTACTGTTGCTTACAAACAATATGCTCTCCAAAAGTTGTTATCAGTTGTAAAAAAAACATAACTATGCCAGATGCAAGGCATGAACTTTTGACTATTAAAAATCATGAGGACATCATAATCCATGAAATACATATAAACCTAATATTATGAAATGTAATATCTGTATACCATAATTTATTTTTACACTTTAGCTTATAAATACAGTCATTTTTAATGACCAATGACATGTATATTTGATAGGAACTTACAATGTACCATTATTTATAGACATGTTTTTCATATTGATACAAACATAACTTGAGTGGTCCTTTACATTTATATCTTTGTATGGAGTAAGTGCGCCCAAGGCCAACACTGCTAAAATAGACCTTGGTTCCTTCTATATAGGTGTTTTCCACCTAGGAAAATACTTTCAGATAGTGCAATTTTTCTCAGGAAAATGTATTTACTATAGCAAAAATAATGTTACTTTCCTCAAAATTAAGGGGAGGCCCCTTTCCCTCATGTTCTTGTGAAAAAAATCTGCAAAAGTATTTTTTATACCCCTGCACCCACAAAAAGACCATGAGGCACATTGTTTCGCCTGTCTGCCAGTTTGTTATTTTTTTGCTGACAACTTAAATGTTAGCTACATGTATTCATCACTTAGGATTAACACTTTTTTTGACTTTCAAGGTAATACAACTTTTTGAATTGATAAGACACATATTTTTGACATATATATTGGAGCTTATGATTATGGTTAACATGTGATGTGTTTTTTGGATACAACAGGAAAGATCCTCGATGATGAGAAACAAGTCGGCTCTTATAAAATTGAAGAGAAGAACTTTGTTGTTGTTATGGTAACCAAGGTAATATTTTGATTGACTCATATTTGATAAAGAATATGATAATCATCGCTTTGGAAATGGTTTCATTTAATATATTTCGTTTCAATACCAAAGACTATAAGGAAAGTGATTATGCAATTAAGCTCTTGAATTAAGATTATGGAATTCATTTGTGTTTGGAATTTGAATCTAGTTTGTAGGCTGTAACAATTCCTCCATTTCCCAAAGTACAATTAACTTTGGTACTAGATTGTTCTTGAAATATTTCAGTGAAGGTCAACTTCCTATTTTGGAAACTTGATCAAACCCCTATAATTTGAAATTGTATCACAAGTTGACAAAATATTGACTGTTTTATCTGTTCTTGTTTCATCTTTTTATCTTAGCCTAAACCTGCTGCAGCGTCTACACCTACTCCAGCAGCCGGTGCAACTTCTACCCCACCAGCTACAGAAAGTACGCCAGCTCCTACACAAACTGCACAGGTCACTCCGGCACCAGCTAAAGATGAAACTAAAACAGAAGAAAAGTCAGAACCTCCTTCAAATACTACAAGGTATATGCACGAATATTGAATGTTTAGATATGTCATTTGTTTTAAAATTAGTAAATCTCAAAAAGTTGTTTGACATAGTTGATAGACATGAATTTAGTCAATTCATGTTTCAATATATATAATTCTTTCATATTTTTTTCTGTTGGACAAAAACATTGTTTTTATGCCCCAACTTAGGGGAGTATGGAAAAGGGCATATAGTTCTTCCTTTCTCTGTTACGCTGTCTGAGACAAAACAGAGGAATGTGGGGACAACTTATCTTGGTACTTATCACTTTTATTAAGTGTACATAATAAGATGCCAGTCTTTATTGAATCATGTTTGAAGGAACATTGTTTTTGTTCTGTTTGTCTATTTGTCTCTTTACAGATCACTAAATTCTGGCCATTACATTTTCATTTTATAACCTAAAGTCTTTGTACATGTATTTAAAACTACATACTTTTGATAAGAGCTTCATTTGAGGTTAGAGCTACCTGTATGAATGATAGTCAATGTAAATCCTATACCAGTGTAATAGGTATGTTTGATGCATTGTATTGGATATTCCAGTTAAAGGTACTTCAGCATTATGCCATTTTGAGATATTGTGTTACATACTATTTTCAACTACTACATGTAGGAAATGGTAAATTCCTGTATCCTGAATACTCATACATGGGTACTAAAACCTGAAAAGGTTTTACCTTACTTAATTTTTTACCCTAGTCAAAAGTTTAACTGTTACATAAAATGAAATGATAACTTTAGAATTAATTAAAATATCCTTACTCTTCAGCGCAACGGACACAACTGCATCTGAATCATCATCAGCAACAACAACGGCCTCAGAAATGTCACAACAATCTCAGTCGGAAACTTCAGTAGCGTCAGATATGAGCACAACCAGTGCAGAAAGTGCTCTAGTTACAGGATCAATGTATGAGGAGGCTGTTACACAAATGGTTGCCATGGGGTTCCCACGGGAACAGGTGCAGCGTGCCATGAGAGCTAGCTTCAATAATCCAGATAGAGCTGTTGAATATTTATTTAATGTGAGTAATGAACTCTTACAGATTTTCTTAACTTTTACATCACATGCAGATAAAAATGTAGAATTTTATACATGTTTTTCAGGTTTATAAGTACCGTAAAATACCTATCAAACGCCCCGGGGGCTAAACATTTTCCAAAAGGGGGGCTATTATTACAACACAGTTTTTCTTAAATCCAAAAATCATTGTAAATACATTTAGTGTTAGCAAGTGTTGGTAATAACATTAAAAAGTGTTAAGATTTAAGAAGTTCATACTATAAAATAAAATGGATTCTGAATGATTTGAATGAAATTATGGATTTACTCATGAGTCAGCACTGATGAGTAGATTGTCTTTCTTAACAAAAGGCCCAGGGGAGGGCGTTTATTAGGAATTTTACGGTATTTATGTAGCTTTAGAAAATATGAAGTGTTCAATCTGAAGTATTGTAAAATAATAACTGTTGTTAATAGTGTTATAAAAGTTATATATTTGTTGTTATTTCTACTGCTGTGCAGGCCTTAATTACCTTAAAGGGGACTCTATATCTTTATCTATATACACGTATGTCTAAATAGTATTTTATAATGATAAAAATGTAGGGATATTGTTTTAAGCATTACTGATTGGTTATAGACTTAATGCTGCATATAAATATTTCAACTAATAAGAATATGTCAATCTTTTGTTGTTTAGGGTATTCCAGATATGCCAAGAGAAGAGCCTCCCCCAGCTGCAAATCAACCAACAGGCACGCCAGCGGCTGGTGGAACACCGGCTGCAGGAGCACAGTCAGCTGGAACAGGAGAGACGCCGCAGGCTCCTACCCAGCCAGCTACACAACCAGCTACTCAGCCAGCAGCTGGTGGTACCGGTACGACTAGTCCAGGAACACTGAGCGGGCCACCTCCTGGGGCCCGGCTCTCTGGTGGGTTGTTACGGCTTGTGCAGCATGCTGATTATGTGATTTGTAGACTAGAAATATTTTTTACAGCTTGTTGTGCAAACATTAACAACCACTGCAATAACCCATACAATTATGTTGAATAATATTTTTATCCCTGTTATTTTTAGAAATAATTCACCATCAATGTCTACATCAACAATTGAGTTTCATTTTATTTAGGACACTACTTATATCAAAGTGTTTTGGTTTCTTTATGCCCCCACTACCTAGGAAGGCATATCAATCTTGATCTTGCCTTGGTACATCATTTGTTTAATGAAAACATCCCAAGAAAAAATTGAACCGGTCTTTATGAAAAAGAATTAAATGCAGTAAAATTGAGTTAAATTACTAAAAATGTAATACAATGTATTAGTTCATATGATTAATATAACATTCAGTAGTTAGGATGGGTATTTTCATTTTCTGTTATAACAAACATTTGTACATGCCTTGAACCTTCTTTCTTTTGATAACATTTTATTTGTAAAATCACAGCATGAAATAAATCAAATGTTAATTTGGGCAACCCCAATCACTTAACAGAGTTACTTTTTGAAAATTTTATTTTCAGCTTAAACCAGTCATATTCTTTTACAGATGAAAATAGAAATTAAAAAAAAAATCAGCACATCTCAATTTAAAAAAAAGAAATTATATAGATTAAAATATTTAATTAAAAAAGAGATCTGATTTTTGTGTCGCCTCTACGGAGAAGTGGCGACATATAGGGATCACTTCTCCGTCGTCTGTCTGTCCGTCACAAAACTTGTCCGGACTACTCCTCATAAACTGCTGGTGCAATTTCATCCAAACTTTACAGGAATGATCAGTACCAAGTCTAGTTGTGCATATTGTCAGCATTTTCCGGTTCAATGATTTTTGGCAGAGTTATGGCCCTTTAATAATTTTTAATTTTAAAGTTTGTCCGGACTACTTCTCTTATACCACTAATGCAATTTCAATGAAACTTTTACAGGATTGATCTGTAGCTCAAGTCCTTGCGCATATTGCAAGGGTTTTCCGTTGATTGAATGTTTTTTTGCCGGGTAATGGCCCTTTGATAAAAAAGGTGTTTTTCTGTGTGTTGCCAGATACGCAAAAGCTTGTCCGGACTACACCTCATTAACTAATGGTGCAATTTCATCCAAACTTTACAGGAATGATCAGTTACCAAGTCTAGCTTGTGCATATTGTCAGCATTTTCCGGTTCAATGATTTTTGTCAGAGTTATGGCCCTTTAATAATTTTTATTTTTAAAGTTTGTCCAGACATACTTCTCTTATACCACTAAAGCAATTTCAATGAACTTTACAGGATTGATCTGTATCTCAAGTCCTTACGCATATTGCACGGGTTTTCCGGTTGAATGATTTTTGGCCGAGTTATGGCCCTTTGATAAAAAGGTGTTTTCTTCTGTGTGTTGCCAGATACGCAAAAAGCTTGTCCGGACTACTCCTCAATAACTACTGGTGCAATTTTATCCAAACTTTACAGGAATGATCATTACCAAGTCTAGTTGTGCATTGTCCGTCTGTCTGTCCGTCTGTCACAAACTTTGTCCCAACATGAAATTGGCCATCATGAGGCGACACATGTGATTACTGATCGCTCTTGTTTTTTTCATTTAAGTTATAAAGACTCATTCCTTATTGTCTGAATTTTTTTCCCTTATATATATCATTTATCTTGTAAGAATTAATTTTATGGTATTAAATGGTATTTACAGGCAAAATTGGATTAGAATCATTGACTTTAGTCTTCATTGTGTATTCAAATATGAAGTGTTACTATTAAAGATATCTCTATTTTATATTAACGGCATGTATTAATGTAAGTTTTTATACTTTCAATCAGGTATTGTTTTGTGATTTTCAATATTGTAAAACTTCACAGTGTATGTTTTTATATGCCCGAAAGGGCATATTATGTTATACCCCCTGGCGTCCGTCTGTCTGTCTGTCTGTCTGTCCGTCCGTCCGTCCGTACGTACGTCCGTCCGTCCGTCTGTTAGCAATTTGGTTTCCGGAGCATAACTTAAGTTCCATTTGGCCCACAATGTTAAAACTTCATAGGATGATTGTCCATATTGGGTAGAAGACCCCTATTGATTTTGGGGTCAAAAGGTCAAAGGTCAAGGTCACTATTACCTTAAAACTGAAAACGGTTTCCGGAGCATAACTTAAGTTCCATTCGACCCACAATGTTCAAACTTTCATAGGATGATTGTCCATATTTAGAAGAAAAACCCCTATTGATTTTGGGGTCACACAGGTCAAAGGTCAAGGTCAATATGACCTTGATAACTGAAAACAGTTTCCGGAGCATAACTTAAGTTCCAATTGGCCCACATTGTTTCAAACTTCATAGGATGATTGTCCATATTGGGTAGAAGACCCCTATTGATTTTGGGGTCAAAAGGTCAAAGGTCAAGGTCACTATTACCTTATAACTGAAAACAGTTTCCAGAGCATAACTTAAGTTCCATTCGACCACAATGCTTCAAAACTTCATAGGATGATTGTCCATATTGGGAAGAAGACCCCTATTGATTTTGGGGTCACAAGGTCAAAGGTCAAGGTCACTATGACCTTGATACTGAAAACAGTATTCCGGAGCATAACTTAAGTTCCAATTGGCCCACAATGTTCAAACTACATAGGATGATTGTCCATATTGGGTAGAAGACCCCTATTGATTTTTGGGGTCAAAGGTCAAGGTCACTATTACCTTATAACTGAAAAACAGTTTCCAGAGCATAACTTAAATTCCATTCGACCCACAATGTTCAAACTTCATAGGATGATTGTCCATATTGGGTAGAAGACCCCTATTGATTTTGGGTCACAAGGTCAAAGGTGAAGTCACTATCACATTGATACTGAAAAATATGTTTCCACGCATAACTTAAGTTCCATTTGACCCACAATGTTCAAACTTCATAGGATGATTGTCCATATTGGGTAGAAGAACCCCTGTTGATTTTGGGGTCAAAAGGTCAAAGGTGAAGGTCACTATTACTTGATACTGAAAACAGTTGCCGGAGCATATGTTAAGTTCCATTTGGCCCACAATGTTCAAACTTCATAGGATGATTGTCCATATTGGGTAGAAGACCCCTATTGATTTTGGGGTCAAAAGGTCAACGGTTAAGGTCATCCTTACTAAAAAAAAAATACTTTCGGGCATATAATGCTCCGCCTAGCGGTGCTCTTGTTCAAATGTTGTGCTCTATATATTGGGCATACAGCCATTTGCATGCGAGATAACTCCGTGAAAGTCAGTGGCTGTATTCATTTTAATCATGATCTTAAAGGTTAAAAGTTGACTTTGATCTTAATTAATGTAAAAAAGTTGATATTAATGATCTTGAAGGAAAAATGTCAACTATGAGCTTACAGGTTGAAAGTTGCCTATGATCTTAATATAGTATAATATGGTTTGACCTTAACCAGAAATATTAAAAAGAACACTGAGGTTAGGAACTTTACACATGTGGCTGCTAATAAAGTTTTAGAAGGCTGTTTTGCCATGTTTTATGCCAATGTTTTACTAAGAAAGTGGCTGGTAATAATTTTAGGCAATTGTGACTCCTGGATAAAACAGAATGATTAACATATTTTCTATTTCATTTTATTTATAAAAGTTTAGACTAAAACATGATTAAGCTCTGTTTATGGTAAGATTAAATAAAAAAAAAACAACAACAGAAATACAAATTAAAAAGAAAATGATTTTTTGGTTGTAGGTGAAGAGACGTTAGCTTTTCTTAGAAATCAACCCCAATTTCAACACATGCGAACATTGTTACAACAGAATCCAGCTTTATTACCTGAACTTTTACAACAGATAGGAAGATCTAATCCAACACTTCTACAGGTGAGTTTTCCCCATTTCTTACTGTGTTACCATGGGTAGACTCGCACCAACTACATTGTATTTTTCATTGTTAAGAAGTTTTCCAGCTAAAAAAGTTTTATTGAAAGGCATGCTTTCATTTATATCGGGCATTAAAAGAACATGTAATTCTTGATGAAATATGAGAATCCATAATCCAATGTTTATTTTAGTTTCTATTTCTCGATCTGCAAACTTATGTCTGAAGGATAGGGCCATGCAATTTTAAACATCCAATCTGTTGCCACTCGGCTACTTTTAGTTTTTAGTATGCTGCTGGTTCACAGCAAGATAATAACATAATCCTTAAGATTGTCAATAGCAAGACTGTCATACTATGTGTATTTAATTGAACCAAAATTTACATCTGCTTAGTCTGACCATATTCAATACAATTGCATACTATGATGACAATTGCATAAACTACTCTCTTAAATTAAAATCAGTGAGATTTTTAGCTCGACTATTCGATAAGAATAAGTAGAGCTATTGTAGTCATCCGAGCGTCGGCGTCGGCGTAACCACTTATGTTAAAGTTTTTGTAATAGTTTAAATATTTTCAAAGTCCATTGACATATGGCTTTGAAACTTTGCACACTTGTTCACCATCATTACCCCAACCTGTAAACAGGAGGAGGTAACTGTATCAATCATTTTGACAGAATTATGCCCCTTTTTTCGACTTAGAATTTACGTTAAAGTTTTTGTAATAGTTCAAATATTTTCAAAGTCCATTGACATATGGCTTTGAAACTTTGCACACTTGTTTCACCATCATTACCCCAACCTGTAAACAGAGAGAGGTAACTGTATCAAGCATTTTGACAGAATTATGCCCCTTTTTCGACTTAGAATTTACGTTAAAGTTTTTTGTAATAGTTCAAATATTTTCAAAGTCCATTGACATATGGCTTTGAAACTTTGCACACTTGTTCACAATCATTACCCCAACCTGTAAACAGGAGGAGGTTACTGTATCAAGCATTTTGACAGAATTAAGGCCCTTTTTCGACTTAGAATTTACGTTAAAGTTTTTGTAATAGTTCAAATATTTTCAAAGTCCATTGACATATGGCTTTGAAACTTTGCACACTTGTTCACCATCATTACCCCAACCTGTAAACAGGAGGAGGTTACTGTATCAAGCATTTTGACAGAATTATGCCCCTTTTTCGACTTAGAATTTACGTTAAAGTTTTTGTAATAGTTCAAATATTTTCAAAGTCCATTGACATATGGCTTTGAAACTTTGCACACTTGTTCACCATCATTACCCCAACCTGTAAACAGGAGGAGGTAACTGTATCAAGCATTTATTTTTACAATCAAGCACTAAGAATAGTCGAGCGTTGCTGTCCTACCGACAGCTCTTGTCTTCTTTCTACAGGTGGGTCAGGTTAAAACAACTCGTAAAATTCTCATTTCCCACAGCATTAAGTCAAACCAGCAATTTGGCTTGATGTATAACTTATTTTTTATCCTCGAGAAATGTTCCTTATTTCAGGATAACAAAAGTTCCAAATTTTGTGGATCCTGGGTGTCCTATTCTGTCAAGGTTATAAAAAACACACTGAATCATGTACTACTCAAACTAGTATAATATTAAACCATTTTACATTCAATGATATCAAGTGAGCATTATTCATATTGAATATTTTAGATGATTAGTCAGAATCAAGAACAATTTATTGCCATGTTGAACGAGACTGGTGGAGAGAGTGGTGGAGGAGGAGGAGGTGTTGGGGGTCGGTCACCAGGGGAGGGAGTCATACATGTCACACAAGAAGAAAAAGAAGCCATTGATAGAGTAAGCGAATTTGATTAACTTTATAAAATCCTTTCTTTATGTGTTTCTTGAATTAAAATGTCTGGAGTGAGTTTAGAATTTATATTTATATTCATTATAACCAATAATGTGGTGTATAGCCTATTTAGTTCCTAGGGATTTGTTTATACCTCCTTTAGAACTAAAGAAAAGAGATGTTATAAAAAGAGTTGCTATCGGCTCTAGCATAAAGTTGTATTCCTACTGATTCTGTGAACTTGTTGAAATACAACTTTTCGTTCATTAGCTCGACTATACGAAGTATATGGAGAGCTGTCCTACTCGCCCCGGCGTCGGCGTCCAGATTTCAGATTAAAGTTTTGGTGCAGTAAAATATTTTTCACTATAACTTTGTCATTTCTTAAGGTATCAACTTATAACTTCAAATATATGTTCCTTATCATCAACCACATCTTATGTGACAAGGTTCATAACTCTAGCACCAATATTTTCAGATTTATCTCCCCTTAAACTTAGAATTTTCCTTAAAAAATACTATTTTTTACTGTTTCTTCTTTATTTCTTAAGGGATCAACCTCATACTTCAAATATATGTACCTTATCATCATCCCCATCTTATGTGACAAGGTTCATAACTCTAGCAACAATATTTTCAGATTTATCTCCCCTTGAACTTAGAATTTTCTTAAAAAATATTATTTTTTACTGTAACTTATTTATTTCTAAAGGGATCAACTTCATACTTATGTACCTTATCATCATCCACATCTTATGTGACAAGGTTCATAACTCTAGCACCAATATTGCAAGAATTATCTCTCCATCAACTTAGATTTTTTTACTAGAAAAATGTTATTTTTTACTATAACTTTTTTAGTTTTAAAGGTATCTACCTCAAACTTCAAATACTTATTCCTTATAATTAATTATATTTTATGTGACAATGTTCATAATTCTTGAAGTAATTTTTACAGATTTATTTCTATTTGAACTTAGGATTTTCTTTAAGAAATTTTATAACTTTGTTACTTTTTAGCTCGACTATTCGATAAGAATAAGTAGAGCTATTGCAGTCACCCGAGCGTCGGCGTCGGCGTAACCACTTATGTTAAAGTTTTTGTAATAGTTCAAATATTTTCAAAGTCCATTGACATATGGCTTTGAAACTTTGCACACTTGTTCACCATCATGACCCCAACCTGTAGACAGGAGGAGGTAACTCTATCAAGTATTTTGACAGAATTATGCCCCTTTTTCGACTTAGAATTTACGTTAAAGTTTGTAATAGTTCAAATATTTTCAAAGTCCATTGACATATGGCTTTGAAACTTTGCACACTTGTTCACTATCATGACCCCAACCTGTAGACAGGAGGAGGTAACTCTATCAAGTATTTTGACAGAATTATGCCCCTTTTTCGACTTAGAATTTCCGTTAAAGTTTTTGTAATAGTTCAAATATTTTCAAAGTCCATAGACATATGGCTTTGAAACTTTGCACACTTGTTCAACATCATGACCCCAACCTGTAGACAGGCAGGAGGTAACTCTATTAAGCATTTTGACAGAATTATGCCCTTTTTCGACTTAGAATTTACGTTAAAGTTTTTGTAATAGTTCAAATATTTTCAAAGTCCATTGACATATGGCTTTGAAACTTTGCACACTTGTTCACTATCATGACCCCAACCTGTAGACAGGAGGAGGTAACTCTATCAAGTATTTTGACAGAATTATGCCCCTTTTTCGACTTAGAATTTCCGTTAAAGTTTTTGTAATAGTTCAAATATTTTCAAAGTCCATAGGCATATGGCTTTGAAACTTTGCACACTTGTTCAACATTATGACCCCAACCTCTAGACAGCAGGAGGTAACTCTATTAAGCATTTTGACAGAATTATGCCCCTTTTTCGACTTAGAATTTACGTTAAAGTTTTTGTAATAGTTCAAATATTTTCAAAGTCCATTGACATATGGCTTTGAAACTTTGCACACTTGTTCAACATCATGACCCCAACCTGTAAACAGGAGGAGGTAACTCTATCAAGCATTTTGACAGAATTATGCCCCTTTTTCGACTTAGAATTTACGTTAAAGTTTTTGTAATAGTTCAAATATTTTCAAAGTCCATTGACATATGGCTTTGAAACTTTGCACACTTGTTCACCATCATGACCCCAACCTGTAAACAGGAGGAGGTAACTGTATCAGGCATTTTTTTTACTATCAAGCACTAAGAATAGTCGAGCATGCTGTCCTACCGACAGCTCTTGTTAAGGTATCTACTTCAAACTTCAAATATATACTTCTTATCATTACATACATGTTGTGTGACAAGGTTCATAACTCTAGCGTGACTATTTCTAGAATTATTTCCCTTGATCTTGGAATTTATTTTAACAAATGTTATTTTTTTACTATAACTTAATACATAATTATACATAATTGATTTTTCTTTCATAGTATTGTCCTCCTTATTGCGTCCAGTATTTTATTAGTCGAGCTTGGCTGTCTCCTGTGACAGCTCTTGTTTTTTAAACTGCTCATTTGATTATTTCAGAGTATTAAGATATCATTGATAAGTTGAATAAACACGCAAATGTCTCTTGTATGTGCACATGTTTTTGGTAACTGACAATATTGTTGAAGAAAGTGTATCCTAATTTGTTCACTTCTGATTCAAGTCAGAGAAGTGGTTCATTGCATATGAAAAAATTATATGCTGAAAAGGACATATATATGCAGTATTTCTACATATGGCAGAAATTTTGTTTACATATGGTCTTTTACAATAAATTGGCTACAATGTCAATACTTTTTCTAAGAATATTTATATGTAAATTTTTTGATATATTAGATACTTAAACCTTTAAAATATTGTACAATTTTCTTTGCAGTTAAAAGCACTTGGATTTCCCGAAGGAATATGTATTCAAGCGTATTTTGCCTGTGAAAAGAATGAAGAATTAGCCGCCAACTATCTATTAAGTCATGGTTTTGATGACGAGGACAGTTGAAATTTTTAATATCCGTTCCCTGTTTTTTTTCTTCTTTTTTTTTCTATCTAAGAAGTTCATCATCAAGATGCTTTATATAACAATTGGAATAATTTATTACACATACATACTTGTCGAATCACAGTCATTTCTTTAGGACAATATTTACGTGACAGTTATAATAATACTCTCAAAAATTGGTTTTGGTTTTTTTCGTCTTGCTCCATCTTAGTGCTTCAAATTCTGTTTGTTATTTTAAGAAATTCTTGATAAGGAAACTATATTGATTAAGATGTTCATGACATTAAGTTACTGGTATTATGATATCTCGTTTTAGTAGAATATAGTGTAATTAGCTAAGGTAAAAATAACTGGATTGACATCATATCTGATTGAGTATACATGAATGCAACAAGTGTTGGCAGTATTTTTTTATTGAATTGACACAAGAGATAATCTTGACCTGTGATGTATACAGGGATGTTTGTTATTTAATGCGAAGACATGGTTTCTTGTTTTGTTCTTCTACCAGCATATACCTGCAAATTTACTGTTGACAGTAAATTGTCACCTGCAAATAAAGAATACCTAGTTTGATGATATTTTGACAGTTCTCCCAGATTCTCAAAAGTATTAGAAATTGTTACTTAAGAAAGCTTACTTGTTCATTACCAGGAAACATGTTCAAAATACAAAGTTATCATAAGAAAAGTTTCCTTGCTGCTTGTGTGCAAAGAAAGGAAATCTTCAAAATGATAACAGCACACTAAAAATAAAACATATACTCGGAAATAAATTTTATATTTGAAAAGAATATCCTGTAATTTGACATTTTAGAAATGTAAACTATTGAATTATACAATATACATATATAATATCATGTATCTTTCTTTGATGAAAAGCAATACAATATCAGTATGTAAGATTACTGCTTTAATTGAAGACTTTAAAGCTGTGGTGAGATTAAACAGTTTAAAGTATACATTGAGTTTTGGATATTATGTGTTCTTTCATGTTGAAAATAATTTGCTGATGTGGTAGCTTATTGGTGCATGATATTTGGTACTATAGCATTAATTTTGTTTGGTGCACATATTTTCTTTTTTCATCTAAGAAACAACATAAACATGTTAGGAAAAGAATATTGATTTTTATGCTTCTCCCTAAAAGCATGAAGTTTCCAGTTTGTCCTTCTGCCCTTCCTTTCATTTATTCATTGATATCTAAGCATGTTCTTTGCTGAATTTGTGTAATTGTTTGTTCAGCTTTGAATTTGAAGCAGTCCATTAAAAATTTAAGGGATTTTAATAATTGAGCAAGCAACAGTGCAAAGCCTGGTCAGGCTTCACAAATGTGCAGGTTGGCCTAGCTCTATATACTGGTGACACAAGCCTTTCAGTTTTAGTAATGTGAAGATTAGATATTTGGTGGGCTTTAGACCATTAACCGTTGGAAGAGGTATGAGGTTACATGTAATTAGGTCAAGGTCATAAGGATAAAAGTAGATTGTTGTTACTTATCTTATTACTAGGGGCGACATGTTCATCTGTTTAAAAGGGTACAGTCTGTTTTTAGCTGAAAACCCGTTAGAAAATTCTCTAACTGTTAACCAAAGTTAATTTTTGACAGAGGCAAAAAAGTTTTAAATTGATTCTATGGAAAAAAAATTACTAAATGTATATATCAAATATATATTATAATCATTTTGAGAACAAAATGTCATTTTTGGCAGAAAAGAAACAAAGTTAATGTTAAAAATATAAGGATTTTATTGGTATGGTCGCTAAAACGTTTAACATAGTTATTAGGTTGCCGTTTAAACGGATAACATTTTTGCTGACTGTGACACCCCTACTTAGTAAAATCAAGATTTACCTTTGTCAAATAGACATTTGGGAGCAGTCATCAGTGTTACAATTATTTAAATTTTATCTATTTCATTTCTTTGGTAGAATATTAAGTTTTTTGGGTTGATTTATTTATTGATTTGTAAAATCTTGTTAGCTGGTGAATTTTTTATACAATAGAAATCTGCTGTTGCATTTTACTGCTTTGTTATGTAGGTGAAGTGCTCTATCAAATCCTGATATTATATACTAGACTTTAAGCTATTTAACTAATTCACTATCACATTTGTCTTGTCATATGTATACATGTTTGTGTGTAAGTAATTACTATTATAGTCTCATCCCTTCATGTTGCATAATATAAAACAAAACGATCAAGATCACAAAAATTAAAGGTAAATCATCTTAATAAACTCATACAAACATACATTTTCCTGATCAACTTGGAAAAATTCATTTTAAGGATGACTAACCTATTACATAGTTTCAGGCACAACTATTTTTTTTCGAGGATATGTTTTCCTACAAAGTGATGTAATACTTAGCGTTAAAATACCTCCATTCTTTACAAACTTTATAACAGCTACATATGCTTGTCCATATTTTCATGAAGTGTTCAAATCAACATTCTGTTCATTGAACAGTTGCAACAGATTCAGAATAAAAATAGTGATTTTTTTTTTCACCAGCACCAGTTGCTGATCCGCTGTTAATGTTTAAACAATGTGAAAACAATAAAATGTTTTTAAATTGTTACAATGGAATATATTACAGTAATTTCTTCCAAGACATATGTCATGTTTTCTGATATATGCCTAATAAGCGAAATGTTATTGTATTGTTCAAACTGTATGATAAAGCATTGTGAATAAATATACAAAAAATTAGATTTTGTATGTTGTGTTAATTTGTATTCTTGTAAAAAACAGATATTTTGTCCAGGACTTGTAATAAGTACCAGTAAACCATCTTACAAACATATAAAACTTGTCTGCTTCAAGGTCCTACTTTTCATACATGTTCATTGTAGTATGAATTCCAAAATCTGATATTACTTGGTTATTTCTATTAATTGGCAACTTTGTGATGCATGAATTTATTAGCAGTGTAATGCAATTTGTATAAGAGAAAAATCCTAAAAGACATGATACTTCTAACTTTTTAGCTCACCTGAGCATGCTCAGGGTGAGCTTTTAGGATCGATGATTGTCCGTCGTCCGTCGTCCGTCGTCCGTCCGTCCGTCGTCCGTTCACATTTAGTTGTTAACACTCTAGCGGTCACATTTTTGCCTCAATCATCATCAAACTTGGTCAGGATGCTTATCTAGTTGATAGCTCGGATGAGTTCGAACATGGGTCATCTCGGATGAGAAACTAGGTCACAAGAGCTAAAAATAGAAAAACCTTGTTAACACTCTAGAGGTCACATTTTTGCCTCAATCATCATCAAACTTGGTCAGGATGTTTGTCTAGGTGATAGCTCGGATGAGTTCGAACATGGGTCATCTCGGATGAAAAAGTAGGTCACCGGAGCTAAAAATAGAAAAAACCTTGTTAACACTCTAGCGGTCACATTTTTGCATCAATCATCATCAAACTTGGTCCAGGATGCTTGTCTAGGTGATAGCTCGGATGAGTTCGAACATGGGTCATCTCGGATGAAAAAGTAGGTCACCGGAGCTAAAAATAGAAAAACCTTGTTAACACTCTAGGGGTCACATTTTTGCATCAATCATCATCAAACTTGGTCAGGATGCTTATCTAGTTGATAGCTCGGATGAGTTGGAACATGGGTCATCTCGGATGAGAAACTAGGTCACAAGAGCTAAAAATAGAAAAACCTTGTTAAACACTCTAGAGGTCACATTTTTGCCTCAATCATCATCAAACTTGGTCAGGATGTTTGTCTAGGTGATAGCTCGATGAGTTCGAACATGGGTCATCTCGGATGAAAAAGTAGGTCACCGGAGCTAAAAAAATAGAAAAACCTTGTTAACACTCTAGCGGTCACATTTTTGCATCAATCATCATCAAACTTGGTCAAGATGCTTGTCTAGGTGATAGCTCGGATGAGTTCGAACATGGGTCATCTCGGATGAAAAAGTAAGTCACCGGAGCTAAAAATAGAAAAAAACCTTGTTAACACTCTAGCGGTCACATTTTTGCATCAATCATCATCAAACTTGGTCAGGATGCTTATCTAGTTGATAACTCAGATGAGTTCGAACATGGGTCATCTCGGATGACAAAGTTAGGTCACCGGAGCTAAAAATAGAAAAACCTTGTTAACACTCTAGCGGTCACATTTTTGCATCAATCATCATCAAACTTGGTCAAGATGCTTGTCTAGGTGATAGCTCGGATGAGTTCGAACATGGGTCATCTCGGATGAAAAAGTTAGGTCACCGGAGCTAAAAATAGAAAAACCTTGTTAACACTCTAGGGGTCACATTTTTGCATCAATCATCATCAAACTTGGTCAGGATGCTTATCTAGTTGATAGCTCGGATGAGTGTGAACATGGGTCATCTCGGATGAAAAAGTAGGTCACCGGAGCTAAAAATAGAAAAAACCTTGTTAACACTCTAGTGGTCACATTTTTGCATCAATCATCATCAAACTTGATCAAGATGCTTGTCTAGGTGATAGCTCGGATGAGTTCGAACATGGGTCATCTCGGATGAAAAAACTAGGTCACAGGAGCTAAAAATAGAAAAAACCTTGTTAACACTCTAGTGGTCACAATTTTGACTCAATTGTCATCAAACTTGGTCAGGAAACTTGTCTAGGTCATTGCTGGAAGAAATTGAACATGGGTCATCTCGGATGAAAAAAGTAGGTCACCGGAGCTAAAAATAGAAAAATCTTGTTAACACTCTAGTGGCTACTGTTGTGATCCAAATATTCTGTTAATTGGTCTGAAAAGTTTGTTTTGATGATTTCTAAGTCAAGTTCGAACACTGGTCATCTTGGATTGAAAAAAACTAGGTCACACCGCCCAAATATGGAAAAACCTTGTTAACATTCTAGTGGTCACATTTTCGACTCAATTATCATCAAACTTGGTCAGGATGCTTGTATAGGTAATTGCTTGGATGAGTTCGAAATCGCATGTGGAACTAGGTCACCGGAGCTAAAAATAGAAAAATCTTGTTAACACTCTAGTTGCTACTGTTTTGATCCAAGTATCCTTGAAATTGGTCTAAAAAGTTTGTTTTGATGATTTCTAGGTCAAGTTTTGAATATGTGTCACCTGGGTAAAAAAACTAGGTCGCACTGCTCAAGTATGGATAATCCTTGTTAACACTGTAGTGGTCACATTTTTGACTCACCTGTCATGAGACTTGGTCAGAATGCTTGTCTAGGTAAATGTTTGGATGAGTTTGATAAATCAGGTGAGCGATCTAGGGCCATCATGGCCCTCTTGTTTACTTTGGGTAACAAGATTATAAACCTGAAAGATTTGTGGCTGAATTACTTGCCTCACACTGTTGTGGTTTCAAATCCTGCCAGAATCTAAGGACTTTCATGTGAGAACAGTGGCTAGCTTTCAGTAGGAAAGTGGTAAGCTTATGACATGTACAAGAAGGCACTCAAAGTCTTCCACTAGTAAAATCGAATGACATTTACAATGTTTGTGTAATTTAACACTTGTTGTGACTTAAACTTTTCAAAATTTACTACATTTGATCCTCTAGAATGTACTTACGGCCAATTTCAGCCCTGCTTTGGCACCAGTGTCGAACCATAAACTCACCTCAAGCTCCCATAATTCAAGATTCCATAATTCTTGTCTGTTTCAAACCAGCAATGCTTAGTGGCTGGTACATTTTCAACACTTCATCTTAAGCTATAGAGTGGAAAAAATATAGATTTTACAAAGCAAACCTCACCCTCAAAGAACTAGTCTTTTTGAATACCATTAAGTTGAAGCTATTTCGTTAAAGCTGGTAAAAAAGTGACTTGTATTACTTCGAGTTTGCTTTGTGGAATGATTGGGGGTCCAAGGTTATAAAGAAAATTTTCTTATCTCAAACTCAGATCTTTGGCATTTGATTGGTAAGAAAGCAGCAGAGAATCTGAACTATCCAATGAAAATCCAGAGATTCAAGACAAAACTATATTCTAGAGGCCAGGGAGTCTTAAAATCCTCTCAGAGCAAATGAGAGGCAGACACCACTGCTACTTTTTGATAAGCCTACATGAGAAGGCAAATGTATCATTTTTTAATACTGTAGAATCTTTTTAAATAAGCCCATATTTGAATATAAGCATCATACTGCCTTGCCATTATACTTTATGCATTTAATTTCCTATGCCATTTTTTTGTTCTGGAAATAGGCAAATAGAGGACAGTTTTGGTAAACAATAGAAGAGTTGTGTATGAGCATATAAGTAAAATGAATAAACTTTTTATTTTATTTTAATGGCATTCAATACATTTTTATCATCGTTTTTATTAAAGAGAAATAAGACAACAACACTGTATGTTTACATGACATAAACAAAATGTATACACATTTTAAAATTACATTGGATATGAAAGATATAAATGATTTTATAAAGACAAAAATATTCTTTTTCAATTTTTGAAATAAAGTTAACTCTAGATGAATTCCAGGCATTCCACAGATTATTTTATGTGATAAAAATATATCTTATATATTTCTAAAAAACAAACTTGCTTACTGAGTAATTTTATCAAATTCATTATAGTGGCAATTTTTCAAAGAATGAAATATAAATATGATGATGATATAGTAGTGAAAATCTGTCAATTATTATAGTAAAGCAGCCTGCGGGTAGAAGAAGAATCGTTTATTTAAATCTTATTTTCTGTGATTCTTCATGTAACAACTGTTAGTTTATACAAAATCCAGACACTTGTCACTGCACAATTACACATTTTGTGGTTACAGTCTGGTTTTTCACTTCCACATGTTGAATGTTTGATGTAACAAGCAAGTAGTCATTACTCTACCTTTTCTACCACTGAAAATACACACACAAAAATGACAATGAGATTTTTAATTTGACTGTGTGTCCACCTGTCAAATATCATAGTTGTTAAAGAAAATTATAATGGTTTAAATTATTCCACAATTTCTTGTATAAATTATAAATAAATTAAAATAGGTCAAGCTTCTTTTTTTAAAGGGAAAAAAAAGTTATTGTAATTATTTCTCAAAACAATTTTGAGTAAATAAAAAAACGAGAGATTAATTATTGTGTGTAAATTTAAGTAAAAACCTACCAACTTTTCAAAAGTAAATTCTGTAGTAAAAACCGTGATACTGACAGGTAAATTTTCTCATAAAGTTTGAGTGATAACTTATCTAAAAACTGGACTTTAGTTGGAAGACAATTTTGAGTGAAGTTCAATATACTATATTTCTTCTACAGGTACAAAAAATAAAAACAAAAAATGATTACAACACCTCTAACAAACCTGAATTAAACTTTACCTCACTAAATATTTAAGATCCAGACAAAATCACTTATTTTTTTACATGTTTTAGGGAAAATTCCAAATATAAAGTGACTGAATATCAGACAGTGCTGACCATGACTAGACAGAACAGTTGTGTTAGCTGTTCATCGTCTGCACTGATCAGTTGCTGCCTGCAAGCTAAGGGTTAATTCTGTGATACTGTGTACATTTATATACTTACATTTTGGTATGTTAAGCTTGTTTGAAACAAGGACGTCAGCTTGTACATGGTTCATGTTTAAATATAATGTTTCAGGATTGGACTGAAATAAAACAGAAACTTGAAATTATAATTGATTATGAACAGTAAAGTTTTAAACAAAGTAATACTTAAGTAAATATATTGAAACCATGACATAGTAGTATTTAAAGACATTTTTTCCATACATTATTCCAATATATTTGCAAGGTTGGTTTGTCCTGATTTGAATTCTGACTTGTGCTTTGTTGGAGGGATTTATATAAACCTGTACTCTATAGAGCCTATAGACTAAACTACCATAATAGCCGACTGATGTTTAACAACAGAGTACTTTAACTCACATATTTTCAAACTATGATTTTTGTTATGTAAAGTATATACAATGACAGATTTAAGTTGTTAAACTGAAGAATAGCCTAGAAACAGATAATTCAGTTAATCAATCAGCCCACAGTATAGAGCATGGTCAAACAATACAGCAGACTGCAGTATAGATGTGCAGGCTGGCCTAGCTACATACTCATAGCAAGAGTTAATCACTTTTAGTTTCAGTAGATATAAGTAATGTTAATAAGAAATGAATAATTACCATGAACAGATCATAGAGGTTGTCACCCATGGCATCTCTCACATGGTCATCAACAATTGGGAATGTTCTACACAAATACTGAAACACAAAATTCATAATAATTTGTGTATGTTAGGAAAATAATTGGGAATTGACACAAATTAAGAAATCTTGATACAAGAAGATTTAAAACTTTACAGTGATGGCTTTCTGAAACTTAAACATATGATACAGTAATGTTCTAGCACAGTATGCAGATCCAAATTCCACTCATTTTATACTAAAATGTAAGGGAAAGTTACAACGATTTTAGTGTAAAATAAATATCCCAAAAATGTTTATTACCTCTAGTGATATGCTGGCCTGTCTTTGACTATCAGCATAATCCATATTTCCCATAGCATAACATAAATTGTGGACAACCCTCAACTGTAAAAATCAAGAAAATAAACTTTTGTAAATAATTTTTCCTACCAACTGCTAAAAAGAAAACATTACAGCACTGTGATGTTATGTATGTACATTATATTTAATTGCAAGTGAAAAGCATCCATATTTAATTTAAATGAACTTGCAAAAACAACCTTTTGTATTAAAGCCTCAAAATCTCTTCAACTTAAAACTGTCAATCCTCAATTTTTCTTGAATATCGAGTGAACAAATCAGTTTTAAAATGGAATGGTATCAATATTGAAACACAAATTTTATACCTGAATAAGCCTTTCTGCAAGCTCATTGGACTCACGAGCCAAAATCCTAAAAAAGCCACACAAAAAAAAGATAAAACAATGATTATGAAAAAAGAGAAAAATTAACAAAATTTTTTTTATATTCAATAACAGATATTTATGTAAAGAAAACTACTCAACCACATGAAATCAAAGTACAATAACATTTTCATTTGCTAATTTTGCAATTTTAAGACAACAGAAATTCCAAATCAGCGATATTTTGACCTCATGAAAACATTAAGATTAGGAGTCTTGCATATCTAAAATTGAAATGAGCTGCGCCACGACAAAAACAACAGAATGGGTTTGCATCCGCGCAGTCTGATCGGGATCCATGCTGTTCGCTATCAGTTTCTCTACTTGTTATAAGGGTTTCAAGCGAACAGCATGGATGCCGACGCGCAGGCTGGTCTGGATCCATGCTGGTCGCAAACCCATTATGTTGGTTTTGTCATGGCGTGGCTCAAATATATATTTAAATTTTTACTGCAGTTGACTGTATAAATCACTAAAAGAAAAATTGTGTAAAGCTATCAAATATATGAATGTACTAAGAATTTCAGAATATGTACAATTGTGTTGTTTTCATATTCTTATGGTCATATGAGTTTTTTATATAAAAAGTTCCAAAACAATTTACTCAACTGCTCTGTAAGACTTTTTTAGTAGGTTGAACACAGGTTTCGCACATACATCATTTACACTATTTGAAATTTATTTTTTAAGTTAAGCACTATAGTATGATTTTTATCAAGATACAAATAGTTTACCAATTACAGACAGCTTAGTAAAGATTTATACCCTTTATTAATTAAGTATAGAAGAATGTTACAAACCCTATTGTTTTAGCTGCTGCCGCTTGCTGTACAAACACTGGCAGGGGAGCATTCATTTTCGGGACGTCCCCATCTAAATATGAAAATACAATAATAAAAATATTTACATTAGGAACACTAACAAAAAATCTTATTACACATGATGGTGGTAATAACGATTTACCTTAGCCTCAAGGAAAAACTTCAGGCCATTCTGCAAATTTGTGCACCCTGAACAAATTTTATGCTTTGGTTGCCTTAACATTTTACATTTCTGAATATGTATTACCTGATAAAAAACACTCAACTTATCTTCAACTGGAGTAGTCCATTTTATAAATTTTGCAAGGTTAATTTTTAATTTTAGTTTAATTAAACCATTTAAGAAAAGTTGAAAAGAAAAGCTGAAAAGGAATTGGTACAATCAAGTGTGAATTTAAGTATCATGAAAGCAATTTATTAAGTGAACAATTAGTCTTAATTTACTTTCTGGCACCAAGCATGGAAAACATTTATTGTCATTTATTGAAAGATTTGTAACATAGGTTTACTTATTATATGTAAACAGAATAAAATGTTCCAGAACAAAATACAAATGTATTCAGCTGCTATAAAATTTCAGTAAGTTTGACTATATTCTTATGCATACAACTAACTTTAAGAAATTTATTTCATTCTAGTTATTCTGTAATTAAATCACAATAGAAACATTAATTTTAGAATCCATAGAGAGCAAATATAAAGTTTTATACTCTTTAAACATAACAATAAATATAGGGCTAAACGTGATAAAATTACAGTACATACCATCTAAAAGATCAGGTTTCTGAATAATATCTTCTTTTGCTGGTCGTAAAGAACTCACAAGACCACTTAGCAGGACTGCTCCCACATCATAATCCATCAGTTCTTTAATCAACTCAATTGCTATAAAATATTAACATAAAACAATGAAAAATGTTATTTAAAACAAGTTTTTATGCTTAATAGAAAAAATGCTTAAGTTGGGCAGATTTTGTAGTAAAAAATTCAAATTTCAAAGGAGTTTATATTGTTTTACATGTATTCAAAGGGGTTTATATTGTTTTACATGTATAAAATCAAGAATATTGTAAAAATACAGAAAAATGAAAAGTTTCCATGCTGAATATAAATGATTTCCATTTGAAAATATACTTTCCTAATAAAGAATTCATCTAATTTGCATATTTATTGCAAAAAAAACAACAAAAAACTTAGCTATATCTGTTATCATAGAAGGATAAAATATACATGTATTGTATTTGTAATGATAGCAATTTTATTACTATTAGTAGTATCATGGGTAAAGTGCACATAATTTCTCTTTTCCTGAAGATATTCTTCATTTACTACAGGACACAGCACAAGAGCTGAATTGTCCTATGTGCTTGGTAGTAAAATTAGAGCTATGCAAAACTTTCTATTAACAAAGATCCCACAGAAATTGTGTGAAGATTTAAATGAAAACCCTAAGTTGTTGGAATAAGGTAGATAAAAAGCCATAACCATGATTTTTTAAAATCTATAAGCAATGTAAGGGCAGTAATTCAATAAAAATTTGTACTAGAGATATGGATTTGGACCCTAAAGTAAGACAGCAACACTACTCTTTTAAAGTTTTAAGCCATAAAAGATAAATTACTTTTATGTCTAAGTAAATACATTGTATTGTACAACTATAAATAAGGGGGAAAAGACAGTCATCAAATTGGTATTTTTGAGGGGAAAATAACAACATACCTTCAAACTGGACCTCAAGATGAAGTGTTTTCAATAAATTCAGAAGTGGTTCAATAATGGATGGATTTGCATTCTTTACAATGGGCTGAAAGAGATACATTTTTTTTAAATATTACACAATCAACATTTAATAATGATATATCTAATTATGTAACTCAGGGTCCTTAACATGGGAAAAAGAATTAAAAATTTATCAAATATTTATACTCTTACAATTAAGGAATATACATTTTGTACTGTTTAAAATTGTTTGAAGTTAGAGAAAGCTTAGATACCAAGATGGCTCCTGGCTTTTACAAAGTTTATACAAAAGACACTGGCTAATACCAATTTTATCTTTAGACACTGTATGTAAAAGTTAATTTGTGAAATTTGACACAATTCAGCAGCCTGATTGAATTGTAACTACAATGCAACTGTTACATATACATGTACATATAAACAGTGTAAGAAATTAGGATTTGAATCGACTAGGCTGGTCGGACTTACAGATTGGAATATTCACTAGCCCAAAAGACATTTCACTAGCAAGATTCATTTGTTCAAAACAGTTGTTTATATTGTCTCTGAAAATACAGTAACCTGGTCGGGCTTGTTACTGTGAAAAGTTGGTAGCCCCAGGAGAAATTTAGTAGTCAGGGGCTATCGGACTACTGCTAATTTCGAATACTGTATAAACTTACTTGTACAACTCTGAGTGACTGTGCAGCCATCTGTTGGGCTTTAGGTGAACTGCATGGAAGAAGTGCAATAAGACCCTTATAGACTTGTACCTCAAACTTGGGATTACCCTGTGCCAACATCAGTAAAAGGTTCCGACAAGCATCCTGGGTCTCCTCAGATTTTGACTTGGCTAAACACTCTGCTATAGCTCGAATACCTATAAATAGAAATGATGATGACATCAATGTTTTTTTTCTGGTTTTTATATGAAACTATGATTTAGTCAAACATCATTGATGATCTAACACCAATGCTCAATTTGTAAGGGACTCCATTGAGATAATTTGAAATGACATGACTGGAGATAATTTTTTAAGATTTTTATACCATTCGATGTTGGTCTATACCAATAACTTGTGTGCAAAGTTTTAGATCATTTGTTAGCTCAATTTTTCCAGAATAATTATTTCTATGGTGCAAATTGACATGAAATGAAAAGCGTTTGTATTTAATTCAAATCAGACTAACAAATGCACTAAATATTAATTTTCAATTAAATTCTAAATGAGACTTCTTTATTATCTATTTTACTGTTTTAATTGCCCTAGTTGCTCCATGCATGAATTTCAAATTTTATGTTTTTAGGCTTTTGGACCTAATAATGGAGTTCCTTTTATAGAATACACAATTTTAGTTCTGTTACATGTCTGTCTCAGTGTCACTTTGATATGTTTCTGAACTTTAGTATCCTGTCATTAAGTAGTCGACAACATTATTATTTTTAATTTTTACTCGCTTTTAGTTTACATTATTCCTTTATTAATTTTCCCTGTGTCATAGTATACAAATGTAATAATGTACATTTCATCATTCAAATGCATTGTAATTACTCACTATGGCTAACAGGCTTTGGTCATTTGAACTCTGACATTATTATACAAAAACACACTCAAAATTGATATTATTCAGCATTGTGTTCACTGTGAGAGTTAATACTTATAAGAAGATGCTAAAATCAATCACTCAGTATTCAGTTGTAACACATTTGAAAACACCTACCATAACTTTCACAGATAAGTTCCTTGTATTTCCTGCCAGCATTGGCTATGTAGTGAATGTTTTTCAAAGCCTCACTTTTGTCCTCTTCCTTGGCCTGTTTAAGTCCTATTATCTCCAGTAAGGTGAGAACACCACCAACTTCAAGAAACTCTGCCATAAATTTGTGACTGAAAAATAAGAAAAATAGTCTGCACATAAAAGTATGTAAATTACAGATCCATATATAACTAATAATTAATTCTGTAGCACATAAAGCATACCAAAGTAATTTTCAAAACTTATGGAATATTCTTTTTCAATACACCAATCAAATTGGCAGTATAATGAGACATTTAATTTATTTAATGAAAAAGTATTGCAATAAAATTCACTGAATGGCATATAAACTACCCAGTATATATTTAATTGAATTGATTGAAGTGACATGTAAAATAAATAAAATCTGAGATATTTTTCTGATCATTTCCATGCATTACCAAATCATGCACACAAAAATATAATTACAAATAGAGAAGGAAATGGTATGGTAAACCAGTGCTCTCTGTGCAATGTTTAAAGTAACATTGGTTTTAAAGCACTCTCAAGTTATTTAATTGCATTTTTATTGATAGTGGTTTGATCAAGGTTAATGTAATTTCTGTAGAAGCCAGTGATTTTGATGGCAAGAGAGAACTGAATAAACACAGACTCTGTGGTCGAGGGGTTAGAGTCGATGACTTCTAATCCAGTTACCTCTCTGGCATGGGTTCGATCCCCAGGAGATGCTTTGGTAGTTTAGCGCGGAGGAAGGTAGTCTAGTACTGGTGTAACTCTCCAGGAACGATGGTTAGGAAACTACCCGCCTATATGACTGGAATACTGTTGGAAAAAGGCGTAAAATGAAACAAACAAACTGAACCGGATATGAATTTCAATTGTCAGAGTTAGATTCTACTCATTTCTTTTACAAAAAATATCTTAAATTGCTATCTTACCCACTTGAAGCTGACAGGAATATAGAAATTGCTCTTAGTTGCTCATTAAGGCTTGTGCCAATCATATATCTAGATAAGGTTAAGGCTGTAAATGTTATTACTACATGTACTTGTGTAATAAATATGAACTCACAGGTTAGTAGATCCAGAAGCTAATTATTAGTGTTTTTATTCTTAAGTATTTTATTATAGTGTCATGCACATAATATGATTACAAACAAAATATTAATTCTACATTGAAAGTACAGGTACCCTGAGCCCAGTGGGCCTATAATTATACAAAATGAATATAACAAATATAAAACAAGTTATGTTTAAACAATTATTACATGTACTGGTTGGGGACCATCAACCGGACACTTTTTGAACATTTTTCCGTACAGATTTTAAAATTTTAAACCTAGAGATATTAAAATTTGACACAGTTCAGCTAGGTTCTTCTCCTTACTAACACACTAGTTTGTTTATTTCTGATTGTATTGACACTTATATTTGAGGCTTGACAAGGAGGGTATCAAAATTACCTAAATTGTCTACACTACAGTACCATGTGTCCGGACAGATATGTACATGACCAGATTTATTTCAGATAAAAGCTTGGGTGTTTTTATTTTTGATTTTTAACATGATGTACAATATTTCAGCAACAAATGCTGAAGTTTTGGATATTCTATTGTTTACTCTGCAAATGATTATAGCTGGTATATGAGGTCAGGCATTTCTTTCTTGACCCCCAAATTTCAACGTCAACATTCTTGAAATAGACATTAAAATATTACCTTTTACGGAGATTGAAATAAATTTATTTACTTAATTTTAGAAGAAACATGCATTTATTGTTGATAAAAAAGTGACTGACAACCATTGAACAAAGAAAATACTAAATTAGGCATTTTCGGGACCGTCCGGGTTTGGTGGTTGTCCGGTTTTGGTGGTCCCCAACCAGTATTGAATGAGTGCATAGCCTCTAGCCTGAGTCTAGGTACAATATTGAATTATTGAATAAGTTGAATGAAATTATATATTGCAAGCAAAATATTATTTTATTCAATGAGTTATATATATTAAGTTAAGAACCCACACAAATATAACATTCTATTAATCACATACCTAACTTTAAGACTGTTTAAGATTAAAAAGAATATTTTTTCATTGACACAACTTGACTATAGTGTAATGCTTACACTTAGCATATATTTACACTACTGGTCGGTGACCATCAACCGGACACTTCTTGAACATTTTTCCATACAGATTTCATAATTTTTAACCTAGAGATAAAAAAATTGACCCAGGTCAGCTAAGTTCTTCTCCTAACTAACAAACTAGTTTGTTTATTTCTGAATGTATTGACTCTTATATCTGAGGCTCGACAAGGAGGGTATCAAAATTACCTAAATTGTCAACACTACAGTACCATGTGTCCGGACAGATATGTACATGACGTGATTTAATTCAGATAAAAGCTTGGGTGCTTTGATTTTTGACTTTTAACATGATATACAATATTTCAGCAACAAATGCTGAAGTTTTGGATATTCTATTGTTTACTCTGCAAATGATTATAGCTCGGGTATATGAGGTCAGGCATTGCTTTCTTGACCCCAAAATTTCAACGTCAACATTCTTGAAATAGACAATAAAATATTACCAGTTACGGGGGTTGAAATACATTTATTTACTTAATTTTACAAGAAACATGCATTTATTGTTGATATAAAAATGACTGACCACCCCTGAACAAAGAAAATTCTAAATTAAGCATTTTTGGGGCCGTCCGGGTTTGGTGGTTGTCCGGTTTTGGTGGTCCCCAACCAGTATATATTAAACATATGGTAATTAATATTGTAATATGTTAATTGTAATGGAGTTAAAATAGCTCAGATATATGAATATAGGAATGCTAAAATGATGCCATAACATTTAAAATAGTTGAAGTGCAGTGGCTTACCATATAAATAACATTTTTACCAGTGCAGCAGTAACATGAAGTCTGTTAAATACAAAATCATGGTCGACAATTCGTAGTGTAAGTGTGTGAGAATTTGCAAGTTACAGAACTTTGTAATGTATTTGTTAGAGGATATAACAGACCTCTGTAATGTATTTTTAAGAGGATTAAATGTTAATGAAGTTGTTTATTCCTTCTTTTTTTCAAGTCAGTAAAATTTTATCTAAAAACACCTTGTACACAGGTATCATGGAGAACTACGGACAGGGCGGACCGTGAGACAGGGCGGACCGTACCAGGGCGGACCGTGACTCGAGACTAGGCGGACCGTATTTTTGGACAGGGCGGACCGTCACTCGAGATGAGGCTGACCGTGATTTAAAAAAGTATTTATATGTGGACTAATGTAATTATTGATGTTTTTGTTCTTCGTATTGATATTTCAGTTCAAATATTCAATTAAAAATATAAAATACAGGAAGTTTTAAAAGTTCTTTGATGTGTCTTATTGTTTAATAAATTCTATTTCAGTGTTCATTTTATTTCATGTGTCTGTGCTTATTATGTAAATTTTAATAAGATAGTTTTGTTTTTCAAATATGTCACTTCATTTTTTTGTTATTGTGTTGAATTGCAAATTATGAATTTTAATGTGATGTTATTCGTTATCATTGTTATTTCGTGTATTGTACAACAAAATGTGTTTTTTTTATGTGTCTAATTGTTTAATAAAGTTTATCAATTTTAGCAGCGTTAGCGCCTTATACAAACAATAACATTGTTATATCCCGATAATTGGTCAATTATCACTTGCGTAAGTCGACGCAGTTACAAATAATTTCTTGAGAAATTTTTTTTATACTACTCTAATATACTGAAACAAAATAGAAACTTTCTCCAAGTTTGAATGTAGATATGTTAGTACAGTTTTTCAATCCTTTTGAAACTCATTTTTACGTTGAATAAACATTTCGGGCTTTTATACGGGGATTAGCTGACCGATTTTGCAAACAAAACGAGTTTTACGAGCTACTACATATATACAAGTGTGTACATCTATGTGGTACCCTTGACAACTGGCACATGATACTTTGCGAAAGTTTCCTTTTTTGGTTCAGTATATATATGTTTCATATGTTACATAGAAAGGTTTAGATTGAAATATTATAAAGAATACCAAAATCATCCACAATCTCGAGTGACATCGTCCATTCAGCAAATTAATATTCAATTACACATGAACTTTTAAAATTTATTTTATATTTTTACTTTTATATATGCATTAAAATATTAAAACGAAGAACAAAAACATCAATAATTTAATACTTTTATTACATTAGTCCACATATAAATACTTTTTTAAATTACGGTCCGCCTCGTCTCGAGTGACGGTCCGCCCTGTCCCAATATATGGTCCGCCTAGTCTCACGGTCCGCCCTGTCCTGCAGGCATCATGGAGACCCAGGCTAGTGGTCTATTAATGACTGTCTCATATGTTTCAAATACTTTATGTGGAATGTGGAATCATGTATTTATGGGATACTGTTTTACCGGTTATTAGTTAAAAGTTATCAATATTCCACATTAACAAATCATAAAGGATACGTTAATCTAAGCCATGCCGTTAAACGTGTAAGGAATAGGCTTGCTGCATGAGCAAATTCCTGTTCCAGTTCAGGGCCTGTCTTGTTTTGATTTTGAGCTATAAAGTCTTGTAAAATCTTTCTACGGGTTACTTTGCTGCCTTTGTCCCACTCCTGTAACACTGCCATCACTTTTGAAATGGCAGTTTGCTGTTTTGCTGACATTATTTAGTAGATCTAGTGTTGAAGTTTTGTCATTAAAGAGCACCTGTCTCCTGTCTCACAAGATATCTGAAAATAATAAATTGTCTCCGCAATACCCCTGCTGCAATAAAACAGGTTAACACACTTCCATGCGAATATTCTATATAAATGTCCCTTAATGAAAATTTAAATGAAAGAATTAGATGCAGATTTCACTAATTTTGCATCAAATTGGTCAATGAAGAAAGCGTCTTGTTGCTACACCGCCATGTTTGTTTACATTTGTAAAACGTTTTTTCATTGGTTAATCTACATCTGTGAAGCCAATCCTAAATAATGACACATAACGGAAGTGATTCTGAGGACGAAAGATGGAGGACGATGATCTTGAATACGATATAACATTTCCCACACCGCTACCCGCTGATGCACTAAACGACGAAGATGTTTTGTCGGGGGAAAAAGAACCTGTTGCCATATTGTTAGGATGGTTAGGCTGTACAGAGAAATATCTTTCAAAGTATGGTCAAATCTACAACGAAAGAGGGTAGGTGAAAAAAATGATGTTATCGTCCCCAAATTTGGTCGACTCTCGTTTCATTAAAAATAAGATCGATATCCAGAATAAACTTTATTAGCTAAATATAACTAAAACGTTGAGTGAAATAAACTTGATTAGCTGTAAATTTTGAGTCATGTTATTTTATTCCATGTTAACATTTGAAGATTAAAACTCTTTCCATATATCTATTCAAATATGAGCTGATGAGTAAAATTTATACATTTAAATATGAGTAAAATTTATACATTTATATAGTTTAATTGTCTTGTAATGTTTTGTTTGTTTTTTAAATCACCAACTGTCATCCTAGCTATGAAACAGCATTAACTTAACTTGACTCAGCCTTGTGAATTTTAAGCCTCGCAGATGAATGATTGTTATTGTGTCTATATATCTATAGTATACATGTAAACAGTTTTGGAACTAGCAACAGACTACTCTTATCAGTTATTTTCAGAGTAAAGATAACAGGCTGTATATTTCTCTGTATAAATCATACATATATTATCGGACGGATGGTAGGTTTAATAGTAAATTTAAGTACCTTTGGTGTCAAAAGATATGTTGAAGTTTGTGTCATGCATATGCATAGAATTTTGAAAATCACACAATAAATTGCAATAAACAAGCAGTTTAAAAATGGCAATTATTGTAATGTTTTGGCATCTACAAGATATTGATTGAGGACTGATAAGCTAACCTCTAGGTAGGTGGGAAACACTGAAAGTGTCTCTGAAAAATCCCAAGGGTGTTACCCTGGGTCCAGGATAGATCCCGGACCTCAGGAGTGACAGTCAGTGCTCTAACCAAATGAGCTATAGCGTCTTCGAAGGGAAACTTTTAAAATCATTCAAAAGTTTAATTTACATTGATCAAGGATATATCCCTGTCATTGTTAGGTCGAAAATCAAAGACAGGGTCAAATACTAAATATTCTTGATACAAAGAATAGTTGTTTTGAAAGATTTGATTTACTCCTCTCCATCAATGGTATCATTTGTCAATAATAGCATATCATTATATACTGCCCTTTATATTTTACTGCTTTTCAGTTTTTCAAGTACATGTAGCATACATTGTGTTTATCTTGTAAACCCTTATTCATGAACATAAAATTAAGCACTTTACAGCAGCATGTTTTTGAGAAACAGTTTTGATGGTAAAATTTTGTAAATGTTGAAAGGATTACTTATACTTCACATATTTGTTGATAATAACAGTAAGTCCTTGAGAATAGGAAATAAGCTCTTTAAACAGCTTAAATAACAACAGTGATAAAACTGTTTAGATGAACATAACTTGAATTATGTTAAAGTGCATTTAAATTTCTAATAAGGACATATGTTGCATCCTTAAACCTTAATGTTAACTAAATGTTTTGTTTTTTTTTTCTACTTTTTAGCTCGACTATTCGATAAGAATAAGTAGAGCTATTGCAGTCACCCGAGCGTCGGCGTCGGCGTAACAGGAGGAGGTAACTCTATCAAGCTTTTTGACAGAATTATGCCCCTTTTTCGAGTTAGAATTTACGTTAAAGTTTTTGTAATAGTTCAAATATTTTCAAAGTCGATTGACATATGGCTTTGAAACTTTGCACACTTGTTCACCATCATGACCCCAACCTGTAGACAGGAGGAGGTAACTCTATCAAGCATTTTGACAGAATTATGCCCCTTTTTCGACTTAGAATTTATGTTAAAGTTTTTGTAATAGTTCAAATATTTTCAAAGTCCATAGACATATGGCTTTGAAACTTTGCACACTTGTTCACCATCATGACCCCAACATGTAGACAGGAGAAGGTAACTCTATCAAGCATTTTGACAGAATTATGCCCCTTTTTCGACTTAGAATTTACGTTAAAGTTTTTGTAATAGTTCAAATATTTTCAAAGTCCATAGACATATGGCTTTAAAACTTTGCACACTTGTTCACCATCATGACCCCAACCTGTAAACAGGAGGAGGTAACTGTATCAAGCATTTTTTTTACTATCAAGCACTAAGAATAGTCGAGCGTTGCTGTCCTACCTACAGCTCTTGTTTTGTATATTAAACTATTAAAGGGACTCCAATAAGGTTTTTTGACATGACGGCACTGGAAAATAATTTTTCTAGATAATTAAATGTTCTATTTGATGTAGGTCTAGACCAATTACTTTTGTGCAATATTTCAGATCAATCATTCACTCCGCTATTCCAGAGTAATTATTTAAATTGTGAAAAATGACCTAAAATTGAGAAGTTTTTGTATATCTTTCTGTTGCAAGTGTCCCAGTTGATCTATGTAAGAAATGCAAATTTTATGTTTTTCTGGCTTTTGGGCCTCGATGGAGCTGCTTTAATTTTTAGAAAATAATATTCATGCCATGACAGTATGTACATGAACATGTACATGTATGAAGCTGACACTTATAGTCTTTTTTTCCTGAATTTTTAGATGTATAACTATAAGATACACTTCACCAAGGGATACTGCATATTTTAAAGCGGACAAATTGAAGGACATAGCTTGCAAGTTACTAGACCTGTTAGAAGACTACTCCATCACAGAAAATCCCATCATATTTCATATCTTTAGCAATAATGGTAGCTATGTTTATTCAAATGTTGTTGATGTTCTCACCAGTGGAGATAAAAGGTAAGGAATCTAAAGTTATAATTTATATTAGCTTGTTTATATGAAAATCTAGCTATTGTTATGGATGAGTCATCATTGCTGTAGTCATTATTGTGCAAAAACTTCAATATAGCACATTTCTCAAAAATTTAAATATTTGTACAGGTATCAACATGAAACTTGGAATGCTTTCATTATCACGAAATAGCATATTTATAAGACAAGGGTCATTATTTTTAAAGCTATATTTTTACTCATGCCCTTATAGATTTTTTGGTTGAAATAAGTTATTTCGAAAACTTACCTATCAAAGATATACTTGTTGATGGGGAAGGGTTACCTGCTGGAATCAAGACATGATAAGCCTTTTGCCACGAGATCCTGTACGGTTGTCTTACTATTATATTTTATTTGGTTTGGTTTTACCACTTAACCAACACAGTTTAGGTCATATGTCAAATTTTCATCTTGATAACCCCAAAGTTGATGAAATTGCCATGGAATTCAGCAAGTTAAGAAAGGCAATGTTTTGAGTTTACTTTAGTCAAAGTAACATTGAGTGGTATCTGTCAGTTTGACTGATATTCTTGTTAAATGTCTTCAAGAATTTTATTTTAAATTTGTTCTCAACAAATATGAATGTTTGAATATAATTATTTTACAGGTACCAGAATCTCAATGTATGTGGTGTTGTTATTGACAGTGCACCTGGAAAACCTCGTTTCAAAAATGCTGCCATAGCTTATGGGACAAGTATAAATGTTAATCCAGTATTGAAATATATTATGGTGTTAGGCCTATGGTTTTATTTAGCAGTCACTGGTGTTTTATCGAATCTAGCAGCAAAAGTCTATCCGAAAATAAAAGAAAATAATAATCATTTTCTTTACGACAAAATGGCATCTGATCCCACCAGATGGCCTATGCTGTTTCTATATTCAACGTCAGATAAAGTGATCTTAGCCGAGGATATTGAAGATATGATTAGCCGTAGACGTAAGCTTGGTGTAAGTGTCACATCCATGGTCTGGAATGACACTGATCATGTGTCACATTTGAGGAAACATGCTGAGGAATACTCTGAAATTTGTGGGGAATTTCTGCTTTCATGTCTCGGCTATGAACAAGAGTCGGAGCAGCATTCGGAAGAAGAAACAGCTGAGACCAATGAAGAGTACCTGTTGACAAAGAAGCAGTAATAATTGATCCCTTTCCCATAGATTGTAACAGTTGGGGAGCAGTTTCAACATCTAGCTTCTTATTGGCTGAATTTGAATTTAAAAATAGCCAATGAAAAAGTTGCATTTTGATGCTGATCTTCAGAATTTGCTGGCATAAAGTATGAACAAATGTCATTGTATTGATGTTAACAGTTAACATTTATATAAAAAAGGGAACTGTTACGGATTGCATTTAAGGGGATTTGTATATTTTATTGCTTAGGAATATTTAATAATAAATTTTTTTCTAATACAAGGACTTTAAATATTAGCTTTGTAGATGCTGCATGAAAGTTGCTGCAGCAGCAACTGACAACTTAAAATAGGTAGAAAGGTAGTTGTTTATTTGTTAAGTTGATAATATTTACAATTTGTAGATATAAACCAGAACAAGATATATATTTTCAATGATATGCCAGTTTTATATGTTTGTAGTTTAGATTTTTTTAAATGGATTGATACTCATAAATGTAAAAATCTGTGATGTATGCCGCAATTTCAAGATGTTGCCTTTTTGGAAAAATGTTCAGAGGAGTAAGGATTTTGCATTAGTGTTTTGTGAAATATTTGCCTCGATTTTTTTTTTCTGAGAAAGTTACGGTACAGAGAAAAAGATGCCAAAAGGTGGTATCTCTACTGTGTTACTGTCCGATGACGCGATTGCAAGTTACGTGGTATTAAGATTTCTTGATTTAACTACACCACTTGGTGCTGTAAAACAATTTAAAAACTTGATGGAAAATTGTTACATGCCTCAACATTAATGGGGTCAAGATAAATAAACAGACAACTTTATTATTTTGTTTACACATTTACATGTATGACATGATTCATGGTCAAACCAGTTTGTCCTACCTAAAAAGTGATGAAGTTATGCCAGCTGGTAGTGTTTATTTACGACTCTCCTTTACCATTCTACAACCAAGTGGTCAACCCTAGCCATCAAAAGTGAGCCAGGCCACCTGATATTCCAAACACTTTAAATGGACTTTTCGAACTTGAAAACAGGGCATATCTCATTATGATTATTTCAACTCCTCAATAAAACTAGGCTTTGAATTAATAAATATAAAACACCGGGTCTTAACTTCTGTTAGATTGGACAAACCCATTTCACAATTGCTGGAGATAAAGTGTTAATATGGAATACTTACTCTGACTTTATAATAACACATTCCAAATGTGTGCGACAATTTTCCATCATGTTTTTAAATACCAAAACAATAAGATATGCTCTCATATTGTGCCATATAGTACTTTTTTGTCAATACTTACAAGTATATCTGCATTTACAGAAAAAAATGACCACAATATTTACATATTTTTTCCCTTCATTCCCTCATTTTCATATATTAGGTCTTTGTACATGTACTATTTGTGCCAGAAAAAAACTGAATCTCTATGAAATCTGTGTATTTACAAAATATTTCAAAATAAGCATTTAGGATGGGTCAGATTTATTATACATGTATTATTTAGGTTTGTTGTATGGTGCTTGTGCTGACTTTTTGGGCATTTTTGTAATATGTCTCAAAATATTTAAAATTAGAGTTTTCAAATTTAAACCTGATTAAATAAGTTTAAAGGGATACTCAGGCAAATTAATGACAAAATATTAAAATGATCTTATGTACTCAAATCAAGCTAAAATTACATTTTTTAAAGTCCCAGCATGAATTTTTGTATAAATCTTATATATTTTTCGTTGGAAGCGTAAATATATTTATATATGTTGAACAAAATTAAGACGCCGACAGAATCACCAAGTAGTTTTTTAACAAGTCATGTAACTTGAACAAACTCTGGTAGGTACAATAACAGATATTGTGGATATTGTCTGATTGAATTAAGTCTAAGTTATTCCTTTAACGTTTCTAGAGTTAACTATGATAACTATGGTGAAATCTTAACGCTCTAACCTGACCCGCGTGGGTCAAGTTAGGAAACCGCCATTTTATTCTTAATAAGAAGAAAAGTTTTGTTCCTGTGACTGCTAAGTGGATTTATTTTGAGGACATTTACAGAATAATGAATAAAAAATTCAAAACGAAGAAATGAAAATTTTGCCTGTGTCTCCCTTTAAATGATTTCAGCCAGCTTTATTAGTTCTTGTAAAAACTTAAGTGACTTACATGCACTGAAAAAGATCCTGCCTTATAAGACAGCTATATTTTTCTCTCAAAAAAATTTTATATGCCATTACTCCCTTGGCCTACTCAATGGTATACTCAATTTATTTGTATGCATATTGGGAACTGTTATTACACATACATTTGTTGAAAAGAGTTGAGAGAATATTAGACTTTCTCCAAAATTAGGAATAATTTTGGGTTTTACCCTCAGCTAACCCAGGGGTACAAACAAACTTTTACAGTTACAGTTTAAAAAATAAGCACTGACTGACTAATCTATTGTTCACCTGGAAGTTGTAACGGTTAAAAATTTGTTTGTAGTGGGGGGGGGGAGGGGATTAGCTTGGAAAAACCCTCATCTGACGTACAAATAAATGTGACTTTAAGTGTTAGCCTTGGAAAAATAGCCCTTACTCATTAATTCATATAAAAGAAAAAAAGAAATATAATGCTAAATCTTGCCTTGGGTGGTTAATATTTGCACATTTCTGTAACAATTATTAGAGTCTATGAGGTTTAAAAATGTAAAGTGTTAATCTAAAAATTATAACATTATTTTTTCTTGTGTAGACAATAATGAAATATTTTACTTTTTATTTTTTTATAAGCCTAAACAAGTTAACCGTTAACCTATTGAACTAGCAGTGACAAACTTTTGCCAACAGTATAAACCCAGGCCAGTTTTAACATGCTCCATTATTAACTGTTGGTAGCTTAAATTTTGATATTGAAACACCTTAAACTTTGAATGGTGTATCATTGCACTATTATGATGCCAGATGCTGTCTTTACCCATTTTTTTTGTTTTTCCTTTGATTATGCATTTATTATGTCTTCATTAATGGCTTATTATTTTACATAACATGTTAAGGTATATAATTTATTATGCATTTATGTTTTTAATATAGTTATTATGTTTTCAGTATATTAAGTTATTTATCTTATATAGTATTTCTGTTACTTACTTTGTATTAAGAAAAGCTTATTTTGTCTAGTCAAAATGCTTTTTTTTAAGTGTTCTGGAGTTTTTGTGTTTCTGACTTACTGGTTCTTGATCTTATACATGAGAACGGGGGTTGTTTTACATCTTACAGATTTTGAAATTCAAACTCTTGTATCTGATTGGTAGATTTTGAAAATTCAAATACTGATATCTGATTGGCAGATTTTGAAAATGAAACATTGATATCTGATTGGCAGATTTTGAAAATGAAACATCAATATTTGATTGGTAGATTTTGAAATTCACACACTGGTCTCCGATTGGTAGATTATGAGCAAATAAGTATGCATCAGAATTATAGGTTTTGTCTTCTTAGAAATGTTAAATTTTCTGTTAAATGTCCCATACTAAATAATGACATTATTTATTGAAATAAAGCTGAAAAAGCAACTTTAAGGAGCTGATTGCAGATATTAGATGATATGCTTGGAATACCTTTAAAAAGTAATATTTCATTTTCATTAAAATTTAACTAGAGGCATTGAAAATATGGTAATTGAAACTGTCAAAAATTAACAAGGGTATGACTTAACCATGTAGGCTTATTTTTATTGTTGATGATACAGTTTTATATTCAATATTATGTATTACTACTTGTTCAAGTATTATGTGTACTAAAAATCAATTTTATTTCTATCACAGTGTTATAGATTACAAAATCATTATCTTCCTTTGTTTTTGTATATTTTCCTACATTGGCAGAAAACTATTCTTGATATTTTACTATATATTATATACGGTATTAATCTTAAGTTTAAAAGTTGATGAAATATCCATTTTTAACCCTCTTTAAGACTGCTTTTTCTTTGCCTAGATAATTAAACTTATTGATGTGAACACTCTGTTTTGACATTTCTTTTCTACACTGTTCATTATCTAGATTACATGGAATTCTCTGCTTGAAAGTCTGTGTAATAGTAACCAAATTATGAATATTGTAGTAAATGACTAAATAATTGGAAGATGCTGCTGAAAATTATGTTGATACCATCCATGAAAAGATAATTATTTTACATTGCTTTTTTAGCTCACCTGTCACAAAATGACATGGTGAGCTTTTGTGATCGCTTTTCGTCCGGCGTTCTTCCGTCCATCCGTCTGTCCGTAAACTTTTACTTTAAACAACATCTCCTCATAAACGGTTATGCCAATTTCATCCAAACTTCACAGGAATGTTCCTTTGGTAGTATTTAAAAATTGTTCAAAGAATTTAATTCCATTCAGAACTCTGGTTGCCATGGCAACCGAAAGAAAAAACTTAAAAAATCTTTAAAAAACCGAAAGAGCTAGAGCTTAAATATTTGACATGAAACATCATCTAGTCAGAGTCTATCAAGTTTGTTCAAATAAAAGCCCTGGGGTCAAAATTGGCCCTGCCCCGGGGGTCATTGTTTTTCCCTTTATTAACATAGTAGAAACTTAAAAAATCTTCTTTTAAAAACCCAAAGAGCAAGACCTTAGATATTTAGCATGAAACATCTTCAAATGGGTGTCTACCAAGTTTGTACTAATAAGAGCCCTGGGGTTAAAATTGGCCCCCGCCCCGGGGGTCATTGATTTTCCCTATGTGAATAGTAAACACTGAAAAAATCTTAAAAACCCAAAGAGCTAGAGTTTAGATACCAATCATTAAATATCTTCTGGTTATTGTGTACCAAGTTTCTTAAAATACAATCCCTGGGGTCAAAATTGGCCCGGCCCTGGGAGGGGGGATAATTGTTTTTCCCTATATGTGTATAGTAAAAACTTAAAAAATCTTCTTTTAAATCTATAAAGTGCTAGAGCTTAGATATTTATCATGAAAAATCTTCTAATGGGTGTCTACCAAAATTGTTCAAATAAAAGCCCTTGGGTTAAAATTGGCCCTATTCCAGGGGCCTATATACAGGTGAGCGATTTCAGGGCCATCATGGCACTCTTGTCTGTTTTTGTTTTTTTCATAGGTCCTTTATATACTGTACACTATTATTTATTGTTGTCTTTTCTTTTCCTTTTTAGGCACTAGTTTAGGGAAGTATACAAACACTAACATTTAGCTTTTTAAAAAAAAGGAAAACATTAAGATGCCTAACTAGTTGACTTTTTTGAATAGATTTATAAAGAGTGTGAACTTAAGATTCTTGTTTTTACTTTTTTTTGTTTGCTTTTAAAAATGCTTTGATGCAAGATTATTGCATTTTTTAAAAAAAAAATTTTGTCATTAGGCTATATCATATTTGACTTTTTTCATAAGAGTGTATGAAAAAATTTAATTGTTACTTATGCTTGAAATATATAAACATATATTTACATAATTATATATATTATATACAATGTCAGTATCAGTTATTGTTCAAAATGCATTTCGTCCAAAATAATGACATACAGACAGCTTTAGTTTGATCAAATAATTCAATCAGTTATATTGTAGTCTTTATTTTGTCTTTCATATGTTATTTCTGCTTATTGTAATTGTAAAATTGTATTTATTTTTCCACAAAATAAATCTTTAAAGATTATGTATTGTTTTGTTGTGTTTGTTTTTGGGAGTTTATGCAGCAAGAGATTGGGGTTTGGAAAGACTGTTAAGAATAAATCATAAAGGATATACTTTTACTAACCCATTTTCTTAACTATTAAATCACTCAGTCACAGAATATTAATCTTAACTGCTTACAAGTAAACCATAAATCTAACCAAGACTCCTAAGCTGTTCACTACCCAATTTCAAGAAATAATCTTTACCAGTTGTCATGAAACATACACTTCATTCCCACGATCCTTGTATAAAAATTATTTAAACATTTCATAAAATACCAGTTCATAAACTGTACCAGTTCTCATCATGTATAAACTTTTAAAATTTCCACAAGAAACAGACCTTTTAAGTTTACAAATTTATCATAAATTTACATAGTTCTTATATAAATATAAACTGAGTCTATTTTTACTGACCATAAAACTTCCTATGAACCATAAACTTAACCTGAGACTTGAAGAATCATTAACTTACAATCAACATGATTCTTGACAAGAACCTTATCATTTTTCAAGAGCAATAAACTTTAGTGGTTCCAATAAATCTTACAGTTCACATGAATATGAAATGTACCAGTTATCATTAACCATAAACTTCCCCAGTTTCCAAGAACCATAAACCTTCCCAGTTTCCAAGAACCATAAACTTTCCCAGTTTCCAAGAACCATAAACCTTCCCACTTATCAAGAACCATAAACCTTACAAGTTTATGTAAACCATAAACCTTACAAGTTTACATTAACTTTACTTTACTTCATAACCATTAAACATGAACCATTTGAATTTGTAAACTATAAACCTTTTCGATATGTTCTTATTAATTTTTTGACAAAGGACATAAATGAAATCTATACAGATCTACAAAATATTGAATGCATATAAAACATAGCTCTTTTTTCATTAAAAAAACAAAACAATTGAAACAAGAGCCGGTTGAACCGGGTGATGCTGCCTGACTATGTTTTGGACACAGAAAAGTATATCTTTTTGTAGTTTCAGAGTTATGTCCCAGACAAAGTTCAAAGTGTGATAATTCCAAACTTAGGCAAGGCAGAGTTACTGTTCTTTGCACTGCACTTTTACTCAATGAGATCTATCGACCGACTTGCGCGCGACACGTCTCAATATGGTGATCATTTCTATGAAATAGTTGTAAAATCCGACTTCAAATAACGAAGTAATGGGCCAGACACAATTTTGCTGCAAGGTCATGTTGTGACCTTTTCCTTCAAGGTAGTGATCCAAATGTTGTGTGTGACACATCGTCACAAAATGGTGATTATTTCTATGAAATGGTTGTAAAATCCGACTTCAAATAACAAAGTTATGGGCCAGACACAATTTTGCTGCAAGGTCATGCTGTGACCTTGACCTTCAAGGTAGCGACCCAAATGTTGCGCGCGACACGTCTCAATATGGTGATCATTTCTGTGAAATAGTTGTAAAATCCGACTTCAAATAACAAAGTTATGGGCCGGACACGATTTTGCTGCAAGGTCATGCTGTGACCTTCAAGGTAGCAACCCAAATGTTATGCACGACACATCTTCTCAATATGGTGATCATTTCTATGAAATAGTTGTAAAATCCGACCGACTTCAAATAACGAAGTTATGGGCCGGACACAATTTTGCTGAAAGGTCATGCTTTGACCTTGACCTTCAAGGCAGCCACCAAAATGTTGCGCATGACACATCGTTTCAATATGGTGATCATTTCTGTGAAATAGTTGTAAAATCAACTTCAAATAACGAAGTTATGGGCCGGACACGATTTTGCAGCAAGGTCATGCTATGACCTTGACCTTCAAGGTAGCAACCCAAATGTTATGCGCGACACGTCATCTCAATATGGTGATCATTTCTGTAAAATAGTTGTAAAATTCGACTTCAAATAACAAAGTTATGGGCCGGAAACAAATTTTGCTGAAAGGTCATGCTGTGACCTTGACCTTCAAGGTAGGGACCCAAATTTGCGAGCGACACATCGTCTCAATATGGTGATCATTTCTGTGAAATAGTTGTAAAATCCAACTTCAAATAACAAAGTTATGATCCGGACAAGAATTTGGGACGTACGTACGGATGGACGACCCGGCGACTATATGCTACCCCAAATTTTTCGGGGAGCATAATAAATGAAGGACATCACAAGTTTACAACTTTTTACTACAATATCAGATTTATAATCATCAATTTAGATAATCATTCGATAACAATTTTGATATAATATTTTACATAAATAACAACATTCACAAGACTATTGCTAGAAATTTGTCCACAGGACACTCACTCAGATGCCCCTACTTCATGGCATATTACGTACACTTCACTTGGTGTAAATTTCATATATAAATTTATTTGAACCAATGGTCTCTGGATTGCAAGTCAGGCATGCTAACCACTACACACACACAACCTTGAAGTGTTTTCTTCTACTCGGCCTTAAATAAGTTATTTGTAACTTATATCAGGTGACATCATCTTTATCACCGAAGTGGCAAGCTTTTTATAACTTATAATCATTAGGCTGATGCAGTGTGTGAATTTTCTTTTTATAAATTATCAATTTCAGAAACCAATGACAAAAACTTCAGTTATTGATACACAGTGTCAATATGACCTTGACCTTATTACTTCAAAATAAAAAGGGGTCAACTTCCAAACCTTGACCTTATTACCTCGAAATGAACAGGGTCATCTTCCAAACCTTGACCTTATTACCTCGAAATGAACAGGGTCATCTTCCAAACCTTGACCTTATTACCTCGAAATGAACAGGTTCATCATCCAAACCTTGACCTTATTACCTCGAAATGTAAAGGGTCATCTTCCAAACCTTGACCTTATTACCTCAAAAATGAACAGGGTCATCATCCAAACCTTGACCTTATTACCTCAAAATAAGCAAGGGTCATCTTCCAAACTGAGGTTTATTCATTCCTTCTAAAGTTACTGATTAGAAAAAAAAATTACACAGTGTCACTGTGACTTTGACCTTACAATATAAATAAGGGTCATGCTATACTACACTTTTTCCTTCCCAATATATTGATCAGACAAGAATTTGTCCACCAAGAGTCATTATGACCTTGACCTTTGACCAACTGATCTCAAAATCAGTATGGGTCATTTACCAGCCATGGGTATTGTCCATTTCAAGTAAACTAAATCATCACTTATTCCTTCTTAAGTTACTAATTGATTTAACATTTTACATAAAAAATGTCACTGTGCCTCAAAATCAATGGGGTCATCTACTGTCCCTACTAAATAGTAAATAAACCATGGCTAATTCATTCTCAAGAAATTGATCTGGCAAGGATTTTACATTAATAGTCACTGTGACCTTGCCTTATGACACTTTTTTCAGACTCAATAGTGAGCATCTACTTGCCATGGGCAATGTCCCTTCCAAGTTACATAAACCATGGCTTATTCATTTCAAGTTATTAACTCGACAAGGATAACAGTACATACATAATTATGGACATAAATATATTATCTAATATACATGATAAAATATATAAAATAAACAAACATAATAAATACATTGTCATCCATGTATGTAATTTAAATGACAATATTTGTGAACTTTTAAAAAATTGCTAAATGTTTTGCACACTGCAATGCCTTAATATTGATACACATACAAACATGTCTAAATTCTCAAAAAAAAGAGTTATTTCATGTTTTAAAACATGCAGTTATGTCCCATTGCTTATACTGAAATCATTTAGCAGTTTTAATAATTATAGGACCACTTTGGGACCATTTCTGAAGTTTCCATTTCACAGAGGCATCACAACTCACCTTAAGCACTTTGAGCTTGGTGAACTAAAAACGTAGCATTTAAAACATTGCACATTGGAATGAATCAATATTGCACATATCCAAAAAAAGAGAAATGTCTGTGAACTATTCCCATTATGAATATGTTTAAACAGAAATATATTAATCATAGTAAATATCAAGCAACAAATATTTGTATCATTTTCACAGTGATAAAGTCTAAGCTGCAGGGCAAAACTTCTTGTCATTTTGTTTCATCTGAGTCAGTAATTCTTCAGACATTCTTTGCTTTGCATTTATATTATTACTGGAGGAAAAAGAATGTAAATCCCACAATGCACCTTGTGTAGACATGATAAGCTCACTGTAGTCATTCTGAAAAAAAAAAAAAAAAAATTCAATTTCCATTTCATTAAAAAATAAAAACAAGAGTTGTCATGCAAAAGTGACAAATGCCCCAATAAGGTTTTTACAACATTTATTGCACATGTTTATCCCTTAAGGGAGTATTTTCTGTGCCTTTCTTTAGTTTTTGCACTGTTAAGTTATTCATGTGGCGGCATGGCCGAGTGGTTAACCCGTCGGACTAGTAATCTAAGGATTGCTGACCGCGTGGGTTCAAACCCTGTCAGGGGCAAGCCGTTGTTTCCTTGAGCAAGAAACTTTACACTCATTGCTTAGTACTGGTTGGTTCCAGGAAGGGATTCGAGAGTGTTTCAATAAGCTTATAGCTTCCAACACAATCGAACTAAAATAAATTTGTATAAACCAAGAGTTATAATTCCTTTTTTTAAATTGACAGAAAATAAATGTACAGCACATTCTGTATCAATGCATCTTCTGTTCATACAGAAATTTATGTACAGACCTTAGGAAGTGATTTTGTTCCTAAATACCCAGGATCCACTCCAATGGTTTTTCCCTCCCAGTTAATTCCAATCATTTCAGCGCCAGAGGTCTTTTTGTGTGTTGATAAAACATTCAGGGTGATCCCTTTTTCCTTCAGGTCATCTAACACAGCTGAAATGTCTGCAGCTTTACCAGAACTCTGCAAATAAAATAAACTCAAAACTGGTACTTTAAATAATTCAGGAAAATCATTTGGAAAGAATCTCTAAAATTCATTTTAATGTACATCATTATACAAAATGTACATCACTATACAAACAACTAAGAAAAACAAGATTTGTTTGTAAAACATGTATGCCCCCTATCGGCAGCCATTTAGTCATTTGATCAGGTAATTACTGACTTTTGACCTAGTGACAAAAAATCAATAAGGGTTATTTACTGGTCATGACAAGTCACTAGGTAATTGTGACCAAAAAAGTTGTGTGCAGCAATTTTATGACAAAGTTATTACAAATCTTACCAGATAGTATATGCATACATTGCATGAATCATGTAGGCCTCATTAATGACAAGCCAAGTTGTTATATAACATAAGACCTTGAAATGTGTATACCACAAAGATTTTAAGTTAGGGCCGGGGCGAGTATCCGAGTACTCGAATAATCACGAATCAAAATGAAAAATCGAGTTTGAATATTCGTCAGAGATCGTGGATAGCGATTTAATTTTTTTTATATACATTCACTGTTTTTCACACTCTTAAAATCGAGAAAAATATGATTTGAGTATGAATTATATGTAGTTTACCTAAATACAATTTGCCGGTTAAAGACCATATACCATGATGCTGAGCTAGGAAGTAATAGGTTTCAAAAAACAAAACAAAATACTCATCCAAAGAATAAAAACATAAACCTAGTTTATATTTTATATGTTTTATGTTTAGTATTTTTTTTTTTTTGTTTTTTTTTTAAATAAACATGTTTTTATAACTAATGTACATGTTTGTATGGGTGTCTTGAAAACAAAAGATTTGTGGTTCGATTTGTGAATCATAAGTGCTGAATTGTGGTTCGGATCGGATCGTCACTTATCCGACTATCCACACCCCTATTTTAAGTTAAATAAAAAAAAAATGAACCAAGGCAACTTGAGTTGTTTAGTTATTGGTCAGAAACAGTCTTTACATACAAGGTCAATATGACATTGAACTTTGACCCTTAAATCAATAGGGGTTATCTACTGGCCAAGACCAATGCACCTGTGAAGTTTGAAGGTAAAGGGCCCATGAGTTGTTGGGATATTGATTGAATAGCATTTTTATCTATAATGTGTTCTTGACCTTTGACCCCTTAGCCCCAAAATCCATTTAGGTCATCTTCTGATCAAAAGCAATGCATCTGTAAAGTTTGAAGGTTCATGGGTTGTCCAGTTATTGATAGAAAACCATTTTGAATAACAAGGTCAATGCAACTTTGACCTTTGACCCCCTGACCTCAAATTCAATAGGGTTCATCTACTGGCCAAGACCAATGCACCTACAAAATTTAAGGGCCAACAGCCCATAACTTGTCAAGTTATTGATCGGAAACCATTATTACCTACAAGGTCAATGTGACCTGTCTGTCCCCTTGACTCCAAAATCAATAGGGGTCATCTGCTGGTCATGAACAATCACCATACCAAGTTTGAAGTTCCTAGGCCTAAGTGTTCTTTAGTTTCTGATTGGAAACCGTTTTTACCTTCAAAGTCAATGTGACATTGACCTTTGATCCATAGAGGCTCAGGTTATATTTACAAACAACCATTTATATAGGGCCATAAAACCTGTCAAAATATTTATAACTAATAATATAAACGGTTGTTAGCAATATAACCCTCACCTAGTGGCTTGGGTTATGTATACAAACAAATGTATATAAAGGACCATAATAACCAGTCAAAAATCTTTACAATTAATGATATATATAAAATCAATATTTAATGACATTTACATGCTTTTTCAAACATCTTTAGAACTTAGTCAAACACCTTTATACATTGTACTTATATATGTTTATTCATCTTTACAAACATGTACATGCTTTTTCATATCTATATGAATACTCAATTATCTTTCTTGCTTTTTATATATTAGTGAATTTTGACCTAGGAGAAGTGGAGCTAAAATTTCAATGCTAACAATAATTATTGGAAAAGGTTAAATTTTCTTAATAAATCAGTTCCAAAATCAGGCAATGCTAAGAAGCACTCATTTCTTTGGTCAATATTTTTGAGGGATCCAACAAGAAGGATACATAACTTATAATGATTATTCAAGGTTATCCAAATACTGTAGACTGTATGCATACCTGTTCTTTAGTCATTAAAACAATGACTAATTTTTGTGAAACAGGACTGAATGGCAGTCGAGCAGCCTCTTGTATGGCACCAAACGCATCTATATTTACTGTGCCTTCTGTCATCTGCTGGCTTACTTCAACTAGTCCATCCCAATCATAATCATTCCGATCAACAAAAACCCTGAAATGAAAGAAGTATAAAATTTATATCACACTACATTGTGTCCATACAATGTCAATGCCCCTGTCATAGGTCATTTCTACCTCCAAAAATAACTTTGACATGGGTGCAATCTGATTTAAATCAGCTCCAAATTAAGACTACACATTAGAATCTGACAACCACCAATATGAAGGTGAAACAAATATGGTGGCGATCAGATCTACATGCATGAAATAATTAACTTAAGTTTATCTGAACTTTAGTCAGATTGACATGGGTGTTGCATGCAATGCACATTTTGACCCTGGTGAAGACATCTGCAAAAGGTTTTGATAGTTCATCATGAAATAAGAAAGTAATAAGACGGAGAGGAAAGTAGACATCATTTAGTATTTTTCTTTATATTAACAAATGAAAATGATATATCAGTCACAATCGCATATGACTTATAAATATATATCTTAATCAGAAATGGAAGATGATGGTAAACATTCTGTTTGTTATAACATGGCTTTAATTACAACCATGGTAATAAAGGATTTGGCTCTCTATTAAACCATCTGATATATGGAACTAATTTGTTATATCAGCTTACATGCTTTCAAGGAATTCCTGATATAAGCAACAAATTTTGAATGTTCCAGTGAGTTTGCTGTAAGCATAGTTTATTGTAAGCAAATATTTCAAAATTCATTAAGTAATAGCAAAGGCATAAGCAGAGGACTGGATTTGACTTTTGCCCTTTAAGTATTACTTTGACATTGAAAATGCAGAAATGAGTTTTTTTAAACAAAACATTATTTCCTTAAGGTGATAATGTGTACCTATTCATTTAGAAATCCCATCATGCATGCAAATCACTTCAGACTTTATAAACAAAGTTAAATCATCTGTTGTGACCTTAACCTTTCAGCTCAAGACCTGTGCATGCAGCACATAACATTTTCTACTTATGATGGTCATGTGAACAAATATATTATTAAATCAAATAATGTATGTAGAAATTATGGCTCTAATACAAACTCGTACAGCATTTCAGACTATAAGGGAAATATATTATAAATTATACAAAACTTAGCCTAGAATAAGGCTTAATTCAAAAAGATATAGTCTTATGTGCAATAATAAAAGCCCATTAAAGCACACCTGTTTTGATTATCCTCCAATCTTATAACATGAGGTGCCTCATCACTTCCACCAAATAACACAACACCTAGTCGAACTTGACTGAACTGGTCCCAGGCTTCAAGCAGAGCTAGTTCTGATACAGTATCTAAAACTCCAACTTGGTTTTCTGTCATGCCTACATGACGTGAAACAACAAATACAATATCTACAGAACCAGCTGATGTTTTCAGGGAACCAGTCATAGAACCCTCTTCAATAGGAGGTTCAAACTGACATATTCCTGTAAATAACAAAAAAAAATTTTTTGCATCTTTACTATCTTTATTAAAATTACACCAAAATTATGCAAAATTGTTCATAATCCTAACCCTTTTCACCCTAAATATCTTGAATGGACCGGTCCATCTAGACAAAACATTCATGATCTTTAAGGTAAATATCAAAATATGAATCACTTGAATAGGGAAGTGCATACCAAGATCAGCTAGCATGAAAGTTTTTGATGGTTGCATTATATAAGTAAGTGTGCAAACAGTTTTGTTTGGTTTTATAGTGCGTCAACAAAATCTAGGTCATATGTTGCCGAAATTTGGCTAACCTGAGGGGTGTCACAAACTTAAAGCAATACCAGAAGTCAAGAACACACACTTGCTGTAGCCAAGAGATGCATAGACTCCAGTAATAGGAACCCATTTAGTTGCCTGGTGACTGTATATCTGGTGCCTCAACCCTTCAAGGCAATCTCTCAGCCACAAAGGGGTTGGAGGTGCAAACAGTGATATGGTGCAAACTACGATATTATACAATCACTTGTGTTTATTGCGATTTCAAATTAGAAAATGTTTGATAGATATTTTGTTATGCTATATAATGCAAGTTTTTCCCCCCAAAATTGGTCAAATAATGTTTTGATATCAAGAAAGAGAATTTAATCAGTGGAACAATGGAATGAAAACTGATGATGGAATTTCACACCATTGTACGTGTCTGTTAAAGAAATTCTAATGATTTATAAGTACGAGGGACGGTCAGAAAATATCCGGACTTTTGACTCGTTCTCGAAAACCATTCAACATTTTAAAAAAAATCTTTCTACTCTTTTTCAAAATATTCTCCACCTACGTCTACGCACTTTTGCCATCTTCGTGGGAGCTTTTGTATTCCCGCTGTGAACCATGACGTAGACCTATGTTTTAGGTACTGTGACACTAACAGAAGATATCAAAGCTGCCCTGCAAGCAATTTTTTCAGGTCTGGAAACAAATAAAAGTCACAGGGGGCGAGGTCTGGGCTATAAGGAGGGTGAGACAACAATTGCCATTTGTAAGAGTTGATAACCTCCACTGTAGCTGCGGCGGTATGGGAGGGGGCGTTATCGTGAAGAAGGAGGACATTTTTCTGTGCTAACCTGGGACGCATTCGCTTCAGCTTTTCTCTGAGATTTTTCAGAATTACTTCAGAATAGTACTTGGCGGTGACAGTTTGACCTTTTGGCATGAAATGAGTAAGTATCATTGAAGTATCATATAAGTATTCATATGCATGAATCCCAAAAGGCAACAAGCATGACTTTGCCAGCCGAAGGAGACAGCTAAGACTTTTTAGGAGGCGGGGAACCAGCTCGTTTCCACTGCTTTGACTGAGATTTTGTCTCAGGTTCGGAATAATGAACCCACATCTCATCTCCAGTGATAATGCGGTTCAAAAACTTATCTCCTTCATGATTAAAACGACTTAAATGTTCTTTTGCATTGGTTACTCTGGTTGCTTTTTGATCTGCGGACAGCTGTCTAGGCACCCACCTGGCACTTACCTTGCTCATGCCTAGGTGTTTGTGTAAAATCTTGTGTGCTGATGCCTTACCGATGCTAAACTTGTTGGCTACCTCCTCCAAAGTTACTCAACGATTTTTGTTGACAAAAGCTTTAACATTTGCTACCATTGTTGGGGTCACCGCCTCAGCTGGCCGCCCAGTCCTAGGCCTGTCACAAACACTTGTTCTGCCTTCACTAAACTGAGAAATCCAGTTGTAGAAGGTTGAACGTGATACACATTTATCAGAAAATCTTTTTTTAACCCTTTCCCCCATGAGCATATTGTGGAAAATGGCCGTTTTCACTGAAAAGCTTCCTGTTACAAGTTCAAACTGCTATGAAACTATGAAAAATGCTTCAATACTAATCAAACTTGGCACAAATGTTGACTGGACCATTGCCTTTGTAACGACATGCTCAGTCTTAAATTTCCTGTTACCATGGCAACGAGGGGGCATCTAAAAATTGCCCAAAATCACTATTTTGCCTCGATTTTTTCCATCAAAATTTATTTCAAAGTGCTGCAACTTCTCAAGGGATTGAGATAGAGTCAAAGGCTTTTCAGCGTTGGTTACACGTTACAGTATGATCGACCTGGGGTCATTTTTAGCCTCTCACCAGTCCAAAATTTTCTTGGCGATGAGGGGGACTCCGCCCCCCTTCAAACCCCCCTAACAGAAGGGGGCACATCCCCCTTCTGGCAACCCCCTGATGTATCTTTTGGATGGGGGCGGCGCCGAAAAAGTGCTCAATATTTTTAGCAACATTTCTCAAACGTAAACATGTGTTTGGGGCCCAAATAGGACATTTTTTCACTCTTTGAGGCCTAAAAAGGGGGGGGGGGTTCGAAAGTGCGTTGTTTCGCCTATATAAGGGGTAAAGGGTTAACAAAAAATAATGAAAAACTTTGAAATCACCTAAAAACAATTTTTTCCATGTTAACATGTGGTCTTTCACCTAATTTTGGTGAAAAATTGTTGTTTTGTAACATTTATAATTTTTTTAGTTAACCCTTTCCCCCATGAGCATATTGTGGAAAATGGCCGTTTTCACTGAAAAGCTTCCTGTTACAAGTTCAAACTGCTATGAAACTATGAAAAATGCTTCAATACTAATCAAACTTGGCACAAATGTTGACTGGACCATTGCCTTTGTAACGACATGCTCAGTCTTAAATTTCCTGTTACCATGGCAACGAGGGGGCATCTCAAAATTGCCCAAAATCACTATTTTGCCTCGATTTTTTTCCATCAAAATTTATTTCAAAGTGCTGCAACTTCTCAAGGGATTGAGATAGAGTCAAAGGCTTTTCAGCGTTGGTTACACGTTACATTATGATCGACCTGGGGTCATTTTTAGCCTCTCACCAGTCCAAAATTTTCTTGGCGATGAGGGGGACTCCGCCCCCCTTCAAACCCCCCTAACAGAAGGGGGCACATCCCACTTCTGGCAACCCCCTGATGTATCATTTGGATGGGGGCGGCGCCGAAAAAGTGCTCAATATTTTTAGCAACATTTCTCAAACGTAAACATGTGTTTGGGGCCCAAATAGGACATTTTTTCACTCTTTGAGGCCTAAAAAGGGGGGGGGGTCGAAAGTGCGTTGTTTCGCGTATATATGGGGTAAAGGGTTAAGCCTCTGAAAGATGTGGCAGGGCTTTTCACCTTTTGCAACCAGAAACTTTACTACAGAGCGTTGTTCCTCTAACAAAGAGTCAATGATAGACGAAACACCTATCATATATCAGAGGGCAAAATACTGTGTATACACAACTATCATTGAAAATAATCTGACCACGTTATTGGCGAATGAATGTAGTTTTCACCAATATATAATGTGTGTATATAAGCTGCACGTGGAAAGAGAGGAGCATGAAAAGTCAGGATATTTTCTGACCCTCCCTCGTAAAATGAAAACAAAAATATTAGGGTGTATTTTCTGTAATAAAAGAATAATATTTCCTAGTTTAAGCAATTGTATCTTTTCAAAGGATTTTTATTATAAGATGTAAAATACAATCAAAAGCAATCAGTTAAGATGGGAACATAGTTGTAACAACACCTTTAAACAGTCTTATATAATATTAAGCCACTGATCGGCAGATTGATTTTATGTCATCATTTTAAACAATATGAAAGTGTCAAGCTTTATAGCTTTAATGAGTTTTCTCTTTAAATGTAAAATCTGGAAAGCTTTAGACAGACCAATTGACTACCCAGCCTACCAACACCCATTCCCTTGCAATTTTTTTTTGTAATCTCACCTTTTATTTTTGCTGACTCATCAATACGTCCTTTCTTTTGACAAATATCCATGTAGACTTGGACAGCATGGCATGGCTGCACACATTTGTTGTTTACAAGGTTGCAGTAATCCTATAAGCATAGTGTTACTTCATTTAGTGAAATCTTAAAATTCAACCTTTATCCTCTTCCAATTGTCTTGCATTAACTTTATATCCATTTAATGGCATTTATTGTTGATCTAAAGGTCACAATGCTTAAATTGAGCGACCAACAGTACAGGATCTCAGGTCACACTGTCCAGACATACAGGCTGACCGGGCTTTATACTAGTGACATAAGCAATTCTTATGTCACTAGTAAGTTGCTATTAACCTTAAATTTAATTCTTGAAGTTAAAAATTCAGTTAAAAACCTGTAGTGTATCACATATCCATGCAGCGTTATGTAATAGAATGTTATATTTGTGACGGTTACTTACAAAGTTTATAGTACTTGTGAATAAAAGTAATATCATGCTCACCAGAGGCTCATATATGACACATGTATAATTTTATTCAACTTGTTAACCCATTACTTCATGAGCATTTTGTGAAAAAAAAGTCTCCCGTTACAAGTTCAAATTGCTATAAAACTATAAAAACTTCTTCAATGCTAATTAAACTTGGCACAAATGTTGACTGGACCATTGCCTTTGTAACAACATGCTCAGTCTTAAATTTCCTGTTACCATGGCAATGAGGGGACATCTCAAAATTGCCAAAAATCACTATTTTGCATTGATTTTTTTCCATCAAAATTGATTTCAAAGTGCTGCAACTTCTTAATGGATTCAGATAGAGTCAAAGGCTTTTCAGCTCTGGTTACACATTACCTTATGATCGACCTGGGGTCATTTTTAGCCTCTCACAAGTCCAAAATTTTCTTGGCTATAAGGGGGACCCCCCAAACAGAAGGGGGCACATCTCCCTTCTGGCAACCCCACCTTTTGGATAGGGGGCGGCGCCGCAAAAGTGCTCACTTTTTTTATCAACATTTCTCAAACAAAAACGTGTTTGGGGCCCAAACAGGACATTTTTTCACTATTTGAGGCCTAAAAGAGGGAGGGGGGGGGGGGTCGAAAGTGCGTTGTTTCGCAATATATGAGGGAAAGGGGTTTAAAAAATTCACTTCAGTATTGAACAAACTAAAAACAAAATCCCTATTTTTTAAAGCAGAATTTGTAACCTTGAATTTCATTAGACGAATTTGTACAATATTAATATTAGCAATAATAAATTCAATTTGCAATCTTACTTACTCTGAAAGAGAAAGTTTCATAGCAAGCGTTATAAAAATTGCTTGTAAATGCTCTCTCACAAACTCTATCATCACATTCTGGTACCCTTTTTGTCCCATCTACTTCAGCTTTTGACCAGCACATTTGGGGACCAGCCACTACATACTCTGCCGCAAACTGCTTTTTATCTTTAGTCAAAGCTCCATGTTTAAGCCGGAAATCAGTAAATTTTTCCTTATCATTTGTACCAAGTAAACCTTGAATGTAAAAACAATGTTCATAATAATACGTTCCTGACCACCATTAGAAGCCATGATACACATACTGTATATACTGCCGATATGGTAAATAGCCTGGGTTGGCGAGGCCACTTCCTGACTTACTACTAGTATCTAATATATTAATGATATTATTGATGATATGTATGATTATTTTTCTATGCTGTTAACTGTGATGATAATCCTGATGAATGAGGTGGTATTATGATTTGAGATAGAGATGATTATAAAGATGTTGGTGGTGGTGATGATAGAAAACAATGATGATAGTGCCAATCTTGATAGTGATGGTGATGTTAGTCATCTAAATGATGTTTAAAGGAGCTGAGCCACTGAGAATCAATAGCATATAAACATGAAATTTAATTTTTTTACATAGATCAGCTGGGCAACTTAAGACAGAAATATATGCAAAAGTTATTCAGAAAAATATTCAGAAATGCATTGAATATCATATTTGTTTGCTCTTCTTAGCCTGATTGAAGTTTAGGCCATTTTTCACAATAAGAATAATTATTCTGGAAAAACTGAGAGAAACTGATTGGTTTGAAATTTTGCATACAAGTTATTGGTCTAGACCTTCATCAAATGAAACTTTAATTTTGAAAAATTATTTCCAGTCCAATCATGTCAAAAAACCTCAGTGGAGTCCATTTAAGGTGGGAGAGTTAATGGTGATAATATGGTGATAATGTCCATAATTATTATAATGATACAGTTATGATGTTGAATATGATAACAATACTACCTCATGAACCCCTCAGTTCACTATTTATGTTACAATAAAATGTAAAACCACCAACCTAATCACCATTTCTTCAATAAGCTAGCTGGATAGCTTCGTTTCTTTGTGAAAGTCTATAAAATCCCAAAGTGGGATTTAAATCTACAGCTATCAGGGGCAAGCCATTTAAAGTCATCAACCTTCATAAAATAATACTCTGTCACAGATGCATCTAAAAAATCATGACAACGTCCAGGATGAAAGAACTGATATCAGACGATAACAGCATCCACACCGCAGCTATCATAATAGACCAACTTCATCAAAACAGACAAGCTTATAAAGCATTTGAGATAAATGTTATCTCATTTTTACATTGAATAACACAGACAAGCTAAGGAACCATTTACCTCTTTTTTTGCATTGAATAGCACACACTTACCTATTGTCTCATTTCTGTATGGACCATCAATGGTAACAAGGCAGTTGTCATGTACAATATCAAACTCAAGGCTCAAACCAAATGGAGTATTTACATTTATACCATCCTCAGTCTTTACAACAGTTAATGTTTCGTCAGATATCTCAGTGCTGTAAACAAACATCTGGTGGTATATTGGTATATAAAATCTGCATACACAATGTAACTATACCACATCACTTAAAAGAGTAAGAGGATAAAACAGTGTTGGAGCATCAAACTTAATACCGTATTCCAGTATATACTGGATAAGACGCTTTAATGATTAATTGCTAAAATCTTGCCTTTTCACTTAAAGGAATGAACTTTTAAACATATAATTCATCTATTCACACTGATTCATATACGATAATAAATGAAAAATGTAAGAATGTTTGTGATCATGATTTCTGCAACCGTCAAGAGGTACTGCTCCAACACAGTAGTGGGTTAAAACCACCTCAAAATGGTACAGAACATGAACGTTTTTTTGCTTAATTTATTTATTCATCTTTATTAACACTAAACAGACTGTGACATGAAATACAAGGGATGATCCAGAAATACCTGGAATTTAACCCATATATTCAATAACGATTATCAAAAGTTCATGTAACAAACACTTTCGGTATATAAACTAATGCCTAATATATCCTAATTATAAGGAAATAAAACATGTTACAATAACCCACACTAACATAGGCAACCAAATGTATATCTAAGCAAACATAGCATTATATGGGGTGCAGTCCGAATGTTGTTATAATGACATAAGTATTGACGTCAAAACTATACTAAAATGTTTGTATCTTGTAAACAATATAAAGGTTGATACCTTTTAACCCATTGGGTGAATGGTTATGTTCTCATACCATAAAGACTCCTTTGTTGGAAAATTGTGGATGTTGCTCACCATAAGTGTGCTAACAACTTAAACCTATGAGTATCCAACTGTTGCTTGGTGTGATTGTGGGGAAAATAAAAAAAAATCTTACGCATCTTATAGCTGAAGTCCTAAATATGTTTCTTTTTTATTATATTTAATTAAATAACAATATGCATGATTAAATTAGATATAAAATAAATGTACAAAATTAAATTTAGACAGTATGTACTTGTGTCAAAAAGTGTATATACCTCGGCTCTTTACAATTATCTAGGTAAACATTTTTGTCCCATCCAACTGTAATCGTCTTGCCAGGGGTCAGCAAGGTCACACCGGCAGGGGAAAGAACTAGTGACCATCTTCTTTGTCGTAAATCTGAGGCCAACAGATAGCTGCATTCTGCCGAGTGCTCAGCTACTCATTTTAATAAAATAATAAATATGATAAAATAAACGATTTTAAAGACACTGAGATGAATAACTTACTGAATGTAAATGTTTAAGATATTGGTATTTATATGATAGTGAAAAAGGGGCATAACTCTAGAAATAATGATCACTTAGAAATGTCTTTTGTTCTACAGATGTTCAAAATTCCCAGTAGCAGAGTAGCAGCAATGGCACGAATGAATTGAATATATTTGATAGTTTTCACAATTTTCTAACAATACCCAATTCTAAAATAGAATCAAAGTTAAAAAGGGGCATAACTCCAAAAATATTGCTTTCAGGATAATGTCCCTTATCATGATAAGCAGATTTTCGTGTTTAATGCTGACACCTTTATTAGTTTTGAAACCATCTTCTCAACAAGCATGAACGATACCTTTTAATAATGTCAAGTAATGGACTACATTAAAGTCTATATTTCACAACAAAGACAACAGCAATACCCAAGCTATCATAAAAGCTCAACTTTTTCATCATAACAGACAAGATAAAAAGTGCCAAATTTTCAAAAGTCTTTCAAAGAAAGATAGATTAGCTCTGCCTTAAAGCTACATGCCTCCAGATAAGCGAAAATATTTCAATGAAATCAATTTGATGAAAAATTACTAAGATTTTAGGAAAAGTAATAATATTCAAAATTCAAGTAATAATTTACATGCTATGTGCGATTAATGACTGATTTTTCAATATTTATAACTATATTACTACTGTGTTACTAACACAGTAAGGACTATTTTGGCATATTTTGTCCCTTTTTTAGTAATTTACGTGGGTTGTAAGTGCCATTGATAATGTGTAAATTGCTTCCTTTTGGTTATTTCACACAATTATACTTTTAAACACATTTTTAAAATTTTCATGAAAATAAGCAAGAATCTGGAGGCATGCTGCTTTAAAACTACTGGAATCAAAAGAGATAAGCCTTTGCCAATAGTGCACTGGTCAGGGACCATCAACCGGACACTTTTTGAACATTTTCCCCAAACAGAATTCATAATTTTTTTTCTAGAGGTGTACAAATTTTACACAGGACAGCTAGGTTCTTCTCGTAACTAGTTTGTTTATTTATATTTATATTGACAAATATATCTAAGGCCGTCAAGGAGGGTATCAAAATTACCTAAATTATCCCTACTACAGTACCACGTGTCCAGACAGATATGTGCATGACAATTTTATTCAAATAAAAGCTTGGGTGTTTTAGTTTTTTATTTTCAACATAATATACAGTATTTCAGGAACAAATGCTTAAGCTTTGGATATTCTATTGTTAACTCTGCAAAATTAATGATTATAACTACAATGTAGTATAAGAGGTCAGGTATTGCACTCTTGATGTCCAAACTTTTAAAGTCAACAATTTTGAAACAGACATTAAAATATTAGAATTTACAACAGTTGAAATAAATATAATAACTTATTTATAGAAGAAACATGCATTTAATGTTGATAACAAAGCGACTCATAGATCAATAACCTCTGGACAAAGAAAATATCTAAATCAGGCATTTTCTGGCTGTCCGGTTTCGGTGGTTGTCCAGTTTTGGTGGACCCTGACCAGTAAAGCAAAGCCAGCCTGAACATCATTTCAGTCTGACCAGGCTCTTTACTCTTGCCTGTTCAACATTCCAAATTATCATCTTGATATCCCTATATTGTAATGGACAGTTCAAAAACTGAAAGCTGGACAAGTCCATGTAAGTAATGCAGCAGATTCAGCCTCACCATTTACATAAAATACTTGACTAGCATCTTGGACTTATCCCAACTACATTGTATAATGTATAAACAAAGGCTTCAAATGTTAGATATTTCTCTTGCAGAATCTTGATAGAGACAATAGGAATTTATTTCATAAAAGACTACAACATTACCAGAGATCTTAAAGAAATTTCCATCAAATGTCTGAAAAACGATCTCCCTATATGAAGCATGCCTTCCAATGACTACAGCATAACTTTTATATGCTGTATAATATGATGGGTTGTATCCATAGTAATAGTGTCTGTAGAAATTAAACGCCTCTTTAGCATGATGGTAAACATGTTGATGAAATTCTGTCATAGTAGGGAATCCCTATAGGAGGAAAAAAGAACAATTTGATAGAAACAAGAGGTACATAAGGGTTCTGTATTGCTCACCAGAATTAACAAAATTATTTGCACAGTTTTCTATATATTCCAAATTAAATATTACAGACATGTACGAGGATTGTTTGATAAATCTGCGGATATCATGTCTAAATTTTACATTTCATTACAGAAAATCATGAAATTACATATAAATAAATAAAAGCAAACATCATATTAAAACAACTTCTTATTATATTAAAATCTTACTGCTAATTTTTTTTTGGTTTCTTCTTTTTTTATCAATATCAGACAGATAAATTTAACCAAAAAAATTTTCAATGACTAAAATCTATACATAGATATAGGTAAGTGACCCAGACTCATAACTGCATGCCATGTTTTTGATAAAACAAAATTATTTAACTATATTAGAAAATGATCACCCAAGTATAATTTTGGTAAAAAAATCAATCAGCAAATTCTAAAAATATTTTCAGTTTTCCAGTAAAACATAATTATGCTGACAATTGAAAATAAACCACTCCCCCTTATTAATAGAAGCCATATTTTTTGATAATTCAAAATCATTTGCCCATAGATGGTCACTAAAGGATAATTGCTGTAAAATTATATTGAAATTAAACCAAACAGAAAGTTGTCAAAGATTTCCTGTAAAACAATTAGAGAAACAAGAGCGATCAGTAATCACATGTGTCGCCTCATGATGGCCAATTTCATGTTGGGACAAATTTTGTGACAGACAGACGGACAGACAGACGGACAGCGCACAACTAGACTAACCACTTTGTACTGATCATTCCTGTAAAATTTGGATAAAATTGCACCAGTAGTTTATGAGGAGTAGTCCGGACAAGCTTTTGCATATCTGGCAACACACAGAAAAAAACACCTTTTTATCAAAGGGCCATAACTCGGCCAAAAATCATTCAACCGGAAAACCCGTGCAATATGCACAAGGACTTGAGCTACAGATCAATCCTGTAAAGTTTCATTGAAATTGCATAAGTGGTATAAGAGAAGTAGTGTGGACAAACTTTAAAAATAAAAATTATTAAAGGGCCATAACTCAAACAAAAATCATTGAACCGGAAAATGCTGACAATATGCACAACTAGACTTGGTACTGATCATTCCTGTAAAGTTTAGATGAAATTGCACCAGTAGTTTATGAGGAGTAGTCTGGACAAGCTTTTGTGTATCTGGCAACACACAGAAAAAGAAACCTTTTTATTAAAGGGCCATAACTCGGCCAAAAATCATTCAACCGGAAAACCCGTGCAATATGCGCAAGGACTTGAGCTACAGATCAATCCTGTAAAGTTTCATTGAAATTGCATTAGTGGTATAAGAGAAGTAGTCCGGACAAACTTTAAAATTAAAAATTATAAAAGGGCCATAACTCTGACAAAAATCATTGAACCGGAAAATGCTGACAATATGCACAACTAGACTTGGTACTGATCATTCCTGTAAAGTTTGGATGAAATTGCACCAGTAGTTTATGAGGAGTAGTCCGGACAAGTTTTGTGACGGACGGACGGACAGACGGCCGGACAGACAGACGGACAGACAGACGACGGAGAAGTGATCCCTATATGTCGCCACTACTCCGTAGAGGCGACACAAAAAAGACCATACCCCTTAGTGGCCATATTTTTTAATATTATTATAAATTTAGTTTTCCTTCTAAACTTGTGGAGAAGGTTCAAGATAGAGGACAATCTCAAATGGACTTTTTTTCACAATTACATTGTATAAATTATTTGAACAATCTTATGGTACATTGTAGATGGTTATCAAAAGATAATTTCTGCCAATAATATCAAAATCAAAACTTTTTATAATTAGATTCTCAAAATATCCCTTATATGCACATACAGAAAATAGACCAGCACCTTAGAGGTCTTCCTTTTAAAAGAGAAATTAATAAATAATCTTGATAGAGGTTCATCAAATGATCACCATTGTAAAAAAAAAAACAACATTTTCAAATTCATGAAAATCTGACCAACAATCAATTTTTGACAAGGATAATTTTATAAGAAATTCTTTTTGATTGTCATGGTTCCTAATATGCATAATTCAATTACAAACACACAATGAGTATATAGGACCAATAATCATATAAGTCGCGCCATGACAAAACCAACATAATGGGTTTGCGACCAGCATGGATCCAGACCAGCCTGCACATCTACGCAGTCTGATCAGGATCCATGCTGTTCGCTTACAAACCCTATAACAAGTAGGGAAATTGATAGCAAACAGCATGGATCCTGATCAGCTGCGCGCATGCGCAGGCTGGTCTGGATCCATGCTGGTTGCAAACCCATTATGTTAGTTTTGTTGTGACGCGGCTCATATAAACCTCCTAAAGACTCAAAAGTAATTGCTGTCACTGGGCAACTCATTTTTTTTTTATTAAATTTCAACAGCAAAATCTCGAAAGTGATAAACATACGTTGCAAGAACTTGATTGGCAATCTCGCTTAAATAAATATGTTTAAACCAACACAGAAATCCAATTAACTTCTTATGGACTGTACCAAGTTTCACAAAGGGCAAGTCCATTGCATTTACATATTTATGAAAATCTGACGAACAAGAGGGATAATAGCTTAACCTTACAAACAAAATCTTGAAATACTCACAAATATCCTGTTAAAAGTCATTGGTGTTGTAGAAATCACATAGCTATACTCCGCTTTCGAAAGAATCTCATCAACTTTCTGTTTATGAAATTCACTTTCACTGACACTTAATAAGAGTTTGCTAAAAGCTTTCAGTAAAACATAATCTAGGAATTGCAGCTTTCTAATCATTGGATTAGGTCCTGAAATTTAAAGACCAGTGAACAAATCACATATGTTTCTCTAAATTATTATACAAAATGTCCTTCCTAAATAAAAAAGGATGAAAAACAAATGTCATTATATAGTTAGCTAATGGACATTCATTTTTTTTATTCTTTTAAGTTTTACACTAAACCTTTGTAACAAAAATAAAAAAAGTTGTACTAAATAAATATTAGTAACGTTTTATGAGCATTTTTTTAGCAGTAAAAAAAATAAATCTTTAGAACATAACCAGGACAATTATTATCATCATCAAATCTTGTGGTATAAAACCCATACATGATATTTTTAGTAGTTTGAGGCCTAATCAATCATAAAATAACATCACCATAAATCTACCAATCTGAATTGTATGTTACAAATAGTAAATATTTACCTCTTCGTTCAGATTGTTTCATTGCTTCCATAAGTATAGAGAACCTAGGGGCTATAACTGGTCCAGGAACATCAGGACTGTCTGGTCGGTACTGTACCGGAACCATATTACCTAGAAACCGGCCCCAAAATTTCATTCCCCTGATAAAATTTGGCATCACAGCTTGTTTTATTATATCACCTGGGGTCTGAAATACAAATTTAGTTAGTTAATTTCAATCACAAATATCATTTTATACCCAGTATGATTTCTTAGTCTTCTAGCAGCCCACCTGCTATGTTCACGGTAACAAAAAAAAAAAAAAATAATAATAAAAATAATTTAGTTAATTTAGCTCTTTTTTCTAATATTTGTATACAACTTTTCAATCAAAGCACTTGCATCATTCATAACATTTGTTATTTAAAAAAAAAAAAAAAAAAACATTGAAAAAGCTGGACTTGAAGCAAAATGATATCATTTTAACAAACAAGAGGGCCATGATGGCCCTGAAATCGCTCACCTGTATATAGGCCCCTGGGCCAAGGCCAATTTTAAACCAGGGGCTTTTATTTGAACAAACTTGGTAGACATCCCATTAGAAGATGTTTCATGATAAATATCTAAGCTCTAGCTCTTTGGGGTTTTCATAAGAAGATTTTTTTAAAGTTTTACTATATAAATATAGGGAAAAACAATGACCCCCTGGGGTGGGGCCAATTTTTACCCCAGGGCTTTTATTTGAACAAACTTGGTAGACACCCACTAGAAGATGTTTCATGCTTAATATCTAAGCTCTAGCTATTTTGGTTTTTTAAAAGAAGATTTTTTAAGTTTTTACTATATACAAATAAGGAAAATCAATGACCCCCTGGGGCGGGGCCAATTTTTACCCCAGGGCTTTTATTTGAACAAACTTGGTAGACACCCACTAGAAGATGTTTCATGCTTAATATCTAAGCTCTAGCTATTTTGGTTTTTTAAAAGAAGATTTTTAAGTTTTTACTATATACAAATAAGGAAAATCAATGACCCCCTGGGGCGGGGCCAATTTTGACCCCAGGGCATTTATTTGAACAAACTTGGTAGACGCTGACTAGATGGTGTTTCATGCCAAATATTTAAGCTCTAGCTCTTACAGTTTTCTAAAAGAAGATATTTTAAGTTTTTTCTTTCTGTTGCCATGGCAACCAGAGTTTTGCTTGGAATGAAATTCTTTGAACAATTTTAAAAGTTCACTACCAAAGAAACATTCCTGTGAAGTTTGTATGAAATTGGCTCAGCGGTTAATGAGGAGATGTCGCTTAAAGTAAAAGTTTACGGCCGGACGCCGGACGAAAAGCGATCACTTTGTGACAGGTGAGCTAAAAACTTGCTTTACTATATTTCCCTATATTTCTGTATACAAGGAATCAACTCACAAAAGATTATACATACATAGGCTATAATCATTGTACATTTTAATCATTGTACATTATAGATATATTATCAAATATAATAAGAAATAAAACAATCCTTACAAAATGTACAAAAAACAATGATTGTTCAGAGACCGGTTTGTCCATGTTGGCCCTTATATGGTCCCCGACTCCTTGCAACATCATAGCCTTTTTTACCATACCCTGTCTTAAAGATTTCTCCATTTGCTCCTGGTAGTGAGGGGACCAGGTCTGTGAAACATTGATCAGTGTGCTTCCTTGCAAATTAATATTTGTGGTCCATAACATTACTGGCGTATCTTCACGATCCTGCATTTAAACAAACAGGAAAATATTTAAAACATAATAATAAAACTATATAAAGTACCAACTGTCATGATTCAGAACTGGGCTGCATTTTATAGAAAGTCTTAAGTCTGAAATCAGTCTTAAGACCAAACTTAGACAATTTTGCATTTCAAAAAAAATGTCCTAACCTATGACTCTTATGTTATGACTTTTAATTTCTTAATAACAATGCTGATGGGCATTTACATATTGCAAACTTTTAAAAGGGTCTGTCATTGTATTTCTTAACTTTTCTCAAAAGAATTAATTTATTTGTAGTCTACAGTATTTGACTTTATTGAAACAGTCTCAAGTTAAATTGGTTTTATGTCCTAGGACTTAGGATACACCTAGGACTTTCTATGAAATGCACCCCTAATCAATATGCTAGTTAACAGGGAGTTTAATTTGTTGAGCAGGCATAGCAGTTTTCTGAGAATTCTAGGTTTGAGTGGCAATTGTTGCCTAACAGAACAAGCAATTATCATAGTATTGCAAGCAATCCATAAGTCCCCTACCGGTAAGAGCCCAAGCAACATTCTGAAGGGCCATTGGCCATTCACCTAGGTTCCTATTTTAAGTAAATTTGTTGAAAAAGTTCTTTAAAAGTGATCACAGGAAACAGTTTTTATGTACAGACAGACGGACTGAAGGACACTCTAAAGTTATCTTTTAAACATCCCTGTTATCAAAATATAACATTTTTAAAATCCTATCATGATTGAAGAAGTTGGAGTAAAAATTACCAATTTCTCAAAAAAAAGTCTAAGTTCAAAAGGGGCATAATTCTGGAAATAGTCTTGCTAGAGTATTGAACACTCACAAATGTTGAGTGATAATAAGAAACATTTATATGAAGTTTGAAGTAGATACATTCAGAAAAAGAAGTTATTAAAAAAAACAATGTTTTTTCATGAAAATTTTAAGTTCAAGGGAGGTAATTCTGATAAATTTTGTGCTAGAGTTGTAAACCTTGTCACATATGATGTGGTTGATGACAAGCAATTTATATTTAAAGTTTGAAGAAAATACCTTTAGAAATAAAGAACTTATAGTGAAAAAACTTAAAAACTAGAATCAGAAATCTTGAAATTCAGTCTATTTGTTGCCATAGCAACCAGAATTTTCAACATAGGAAGATAAGAAAAGAATGTGCATAATTTCTATACTGTCATCTACCCATATGTCAAGTTTCATAGACATATTTTCAGTACTTTTTGTGTTATCACTGGATCCAGGTTATGTGTAAAATTTGCCATATTTTCAGTCTATTTGTTGCCATAGCAACCAGAATTTTCAACATAGGAAGGAAAGAAAAAGACGTGCATAATCTCCATACTGCCATCTATCCATATGTCAAGTTTCATAAAAATATTTTCAGTACTTTTTGCGTTATCACGGGATCCAGGTTATGTGTAAAATTTGCCATATTTTCAGTCTATTTGTTGCCATAGCAACCAGAATTTTCAACATAGGAAGAAAAGAAAAAGACGTGCATAATCTCCATACTGCCATCTATCCATATATCAAGTTTCATTAAAATATTTTCAGTACTTTTTGCGTTATCGCGGGATCCAGTTTTGTGGACGGACGGACTGACGGACGGACAGACGGACTGACGGACGGACAGACGGACGGAGGGTAAACCTAAAGTCCCCTCCGGTAAACCGGTAGGGGACTAAAAACCTGCCAGTTTACAGTAAATTCACATTGTTCTCTATACCTATCAGAAATTTGAAGGCCATTTGGAATACATTAACTGTATTCCAAAGATACTGGATTAATGTCTATGTCAGGCTGTATATTTTATCATCCTTTAAACCAACATTCTAGTACAGTGTAACTTCTGAATTCTAGAACTTATCAAATCAGGAAACTTCTGAAATCCGCCAATTTACAGGGTCCCAAATTTCTCCTTTTGTTTTGTATGTTATTCATACCTCTGAATTCCAAATCTTCTAAAATCAAAATTCAGAAATATTTTCTTGTAAAATTTGGGATATATCAATAAAAATTTACTTTTAAAAACTGTGAAGCAGGTCAATAGCTGGTATACTACTGTTACCTGGATTTTCACCATTGAAAACCAGTGGTAAACAAGCTTCTTACAAAAATAATGTTATAGCTGCATGCTTCCAGATGAGTCAAAATTTATGAAAAGTAAACAGATAAAAGATTCAAGTGATAATTTATATTTTGTGTGCAAATAATGACTGATTTTTGCAGTATTTATCACCATATTTCAACAGCGTTACTAACGCAGTAGGAGCTATTTTTGCATATTTTGATCTCTTTTTGGTAATTTACTTGGATAAAAAGTGCTGATATGCAATGTGTCAATTACTTTCTTTGTTCACATCACAAAATTTTACTTTAAGATACATTTTTAAAATTTTCATGAATATAAGGATGAATCTAGAGGTGTGCTGCTTTCAGCAAAGCAAACCTTCTCCTTCTGTATCTTATTCCCAGTGATAAGTAGTTCCTTTTGGCCGAGCAATCTAAAAATATAACTATATGATGTTCCAGGGGTAGATCCAGGTGATATTGTACTAAGTGCTCTTTTTGTATTTGCTTTGTTCTCAAAATCAAACGACCACATCTGTTCTAGAACCTGGATATAAAAAGAAAACATAAGAAGAAAGATATAATATTGAAATCTAAATGAACAATAAATAGACAGATAAAATATAGAAATTCTAATTATTTCTATTGTTTAATATTTTCTTTTTATCTTGGCAACAGTAGAATGCAAATAAAAGTACAGCCTTATATGAAAATCAGCAGCAGAAATAATCTCCATGCTTAAAAAAATATCTGTGATCTTCCTTATCATGTATTGTCAGAATCAAAATAATATCAGTCTAAGCAGTTTGTTGTCTATTTAACAATGATTTTGTCTTTTTGATGTGAAAAAATGTACCAAACAGGCCTATGTATATGGCCTATGTTGTAAATTCATACACATAAAAACTCCAAACCAGTGTTTCAATTATAGCTAAAAAACACCATAGAGACCAATATTATTTCTTTATTGAATTCTAAATGAAAGGAAAAAATAAAGAAAGATAAAAAAAATTTTTTTTTTTTATTCTTAATGAAGACCTAAAAGAACAATAAAACACTTAATTCTAAATGAATAATAGAATATTATTGAACCTTTAGTGAAACAGAGCCATTTTGATGAAAGAATTCCTCAGCTTGAGGCCCAAAGCAAAACTCTGAATCCATACTGGCTTTCAACATCTCATGAGTGAAGTCCATGTTGTGAATGATATGTCCTCTCTCATAGAATAACTTTTCTGCAAATGTTAAAGTTACATCTTAGATAAAACACAGCTAAAATGTGTTGCTCATAATGGTTTATCCTAATGAATATTAATTAATCATATCCCGATTAAATGATATATAAACTTTAAGCAAATGACCAACAATTAAACATCAAATTTGAGCATAAACATAGTATATAGAACACTAAAGGCATCAAACCCGTTACCAAATCCAACCAAAATAAAACAGCACACGTGTCATCTCGCTTAGTATATAAAAGGCAGCTATTTAAGTTATCGAAACCAGAATTATGTCCACACAGCACTATCCAAATCATCTCAAAAGTAAAATACAAAATTTCAAAAAATAAATTTCTCAAAAACGAACTTATTTCCTACTTTCTTAAAGCCAACAAATGGCCAAATGCAACAGCTCTTACACCGATGCATTTTGTCCAAATTCGAAACAAATCCCCTTTAGGTGAAGACAATATGTTTACGCATGACTTAATTTTAGCCTGGCTCAACAATTGCAAAGTCCATTATTTATATACAGAGATAAGAAAACATGGTCTTTCCATTTGATGAAAATGTAAATAAAAATGTTTTGCAACAAAGCCAGAAATTGGAAATTGGTCATGAAGTATAAAGCTGATGTATGTGAATGTTTTTATGTACTTGTGTTTGTATTGACAACTCGAAAAATAAAATTTTGTCATTCCGCAATAGATCAAGCGATGCTGTGAATACAATACACTCCCTATTCTTTGCAAAGTCAAGCTAAAAATTATAAAGATGTTAGTTTTAAATTTTCTAATTGGTTGTTCTATATATATATATATTCGTATAACCCTAGTCTAGCAATTCAGCAAAGGTTATATAACTTCAAACTGTTCATACTGCACCATATATAAATCTCAAAGTCTGAAAACCATACCTTATTATAAAATATATATGCATATAGTCAGGACAATAAATGAACACATTTAACTCACACTATTTGCTTGGGAAAGTGTAATATTAAATACTTACCATCAAAATGATGATTCCAGAATGGCATAATATCACCACTTTGCACTGAACGTACATGGTATAAGGGATCATGGTGTGTTGAGGCATCCCAATCAAACAGTATGGAATACTCCTTTTGAAAATTAGGTCCATTATAATTGAAGACAAAATCAAAGATTTTCCCTTGTTTTCTGTACGCATGAATTTCACCAAATCTTTTTATAACCAATGGTATGCCATCATTTAGAACAGGTGTTCCATCAAGAGCTGTGTAACTGGTGTTCATATCACCTTTCAGTTGTATCCTGTTTTCAAAAGTATAAGTAATGCATGTATATTTGGTGAATTCAATGTCATATTATAACAAATTCAATTTATTTATCTATTTTCAGTTTGATTTTTTTTCACTAAATAAGTGATCTGACAACTCTAAAGTTCCCCCTTGTGACTGGGGAATTATAATGCCTATAAGAGTTAAAACAACAGAATTACAGCCGCTGTTTATCTGTGTGATTGTAAGATGCCACTCAAAATGGGTTCAAATTACTGGTGTCTATGTATCTCTTAGCTCCAGCAGGTAGTGTGGTTTTGACCCCCGATGTTGTTATTAGCTTGTAACACCTGATGTCAGACTAAATCACCTTTCATTTTTTGTCCCAAATTGATCTAAATTGTGTTAGTATGCCTTAAAACCAATAAAAAAAAACAAAACAAAAAACAGGTCCTAAGTTCTGTAGCCAAAGTGCTGTTTTAATCGACAGCAACATGCCATGCCAATTGATTTACTTTAAAATGTTTATTATGACATTAATTGCTCATTTTTAACCTCTTTTCAGGCTACATTTATTGCAGTACAAGTGCATGTATTTTAATAGGTCATGTATCGGAAAAGAGTTGAAGAAGGAACCAAACTATGACAAAAAGTATTTGATTTTTGTCCAGAAAGTGACCCAGTATGGAAAAATTATGTACAAATCCAATAAATCGTCTTAAAGTCTGTTCTTTTGTTTTCCTTTATTATGTTAATTTCATGAAGTTTATTCAGTTTTTTTTAATTCTATATAACTGTTGTTTTTCTTTTAACTGAAATGAATCATTTTATCTACCAATTTATATAACAAAACAATGTAAAGAGAGTGAATTAAAATTTATCCTGCTAAATTTGTGAAATGAACTTGCCTCACTCTGTATTTAGAATTGTTTTCTATCAACCTAATAGAAAGGAAAATAATTATCTTTCGCCCCCAGCATAGAGTCTAGCCTGCCTGCAGATCCATGTAGTCTGAGCAGTCTCTCATATACTGCTGGTAGCTATATATATATAAATATTTTTTTTCTTTTTTTTTTTGTATTTTGACAATTAAATCCCATAAACTTCAAATGGACTGTTCCATTTTCAAAAAAGGGCACACAATTTAGCAGGTTAATGGTTAAAGTAAATAGTTTCATACCCAAAATGCTAAGAATATGATAAACCAACATCAAACAGACCATTCCAGCTCATATATAGAGGCATGTGATAAGACATCACTAACTCATGTATTTCTCAGCCAAAGCTTTGATATAAATTATTATGAGAATACGAAAATGTAGTGTACAAATACATTACCTGAAATCTGTAAATGTATTACGGGTATTTGTTACAATAGTAAAAAGTTCCTCGTGGTTGACATATCCTCCGTTCCAGGGGTATTGGGCGGTGAATGTACCTGTAGCTTCGAGTCCTTCAGCTGGGGCTGTACCTGGTGTAACTCCTTCACCAAATACAGGTTTCAGTTGTGTGGATATGAACATTTTAGCCTATAAGCGATCATTACAAAATCTAGATTTAAATACCTTTATTAGTGTTCTAAGGCCTACAGTCCAAAATGCAGTCTACATAAATCAATTCTTTAATATGACTGTGTCAACTTAACAATATACAAACTTGGAAACAAAACATTGCTATTAATAATATCCATAAATTCATATAATTTTATACAAAGCACAACCTTTCTTAATTGGTATAAAGCTTTATCTTATGAAATATCAACTGTTACAGTAAAATTAAATTGGTTTCATAATCATTTAATTGTTTCACACATTATGTCTCTGTTATATAATGCAAATCAGAATAAAATGTTCTAGAACAAAATATAACTCTGCTATTTTAAGTAGGGTTTATCCATTTAGCAATGCACCATTCGTTAATACAATTTACTACTGTATTTATTTCAAACAACCATTTTTGAAGTATTTTTTTTTATTTCAAACACTAATTTTTGCAGCGATACACTTTAATGTAGTATAAAGTATACATTACACAGTAAATGAGCATTTGTATTTGTACATCTGTCTTTTTCTTTCAATAAATCAATTATATTTGGTTATAAATTGTAAATGAAATTATAAGAGATTTCTGTGTTGCATTTCTCACTTTTAACAATTACAAACCAAAACAAATATGACTTTACTTTACAGTTAATGTCCAAAAGCTTTTATAACAAAGCATACCAAAATTTCTCACAGATATGATGTCACAATGACATCACTAAAATCTGTTTTGCATTCTATATTTCTGTATACCTTTCAACGTAAAAGACATCACCAGAATTGTATTTTACTATAGTCAGTATAAAATGACTTATATCTCAATTAAAAAAAAAATTCAATGCATCATGGGAAAATAACAAGATAGAAATATATATTTGAGCCATGTAATGACAAAACCAACATAATGGGTTTGCGACCAGCATGGATCCAGACCAGCCTGCCCATCTGCGCAGTCTGATCAGGATCCATGCTGTTCGCTTACAAACCCTATAACAAGTAGAGAAACTGATAGCGAACAGCATGGATCCTGTTCAGACTGCATGCGCAGGCTGGTCTGGATCCATGCTGGTCGCAAACCCACTATATTGGTTTTGTCATGACGCGGCTCAAATATACATGTATATAATCTTACATTCCAGTCCTCGAGGTCCCATATACTGTATTTTGGGAAATATTTATCTTGCAGTGGAATCAGATGTTGCATCACATTTTCCTGAGGTTTAGGTTCATCCATTACCATACGAGGGCCAAATATTTTGTTCTGTATAAATAAAAATATATCATAAGCTACTATGGTAATAAAAGTGATGATGTCACAATAAAGTTAACAAGAGCTGTCGGTAGGACAGCAACGCTCGACTATTCTTAGTGCTTGATAGTAAGAAAGCCTTGATAATGTAAAATTTCCTAAGTTAACAAAAGGGAAATTTTTTTCTTTAAATCCATGTTACAGTTATAGGCCTTGGAGAGAGTCCTATTATGCTCTCAAAGAGTATAAAATTTCATCTTGTTTCAAAGCCATATGTCAATGGACTTTTTCTTGAGGTATTACAAAAACTTTAACAAAAATTCTAAGTCGAGAAAGGGGCATAATTCTGTCAAAATGCATGATAGAGTTACCTCCCCCTGTCTACAGGTTGGGGTCATGATGGTGAACAAATGTGCTAGGTTTCAAAGCCATATGTCAATGGACTTTGAAAATATTTGAGGTATTACAAAAACTTTAACGTAAATTCTAAGTCGAAAAAGGGGCATAATTCTGTCAAAATGCTTGATACAGTTACCTCTACCTGTCTACAGTTTGGGGTCATGATGGTGAACAAGTGTGCAAAGTTTCAAAGCCATATGTCAATGGACTTTGAAAATATTTGAGGTATTACAAAAATTTTAACATAAATTCTAAGTCAAAAAAGGGACATAATACTGTCAAAATGCTTGATACAGTTACCTCCCCCTGTCTACAGGTTGGGGTCATGATGGTGAACAAGTGTGCAAAGTTTCAAAGCCATATGTCAATGGACTTTGAAAATATCTGAGGTATTACAAAAACTTTAACATAAGTGGTTACGCCTACGCCGACGCCGACTCTCGGGTGACTACAATAGCTCTACTTATTCTTATTGAATAGTCAAGCTAAAAATAACTTAAATATATAAGGTCAGTTAGCACAAAGAAAACACAACGACCACTGTGGTGTAGTAGTAAGTATACTGGACAGGCAATCCGGAGACCTGTGGTTTGAATCCCGGCTGCAGCGTGCCAATTTTCCTTGTGATGTGATATATATACATGTATACACACATACGTACATATTACGCAGTTCATAAACTTTATATGTTTCTAACAAGCATTATGGGAAGGATGTCATATTTGTATAAAAGTACTGGAATATTTCATTGAACCGCATGATGGTGGCAAATTAAAGGTCTCTGGTCACGGCAATAACAATACCTCTGCAGAAAACCTTCAATTGTAAATTACACTTTTTCATACTCAAATATTGCATGTATTGAACACTGCTTTAGACAGAGCAGAATGCAACCTTTAAATAAGACATGATTTGTATAGCAATAATACCATGTGGATTGTAAGCATGCTCTTTCCTCCCCATTTAGAAATCATATCAATCAAACAGAGCCTGCAACAATATTAATTGGTTGTGTTGAATAACCACCAAGGCTTGCCACCAAGGTTTGCAATTTTAAATATTTTTTGTAAATACTATCAAAAAAACATATCTCTTGTTAAACAATAACCCCTCAAGAAAGGCTAAAAAAATTCACCTTTATTTGCACAATTTCATCTACAGCAGTTTCCTCAGCAGCCTTTATTCTATCATAAATACTTGACCGCCTTTTTCTACTTGATATGTTTATATCTTCCTGGAAGTAAATTGACTTTTCTTAAATCATAATACTGTAACATGTATTTTCAATTAATTAAAACACTCACTGCTCAGCTATTCACAATCACTGGCTATAACTTTGTTTTCATGACATTGTCCAGACTAGGCAAATCAATTTCTCATTTTTAGGTAAATCTGACTGAAAAGCAAACAATACAGAACATGATAAGACGGCATAGACATGCCCATTGATTTTGGTCCGCACTCTGGTTGCATTGGTAGATTTAGTCACTGTCTGCAGGCTAAAAGTTAAGAATGCTGAACATGGAGGAACTTGACCTTTTAACCTTGAAGTCTTACTTACATTAGGGGATATTCAAGTCACAAATTGTCATATAAAGACAGGCATTTAAGGTGATATGTAAAGTTTTATACTATACTGGTCCAAGAGGACTTTGGGTGCCACTATATTCCCAATTTCAGGTTTCAAAGGCTATTTCATGCTTATGTACAAATGTATAAACTGTTTAATCATACAAACAAAACTATACAAAAAAACTGAAACGAAGACTTTACCTTTTTATTATGATAGTTAACATCTCCTGACAAGACAACTTCAGTTTTACTAGCCGTACATGACCCTGTACTTATGACATTGAAATTCTCAGCATCCAGATTCCCACTCAGGTCAAGGGTCAAACCTTTCATTGACTGACCCCATGTGTGTGAATAATCCATAACTGCGGTTTTCTGAAACAATGAAATTTGATATATTATACCTTACTGAAATGTGTTTCATTTCAGCTTCTAAAAAGTGTCAGCATGCCTTTAAATAATGTTATTTTCAATATGATGAACCATCTAGTAAAATAATATAATGGCCACCTGAGCTGGTATTTTCATCTTGTGAGATGATAATTGAAAGTACATAACCTGCATTACACATTTTTTTTAGTTTCCAACATTTCACTTAAAATGTTGATTAATCAATTGTTTTTGTTTCTTTCCTTACATAATTTTTGTTAAAAAGATGCAACATAAGAAAAAGTAATCAGCACTTCCAACGTCATAGCATTTTAGTGACTTTAAAGTCAGCCCAAAACATTGAACAGGGACGGGTCTCAGCCTCCTGGTTTGGTCAGTTAAATGTTTATGGGCTTATCAGTAATCAAAATGCCAGGTGGTCCTCAGTGTGGTCCTTTTTTCCAATTACCTAATAATGGTACGAAAAGTATGCAAGAAATAAATCTTTTAATTGAGTCTAACATCGCACCAACACAGTATAGGTCATATGGCGACTTTCCAGCTTAACTGATGGAGCAAGGCACAAGCGAGCACCTGAGTAGAACCACCAATGATCTGTAAGCTAGCTGGATAACTTACTCACAATCATGAAGAATCTTAAGACGCTAGCACAACTCGAATAGGCAACAGTAAGAGGCAAGTGGTATTTAGTCAGCAAGACTCTGAATACTAGACATCATAAACAGTTATAAAACTAGTAATCTAATGATTACTGGTCGTGTGGGTTCGAACCCTGTCACAGGCAAGCCTTGAGCAAGAAACTTTACAATCATTTCTTAGTACTGGTTGGTTCCAGGAACAGATTCCAGAGTGTTTTAATTAACTTATAGCTCAAACACAAACAAACTAAAACAAATTTGTATAAACTAAACAGTTATATTGATATGAGAATTCTCTTTTTGAATCTGTTTTATTTTGTCATATGTTAAAGATTAGACAAAGTCTGTAAATTTGATCAAAGCTTAATTAAAGGGTAGTTCTAAAGTTCATAATTGTTGATGCTTGTAAACTTATAATAATTGAGCAATCTAAGACTTATCATGCTGAATAAGTGTAATACACTAATTGAAATGTTCAGTGTAAATTTTGATATCAAAATAATAAATTGTGTCGGGAACAAGTACAGATCAATGTGTTCAGACACCATAGAAGTGCAGGTCAACCTAGATTGTCACTGTTTCTATTTCTGTAAATATGATTACAATTATTACGCATGCTACAAATACGTGTCATATTATATGTAAATGTCGATGAGCTGTTAATGTGCTTAAGACTAATAAAATATATGTTATGTTATGTTAATAAACATTTAAATTTAAGTTTTATTCAATATAAATTAGAATAAAAGATGTGAATATAAATATTAAACAACTAATCTTAATGTTTACCTGAACACCGTCAACAGCATATGTCAAAACTTTATGTGCATGTGTTGTTGGGCCATCCTGCTCAACATAAGAATCCCAGGCAAGTTTACGACCTACAAAATTTACATAAACATAGATGCCTTAAAGCTGCCCATACTCTATATAAAAGTTTGTGGAAAAAAAACCTATAAACAGAACTAATTAAACAAAATGTATCTAAGACTTTAAGAAATAAATAAATATTTGCCGTCTATGTGCTGCAAGTTTTCATGGTTTTTACATTTTTTTGTCATATCTCAGCAGTTGATTTACCTAACTGACTTTCCTGGATAACATACCAGTAATCACCAATTTCTCCCCCATGTGACCAGCAACTAATCTCACATGAATTCTGTAATGGCTGTTAGTGATAAAAGACCAAAAGACACCATGTTTGAGATCAGGTGTCATGGACAAATTTTACCACGCCCCAGGATTGAACAAGCATTGATCTTAACCAGCATACACCATGTTTTAGCTGCATGCCTCCAGACGAGCCAAAACATTCAAGAAAATCAACCTCAAGAAAAATGTACTAAGATTTTAAGAAAAGTAAAAATATTTACAATTCAAGTAACAATTTACATGTTTCATGCCAAGAATGACTGATTTTGGAGTATTCATCACCATATTTCTACTGCTTGACTAACACAGTAAGAAGTCTTTTTTTGCATATTTTGACATTTATTTGGAAATTAACATGGATTGAAAGTGTTGTTTGCATTGAGTAAAATTCTTTTCTTTGTTCATTTTTGTTCACTTCAAAATATTTTACTTTTAAATACAATTTCAAGATTTTCATAATAAGTCTAAATTTGGAGGCATGATGTTTTAAGTAAAATATGAACAAGTTTTCTAACAACTTATAAGAGCTTGCCTGCATATTTTGATACATTATAGGTTATTTATGCGGGTAATATGTAAGTTAGATGAACTTACATCTTTTCGCCTGTACACCAGAAAAAAGTTTTCCTAACTACGACAATTACATAAAATTTCACAAACATTAACATGAAAAACAAAACCTATATCACTACTTAAAAACAAAAACCTATATCGCTACTTAAAAACAAAATCCTATATCCCTACTTGAATGCATTATGTTTGGTCGGATTTTACATCCCACCACACTTTAAATGTAAAACGGCAACTTTACAACTTTCTGGTGGAGGAAGACCACAGGTGTCCCTCAGTGCATAATTTCAGGAATAAACAAGCACCAGGGTAGAACCTAAGCTAGCTGGATAGCCCAGTTTCCTCCAAGTTCCAGGATTTGAATCAACATGCTGACTATGGTTTGAAGTCAACAACCTTACCCACTCAGCCTGAGACACCCACATAAGATATTTTAATGACACACTTACCTGTAAAGATTAACAACATACGGAATATAAACAATACACCAATGAAGGAAACATAAAAAAAATTATTACTCTGTTTTTTTTATCATGAATTTTTAGTAGCAACAGAGATAATATAATGTAAGTCAAACTCAACAAAATTAAGAATATGTTTGCCTATGTACCATACATACCATAAAATTCCACCGCACCATTAAACGGTTGTTTTTTGTCACTACGTTTAACCTTCTCTAAACTGTTTGTGAGCCGGAAATTAGTAACATCGTTATTTTCTGTTGCCCATGCAGGAATTAGGTGAAACATGTACAAAAGTGGCATATCCTTAGTGCTGTAAACATACAAAAATTTGTTTTTCTGATTGACGTTGTTGATATCTTTTTATGAAATGTGTGGCAAAGAGTGGTTAAAATAAAACTGTAAAATTTGTTTTGTTTTCCATGTGTTAAATGAATAATAAATATTTTTGCTGAATATTGTTTGATCTATGTTATCAAAATAAACTAGAAAGAATACTGTTGTCTGGGTAATTTATTTGACAGGGTGCTCCACTTTTACAAGTGGACAAGGGCTCCAGAAATGATGGCGTAAGAAGGTGCTAACACCTTCAAACCAGTTTAAAACTAGATTTTTGTTTCACAACAGAAGAAACAAAGCCAGGTGCGATATCAAAACTTACCAATAATAACTTATGGATATGTCAAAACTTCTATCACCAAATTTGCGAGGAAAACTTTTTGAAGATACTGTTTGCAGATGAAAATCCCAACCAATCTGAGGTGTTGTTATATTCCAGCGATAATCAAACACTGAAACATCTTGTTCCTCCTTTAATGATACCTGTTGAAAAGCAAACCAAAAAAAATAAATGAGCGGCGTCATGACAAAACCAACATAATGGGTTTGCGACCAGCATGGATCCAGTCCAGCCTGCGCATCCACGCAGTCTGATCAGGATCCATGCTGTTCGCTTAAGAACCATATAACAAGACGAGAAACTGATAGCAAACAGCATGAATCCTGATCAGACTGTGCGGATGCACAGGCTGGTCTGGATCCATGCTGGTCGCAAACCCATTATGTTGGTTTTGTCATGACGAGGCTCAAATGGTTCTTTTTTTTTGTGGCTTTACATAATCATTGGTTGAATCTTAAGAGATAAAACATTATTTTCTTTTTATGGACAAAAAGTCAAGAAATACAAGAACTATATGTATAAAATGTATAACTGAATCTTACTGGCAACTTAAGCATCCAATACTTTTGAAATACCAATTAATATTATGTTAATTTCTGACACTAAATATAACGTTACAGGCCCTTTTCTAGGATAAAAATAAAATAAAACAAAATAATTATAATAAAAAAAATTCTATTGCATATAAAATATTCCTAATTGGGTGTTGTTGTTGGTTTTTTTGTGTGTATTTTTTGCTGTAATCGTCAAACACATTACATAGATTTTCAGATGTTAGCTACATCAAGTCCACCTCACTGTATATAGAACTTATCATTTTTGCCCTGCTTTAAATTTAAGTTAAAGGGTTTCAATAAAAAAAATACAAGGTTTGGTTTGGTATGGTTTTACGTCGCATCAACACAGTTTAGATCATATGGCGCCAAAACAGGAAAGATGATTTTGGTTAACCTCGGTTGTTAGAAACTTTAAGCAATACCAGGGGTCATAATCACCTCAACTGCTGGAGCTAAGAAATGTATACACTCCAATAATTTGAACCCATTAAGCAGCCTCTTACTATCAAACAGGGATAAAGGTGGCTACAATTGTTAAAGGTGGCTGCATTTCTGATGCCTAAACCCGCACTCAGTCACATGGATAAAAGAACATATGTTGAGACTAGTAGCCAGAGCCTGGTCAAAAAACATCAGACATGCAATCCTGCCCATGAATTTTTTACATAGGGCTGATGATGTCATGATTTTTTATTTTAGAAATGTATTACATTATACAGATATGGACAATTTATCTGGTGAATATGATATGTACTGAAACAAGAGCTGTGGAAGAATACAGCACACTCAAACATCAACATGGGATAATGCTTGTGTATCTTGTTATTCAGATTTACAATTATTAACAAAAAATATTGGTACATGTATATGTAGTTACACCAATAATTAACTAAAATATTTTCAAGAGTTTTACAAACCTGAAACAAATACCCGTTAATGGCTAGACCAGATCTGCTTATCATTTCATACACTGAAAAGTCAGCTAAATGTCTATGCCATGTGTTACTAAACTTAGCTGCATATGTGTAATGGAAATCTATGAGTTCAGCGTCTATGGTCAAGCTATAGTCATCTCTTGTGTAAACAAAGTTACAGTAGGCATATTTTGTCTGTGACATTGCATGATCTGCATGTAAAAAACATATAATTTATTTATGGATTTAATTCACTAATTTAGTGTTGGAGAAGTACATCTAAATGCAAAATGCATGCAGAAATCATGATCACAAAGTAGAAAAATATCACATTTTTCACTGATTCTTACATTTTTCATTCATGATCATATCATACATAAATCTGTGTAAAAAGATGAATTAGACATCTTAAAGTGCATTTTGGCAAGTGAAACAGCAAGATTTAAGCATTTATTCATTAAATCACATTGTCCAGTATGTACCACAGTATTTAGTGTGGTGCTCCAACACTTTTTTTAATTGTACTCTTTATTAATAATATCATTCTGAGAGAATTCAGCTCAATTTAGCAAAAGCTGCTGTACGGCTATTCTCAAACTACAATATAGTTAAACATCAGTCATGCAAGAAGTTCACAAATATAAAACAAGACTGTATTACAAATACATAGACAATATTGAGTAAAAGTAGGTTCAATACTGATTTTATTGATCGAGTTGAATAAAATTATGTTATTCGAGCCTCTGGCGAGGAAATTTTATTTAAGTTCAATAAAATCAGTAATGAACTGACTCAAATTTAATATTCTTTTTATCACATACCCAAAATAAAGGCTGTTTAAAGTGCAAAAGAATCATTTTTCATCAATGCACCTGTCTGTCACTAACATCTGGCGCATCTTTATACCATGTTTGTATAACGTAAATGATGTCATGTTAAAATATATTCACGACCGTGCAATACCACATTTTACAGAGTCACAAAATCGGCATGGGTGTGTGATAAAAGTATATATTGATATGACAGGATCCACATAATTATCCATTAGCCTGTTGGCGGAAACAACAAATTCTACTAATGTGACCAGAGCAGACCAAGATTATCCGGCACATCTGAGGTGTCTAAATATCATGGTCTGCACTGACTGCTATTCAGTCAGAACTTTATATTCTCCAATTTTTTTTTCTAAACTGATGAATTGTGTTGTCCAAACTGAAAGATGATCAAATCCATTTCAAGGGTTAACTACAAAACTGCAGTATCTTATATGAAATAAAGAAGGACTTACAAAAGTTTTGTGTTTAACCTTTGATTTGGCATTTTGTACAGCAAGGATTATAGAATCCCACATTTTTATACAAACAAAATATTCTTATTATATAGAAATACAGACCTGTACCAATATGTGTTATATCAAAATGGTCGGTATATCCAGCTCCAGGCAATTTTTGTCTCTCATACTCCATAACCAAAGTGTAATAATCAACATTGGCACTGTATAATAGTGGAGAATAATATTTTAATGCAAAACTTTCTGTGTACAATTTTTCAAAAAAGAATTAAAAAGTATTCACTAATCAGAAATAAGCATCAATGTCTGTGATATTCTTTAAATGTAAAATTGTTCTGTATATGATTGTGTAGCCATATTACATTATATAGAATGTACAGGCTCATGGCCATTGTTTTGGTAAATAAATGTGTAAAGTGTGAAACCAATGACACAAATAGAACATACAGAAAAACCTGTTTTGCTAAAAAAAAAGGACCTATACCGGCAGAAAGAAATATGGTTCAATCAATATACATCTTCAATCATTGGGTGCATATAACACATGCTGCATAAATTGTTCACTTAACTATTACTTTTAGTATGGCTGACAGTGTAAAATTTATGATTTCATTATCATGAACTATCAGGACCCTCTGTAGGTCAGTAGTTAAGATCACTTGCTGATCACCGCTACGGGTTATTTTGATGCCAGGCACTTCTGATTCTTTCACTTGAGGAAGCTATCCATCTAGCTAAAGAAAGGTTAGTGGTTCTACTCAGGTGGCAGCACTTGCCATAAATTATACATGAATTGTCACTTAAAGTGCTATAAAACCTTTACTGTCATGCCTTTTATAATTTTAACAGGTCAACACTATTAACAACAGTAAAGGCACAACATCAGACACTTACCCTTCAAGATCCTCAATTGTAACATCCAGATCAAATGGTCCAGACAAAGGGAAGTAAGCATGAGTTTTTGACGTGGCAACATCAGGGTAGACAAACTCAAAACACATCTTTTTTCTCGTAATCATTGATATCCACTGGTCAGAATTACACACTTTATATGTTGTTTGTACCGAGTTATCTATTCCAACTTCCTCCACCCCTGAATAATGGTGCAGCTGCATCCTACCTCTATATAAATGAAACATTAAATGAGCCGTGCCATGACAAAACCAACATAATGCGTTTGCGACCAGCATGGATCTAGACCAGCCTGCGCATACACGCAGTCTGATCAGGATCCATCCTGTTTGCTACCAGTTTTTCTACTTGTTATAGGGTTTATAAGCGAACAGCGTGGATCCTGATTAGTCTGCACGGATGCACAGGCTGGTCTGGATCCATGCTGGTAGCAAAGGCACTATGTTGGTTTTGTCATGGCATGGCTCAATTATCATAATCAATAATATAATAAATCATTAGCAATCATTGTTTGCAGTATGTTCAATATTTTGTGAGTACGTAACTTAGTAATTTTTTTCCTAAAAATGATGTACATGTATAACTTTGTCCACATTGGATGATAGATGAGTCTATGGTATGACAGGGTGATAAGAGTGAAATAAACAGACCAACACTAAAAATATTGTAAGGTTTGCCTACACTTCTATGCGAGTGCATAGAAATCTCATGCTGAAATGTGATATTCAGACCTTGAATCTTCAAAACTGTTAACAGCTCTTACAAATTCACAGCAGGAAAAGTTACATTATACAGTAAAAGAAAGGGTAAATCAGTATATATCTTACTTATATACCTTGCATAAAATATGTTCTGTAAATAATCACGCTTATTTTTATAAATTCCTTTTAACTCAAACTCCAGTTTCTTCTTGGTTGGGTTTTCAACAAAAACCTTTGGGTCACTATAACCGTATGTTAGCTTCAAAGAAATCTCTCTACCTCCACCGGCCAATATGGTGGCTTTCATACCGGAACTATGGCTCGTACCTATATGAACACCTAACTCTCCATGTAACTCGTGTAAAAATCTGAAATGTAAAGTCTTGAGTCTTAATAATTCCTGCTGAATCATGGACAATGATTTTCAACAAAAAATGTCATTATTTTTTTTCTAAACAAACAAGCCACACAAACACTATGTAGCAACTATTTTTATTCAATGCAAATGTTTCAGTGTATAACTTAAAATTGATACACAGATAATTACTTCTTTTCAAAATAAGGTAGGCGAGAAAGATATACAATATCAGATGAAAAGTATTAAATTACTTAAAATTCTTGCTGGGAAAATCAGACCTTTTCAATATTACAATAATGCAAAGCTAGCCTACAGCTCCCTGCAACCTGCACATATTGTATACTGTCTGCTAAACAACTTAATTATGTTTTTTTACCTTGAAAATAATTTAATCCTTTACTCCATAGATGTGCCTTTCATTGTGTGGGCAACCATAATAGATCCTGATGAGCTAGCACATCTGTGCCATCTGAGAATCTACACCAATCACTCTTAAATTCAATAGTAGGTTTATCAGACCAAGAGGCGAACACAGTTGATCACAATAAGATGACACACATGCTCAGTGATCCGGATCTACACTGGTTGCCTATTTGATAAAAGGCATATCCATTGGGCAGGCGGTTAAAGGCCAAACAGACAGTACAATAATTCGAAACAGGGTGATTCTATAAAGAATTGGGGGAAGGATATATTCTTCAGCCTACCTTACAGTTGGGGTTGAAGAGATTGACAATGTTGGGCTCCCCTTTTTACCACCTGCCAAGAATAACGCTAAATTTGACTGTATTGTATCACCGATCAAGTGTGTACCATATGCATGTACCGTCAAGTTCAAAGGTAGTCCTGCACATGTTGGAAGATCACGCACAAGACCTACAATCTCCTTTGACCTGCAATATATAATCAAAATCTTTCATGAAGTAATGGGTTACAACCCATGCTCCAGCATCATTACATGCATGTAGACTTTGACAGGTTTTATGATAGGTAATGCTACACATTTTTTTTCTTTTTCTTTTTTCTTTTATTCAAATACAAAACATATTTTAATAATCTAATGACTTTCAAAAACATGCATGTAAACATTTCTTATGTCCAATGAAAAGTCAATGTTAAACAAGTGAAATATTATAAATAATATAACACGCTAAAATGATTTTAGTGTTTCTCTCATCACTTTTCATTCTTCCGTTAGACACACTAGGCACACCGACTGCAGCAAGACCAGTCCTGACATTAAAACTCTTTTTTTTCAATTATTCACTAAGATTTCTATTAGAAAATACATGGCTGATAACCCTTAACCTACTGAATGTCTTAAATGGACTTTTCCAATTTCCATTTTGGAACAGTCCATTATCAATTTTAGGGCTTTAGAGCCTTGTCACACTGCAGGGATGTGCAGGCTGGCCTGGCTCTATACTGGTGGCAAATACTAATCACTTTCGCCTTCAGCAGGGTAAAGGTAGAATAACTAAAAACATTGATAAAAAAAGTCAATATTCCTCAAACTTCAATGGTGTTATTGCTGAGTGGTTAATGTGTTGGACAAGTACACTACAGATTGCTAGCCATCTAAGTTCAAACCCAGTAAGGGGTAAGCTGCTGTCTATTTGAGCAAAAAACTTTGCACTCATTGCTCAGAACTGTGTTAGTTCCGAGAAACAGATTGGAGAGTGTGTTTATAAGCTAACAGCTTCCTACACAATCAAACTAAAATAAATTCTGTATAAACTGATTTGAGCCGCGTCATGACAAAACCAACATAATGGGTTTGCGACCAGCATGGATCCAGACCAGCCTGTGCATCGCTATCAGTTTCTCGTCTTGTTATAGGGTTTGTAAGCGAACAGCATGGATCCTGATCAGACTGCGCGGATGCGCAGGTTGGTCTGGATCCATGCTGGTCGCAAACCCATTATGATGGTTTTGTCATGATGCGGCTCATTTTATTAAAATAACAAAACATTACTTGACTAATCTTTTAGTAATGCCAGACATGAGTTTCCTCAGATAGACTTCAGTGAAGGATGTTTTTGGAGGAAACTTAGCTTGAATTTCTCTCATCATTGACATCAGTTCTTTTAGAGATATAAACATCACCTCTTTACCTGTAAATAAATTTATCATCATCTGTCACCCTGCTAAATTTGTATAATGGGCTGGTCTGACTTTGAAGTTGGAAAAGTCCATGTGTAGTTTAAGGAATCTCAGAATCAAAATACAAAATTCAATACCAAACAGTATAGAGAGTGGTGAGGTTGCACAGATATTTAGACTCATCTTATTTTTATTATTTTATGGTGCCTTTTTTTTTCTATTTTTTTTTGTCCTCGTCATAAGAGCTTCCCTTAACAGCACCTTACAATTTCATTTCATACATAATTATAAGTTGTATACAATGACAAGAAACAATAATATAAGATACATGTACTGTATATACAAAATTTTAATAAATATTAACAAACTAGGCCCACTACTTGTTACAATGACCATAAATGGAATTTTCATTGCAGTAATAGAAAAATATTTTTATATAAAACTTAATCTGAGAAAAAGCTTAATATGAGGTTGCAAAACTGGCCTCATAGCTTTATACAGGCAGCAAAAATCTACAACTATGGTTATCAAAAGATGCTAAAAAGTGAAAATTTTACTAATTTAAATCTACATTACACCAGAATGAAACATTTTTCATGCATTCATAAATAAATACAATGGGCCATATTGTAGTTGTTAGAAGTAAACTGAGTTTGATAATTAAAATATCATTTGTTGCTTATCTTCTCATGCTATTGAAATATCTATTTCAAAAATGAAACATAACATTTATTATTTAATCACGATTCAACAAAATTATTCAATTTCAAATTGTTTAAAAGAATATTTACCCTTCACAGAAATATCTAGAGAAAGGTCAAAGTCTAGTTCAGTAGGATGGTTAACTTCTTTCAGAATATTCTCAACTGCTTTCACAATATTCTGCTGGAACTTTGCCAACTTTTCATCGCCTTGACCTTGAGCTTTAGCTTTCAAGGACTTGTAAAGGTCAAACATCTCCTGAGGTGTCATGTTTATTTTCTTGAGCAATGCATCCATTAAAATGTCAAATCCTAGAATCAGATGACAAATTTATTGTTAATTCACTTTTTAAATGCCCCTTTACATAATCAACTTAATCTAGTTGCTTGGACAGACAGACAACCAGCAAGACATTCTTACAGAATAGCATTTTGTAATTACCCTAATGATATCTTCACAGTTCTATAAGCCACTATAAACCATTTTAGCCACATATATCCCTTACTAACTGAAAATAGCATCAAAGAATATTTACTGCAATCTAATGTTCACATAGCCAACCAATTCACTGTGATCTAATGACCACATAGCCAACCAATTAACTGTTATCTAATGTCCACATAGCCAACCAATTTACTGTTATGTCCACATAGCCAACCAATTTACTGTTATCTAATGTCCACATAGCCAACCAATTTACTGTTATCTAATGTCCACATAGCCAACCAATTTACTGTTACCTATTGTCCACATAGCCAATCAATTTACTGTTACCTATTGTCCACATAGCCAACCAATTAACTGTTATCTAATGTCTACATAGCCAAACAATTTACTGTTATGTCCACATAGCCAATCAATTTACTGTTACCTATTGTCCACATAGCCAACCAATTTACTGTTACCTTATGTTCACATGGCCAACCAGTTTACTGTTTTAGTATAACCATTAAATTGCTTATCCATGTGGTAAAGGATTAAGAGTTGAATTATGAAAATCATTCCATAAAGCTATGTACCCCTATATACAAAGGTATTAAACATACAAGCAGTCTTATTTTCATATCCTAAGTGACAAAAAATCATTAACTATGATGAATAATTGCAAAACAATAAACAGTTAATTTCTGAAAATATTATAGGTGGGTTGGATGGGTGTAAATATTGGATTAGAACATACCTTTCACTCTCACCATGAATTGGAACAATTGATATTTTTCATCACCATAGTGATAACTGATGGCTGTCTTAAGAGTAGAAAATATTTTACTGGAGGGATCATAGATAAAGTCTGCTTCAATTTGACCACCAAACATTTCACTTACTGGGATCCTATAATAAATTTAAATTGTATGATCAAGTAGTATCAAGAAAAAACCTGCAAACACAATCCTTATTAAAGTATAAAACAAGCATAAATATACTATAAAACATACTACAATTTAATAGATGACAAGAAACATGGCAATGCCATGAAACCAGGTTTTCAATTATCACCATTGTAGATAAATATGTTGTATTTGAAATACAAATACAAGCAACAAACAATGTAACCATGTGCAATGTAAAACATGAATAATGTAGGAGGAATTGCGCACAGAAGAAGTGTTCACTATATATATTATGTATAAGGAAAAAAAAACAAAGGGCCATAATTAGGTAAAAAATTATCTAATCACAAAACCCCGACAATATGTGCCAGGGCACTTGATGACAAAGCTTCTGTGAAAAGTTTGAACAAAATCCGTTGAGAAATGTAGGAAGAGTTCAGCACAGAAGAATTTGTTCAATTCTGTATAAGGAAAAAAAACAAAGGGCCATAATTAGTTCAAATATTATCCAATCACAAAACCCTGACAATATGCGCCAGGGCAACTTGATGACAAAGCTTCTGTGAAAGTTTGGTCAAAATCCGTTGAGAAATATAGGAGAAGTTGCCGCACTGTAGAAATTGTTCACTATATATTCTGTATAAGGAAAAAATATACAAAGGGCCATAATTCGGTCAAATATTATCCAATCACAAAACCCCGTCAATATGCGCCAAGCACTTGATAACACAGCTTCTGAGAAAGTTTGGTCAAAATCCGTTGAGAAATGTAGGAGGAGTTGCGCACAGAAGAAATTGTTCACTATATATTCTATATAAGGAAAAAAACAAAGGGCCATAATTAGGTCAAATATATACCAATTGCAAAACCCTGACAATATGCGCCAGGGCACTTGATGACAAAGCTTCTGAGAAAGTTTGGTCAAAATCCGTTGAGAAATGTAGGAGGTGTTGCACACAGAAGAAATTGTTCAATATATATTCTATATAAGGAAAAAAAACAAAGGGCCATAATTAGGTCAAATATTATCTAATCGCAAAACCCCGACAATATGCGCCAGGGCACTTGATGACAAAGCTTCTGTGAAAGTTTGGTTTAAAATCCGTTGAGAAATGTAGGAGGAGTTGCGCACAGAAGAAATTGTTTACGCCCGCCCCGCCAAATGGCGCCCGCCCGCCCCCCGCCGACATACCTCAATCTAATAACCAGTTTTTTCCTTCGGAAAACCTGGTTAAAAATTAAATGGACAAATTAAGCCTTTTAACACACAAATGTGGGTTAAAATCTTGTTAGGAACTAGATTTTTCCAGTGGTTCAAAACAGATGCCAGTTGATTCCTGAATAAAACAGTTTAAACGTTGCCATCTGACAGTGTTGGTGGGACTTCAAACCAACAATAAAATACATCTGACAATGCACTTCAGGGTGCATTTTTTCATAATTGTGTGAACAGAAAGAACAAGTGAATTATATATTATATCTTTGCAAGCATTAAAATACTTCAATAAAGCAGTGGGATACAGAAAATATCACTCACTAGTCAGTGAACTTTGCAATTATAAACTAAGCCACTTACTTGAAGAAGTAACCGCCTGCAATACTTTTCGAGAAACTTGAGGAAAAATGATCAAAGTCGTAGAAACGTGGATTGAAATATTTTTCTTTCTTAACTTCTTTCCAGGCCATTCTTACTCTGTGAAAATATCATATAAGATAATTATAATAAGTGTAAGATTTTACCATTTTACCCTATGATCTGTCCAGCCTATGTAAAGTTCTAAACCTTTTTTTGGTATTAACAGATCAAAATCTGCTACAGAAAATCTGACTCCTTCAGTAATAGGATATAAATACTGCAATAAAAATTCAAGCATTACAACGGACATCATATTTAAAGAAATTAATACTTCAATTATCATTTATTAAATGGAAAAGAAACCAACAAATACCCTTTTAAATAAGGAGCATCATTTTGCAGTAAGGTTCTAACAGCTGAAGTCATATATGCCTTCATTTGGATAGTATTGTCACTCTTCTTCATTATATCCACAAGATTAATGATGGTGTCTGCATCTGTTGTTTTCATCAACAGAGAAAATGAAAGAGCCCTTAAAGTAGTGTCCTGAGAGTCATCTTTCAGTACCTCAAAAAATACATCCCTAGTATCTTTGGGGATATCTGCATATTTCGTTTCTGATAAGGTTTCTTCTATATTCTGGAGAAAAGAAAAATATGATGAAATGAAAAACTGATGAAGATATCACTAACTATGGTTTGAAATCAAAATGGCTCATATACCTATGGTTTGAAATCAAAATTGCTCATATACCTATGGTCAGAAATCAAAATGGCTCATATAACTATGGTCAGAAATCAAAATGGTTCATATACCTATGGTCAGAAATCAAAATGGCTAATATACCTATGGTCAGAAATCATAATGGCTCATATACCTATGGTCAGAAATCAAAATGGCTCATATACCTATGGTAAGAATTCAAAATTTCTTATATAGGGTCAAAATAAAAAAAGGCATTTACCTATTGTCAGAAATCAAAATGGTTCATAAACCTATGGTCAGAAATCAAAGTTGCTCATATATCTATGGTCAGAATCAAAATACCTATGCTTAGAAATCAAATTGCTTAAAAATCTATTGTCAGAAATCAAAATGTTGCATATACGTATGGTCAGAAATCAAAATGGATCTTTTACTTATTGTCAGAAATCATAAATGGCTCATATATTTATGGTCAGAAACAAAAATGGCACATATACCTATGGTTAAAAATCATAATGACTCATATACCTATGGTCAAAAATCAAAATAGCACATTTACTTATTGTCAGAAATAAAAATTGGTCATATACCTATGGTCAGAAATCAAAATAACACATATACTAATGGTCAGAAACAAAAATATTAACAGATAATGTTCGGGGAAAAGTGTATTGAATAAAATGTGCTTAGACAAACTAAAATGACAAGAAGAGCATTAAAAATAGTGATTTTTCTAGACAGTTAAACAAGGATTTATAATAATACCTGTATAATGTTGATTTTGAATGATGTTGGAATCACCCTGTTAAGCATACAAGTATGATAAACAGATGTTTTTTCCTCCCCTTGTAGTTTCCCTGTAAACATCTGTACCACTTTATATCCTACATTGGTTATTGTCTGTACAGAAATAAATAAACATTAGATATAATAAATTATCTGTTTTGTTTTTGTTTTTTTGGGGGTTTTTTTTTTGGACTTTTAAGTCACATTGACATTACAAATGTCACAATGTGGCACATTTGGGGAGCAGGAAGACCTGTAGTGTCCCTTTGTCATTATTCATTATTTCACACACAAGCAAGCACACTGACCTTCCATACTCTAAATGAATAGTTATAGCAAAATATAAGAATTATAAGCATGTAGCAGGATTTGAGCAAACATGAGCCATTGACAGCCTAAGACAACAGTTGAAAGTTTTGTTTTGATATTACTATAATATTAATGTAATTAAGTCACAGTCATACACTTATCACTCTACCAAATAAGTAAAACAATATATAACATATATAACAGCGGTATATCTATAGCTACAGCTGTAAGCTATAAGATACTGTTCATAATCATGCTAACAGGATTATTTCAGTCATATCTTACACACAATTTTCATAACTTCACAATTACCTACCTTTAAAGCAGTGTTGAGCTGTCTTTCTGTATCAAGAAGTGTACCACTCAGACAGTTGTTCTGTATTTTATCATGCAAGTGGTGAAGGACTCTATATAACACACTGTCTTCCTGCAACACAAGATTATAATCACGTAAAGGCACATTATGCCCCAGAAATGAATAAATTTTCGTTCTTTAGAAAATGCAAACATGCGTTTTAAAATCCTTAATTAATAGTTTTAAAGCATAGTAGAAATCACCTTAAAAAGTAGCTCTGAATATGAAATTGTTTGTCATAAAAGTAGCAAAATGTAAACAAAGTAGTATTTTGACTTACATTCACAATTCTAAATCACTATATTTTTCTCTAATTGCCAAAGTGTTAAAGAAGCAAAAGCTGGTTCAGGTAATTGGCCAAAGAGTGACGTTTTGGAAACTATAACAGGACACAAAAATTTAAGCTTTTGAGAAATGAAAATAAAAGCATTTCTGTGGCATAATAGGCCTTTAATTAAAAGAACCAGAAGCCTAAAATCATAAAATTTAAATTTCTTAAGTCGATCAACTGAACAACTGAATTAGAATGGAAATATTTGCAAAAGATTATAACTAAATATAAAAAATAAACAAATTGAAAATCATATTGTGCTATTTTAGACAGATTTGAATTAACCACATCTGAAAGCTTTTCATTTTGAGGTTATTTTTCGCTTCTAAAATGATTACTCTGGAAAAATGCAAAAGATTAACAATCTGAAATTTTGCAGAAAAATTATTGGTTCAGAACTACATGAACTACATCAAATAGAAGAAAAAATCTAGAACAATTATTTCCATTCCTGTCATGTCAAAAAACCTTGGTGGAATCTCTTGAATTTTCACAAAAAGAAATTGTTTATCTTCCATTCAAACATTTCAAAATCAATTCTAGGAGTATCATGTTAAAAATGAAGGTTGTTCAGCAAACAGTAAAATACTCATTCAGGCTCCATAGATTTACAGACTGGCTCAATGCTATACTGATGGTAGCTTGGGTCTCAAAACTGTAAGATAAACTCAGTGTATATGTAGCAATTATATAACACGATAACAAATATTGTATCAACTATTCATCTATGAACAAATTTACCATTGATAAATTTTGAAACTTTTGACACTACTGTATAATTTTTGATGTGAAATTTTCTTTCCGCTTACCTTATCTTGGCACTACTGTAAATGGTTAAATTCAGTCAACCAGTCACATACAAATATAAATTACTGTGAATATATACATACCTTGACATCCTCTGGACTAGAAGGGTTTAATTTACTAAGCATAGTTCCAAGTGTTAACCAGCAAGTTGTTGCATCTTTGCTTTCACAAAGTTCCTGTTAATATTCAACAATGATATTAATTATAATAAAATTTCACCTGATAATTTGTTATTGGAGCAGGCAGTACAGTGATATATTGGGGCAGGCAGTATGGTGATATATTGGGGCAGGCAGTACAGTGATATATTGGGCAGGCAGTTAGGGTGATATATTGGGGCAGGCAGTTAGGGTGATATATTGGGGCAGGCAGTAGGGTGATTTATTGGGGCAGGCAGTAGGGTGATATATTGGGGCAGGCAGTAGGGTGATATATTGGGGCAGGCAGTAGGGTGATATATTGGGGCAGGCAGTAGGGTGATATATTGGGGCAGGCAGTAGGGTGATATATTGGGGCAGGCAAGTTAGGGTGATATATTGGGGCAGGCAGTAGGGTGATATATTGGGGCAGGCAGTAGGGTGATATATTGGGGCAGGCAGTAGGGTGATATATTGGGGCAGGCAGTAGGGTGATATATTGGGGCAGGCAGTAGGGTGATATATTGGGGCAGGCAGTAGGGTGATATATTGGGGCAGGCAGTAGGGTGATATATTGGGCAGGCAGTAGGGTGATATATTGGGGCAGGCAGTAGGGTGATATATTGGGGCAGGCAGTTATGGTGATATATTGGGGCAGGCAGTAGGGTGATATATTGGGGCAGGCAGTATGGTGATACATTGGGGCAGGCAGTAGGGTGATACATTGGGGCAGGCAGTAAGGGTGATATATTGGGGCAGGCAGTACAGTGATATATTGGGGCAGGCAGTAGGGTATATATTGGGGCAGGCAGTAGGGTGATACATTGGAGCAAGGCGAAGTAGGGTGATTATTGGGGCAGGCAGTAGGGTGATATATTGGGGTATTGGGGCAGGCAGTTAGGGTGATATATTGGGGAGGCAAAGTAGGGTGATATATTGGGGCAGGCAGTTAGGGTGATATATTGGGGCAGGCAGTGGGTGATATATTGCGGGCAGGCAGTAGGGTGATATATTGGGGCAGGCAGTAGGGGTGATATATTGGGGCAGGAAAGTATGTAATATATTGGGGCAGGCAGTAGGGTGATAAATTGGGGCAGGCAGTAGGGTGATATATTGGGGCAGGCAGTTAGGTGGGGCAATATATTGGAGCAGGCAGTACAGGCAGTGGGGTTTAATATCAAGGTATTTCATTTATTTTTGACATTCATTTCTATACCTTACAATTCTTTTTTTTTAACAAAAAATATTTTACATGGCAGACTGTAAAGCATAAGATAATTATAATCCTGGACAATTTTTTTTGATACCCTCAAATACTCTATATTTTTGGCGTAAGGCAACAAGAATATCAAAAAGATACATGCATATTTAAAAAAGAATTTAAATCCTGAACATTCATTATCCTTTTTCATAAATTTGGTATTAGATAACACAAAACATTTTTACTTACAAAGACTTTTTCTAGTAAAGTTTCTGATATCTCAGTTAAGTCTTTCAGACCTTGTAAGAAAGCTGTTGTTTCAAACTCAGTTGTATAACCTTGATTTATACATAGCAGGAGGACTTGTATACAGGCTTCTGTTCCACATGATTCCAACCCATCCAAGAAAAACGTTTGTTCCAAAGGCTGCAAAAACAGAAAAAGGTTATTCACTGAAAAAAAGGGATATAACTGAGTTCCGTCTTTTGTTTTCTTTAATTGAGTAGGCATTTTGAATAACTGTACACTGTATTTCAGGTCATAAAAACTGTTAAATAACCATTGCAGATCGATAAATGTCAGAAATGTACGCATGATTTTGTCATTGTAATACCCTCCCCCAGCCCCCACCCTCATCTTTTCACAATATTTTGTTTGGTGTTATTCACATGAAAAATGGTTTATTATTTAATTTTGTCAGTATTTTTCATGTCCACCCAATTATTGCGGGATAAAAAACTAAAAAACTATCAAGTCCAAAAGACTGCCCTCAATGTTATTATTTCAGATGTAATTATTAACTTAAAACAGTCGTTATACATCTCTGATGGTCATTAACATAAAATATTTTAACAGGTACTGATTGTGCATACCTGTAGAAGACAAAATTAAAGGTAGTATTTTAGGAAGTTTTATTTTATTTGTAATTCTTAAAACCTAGATACGGTTTGAGTGTACAGATATTTGGATCAACCCTCATACAATCTACAGACCTCACTTTCACCCTCATATTCACATTTACATACTCACCATTTTAGGAAGTTTTATTTTATTTGTAATTCTTAAAACCTAGATACGGTTTGAGTGTACAGATATTTGGATCAACCCTCATACAATCTACAGACCTTACTTTCACCCTCATATTCACATTTACATACTCACCATACTGTCTCCTGATAACACATCTGTCATTAGCTTGCTACAAAAACACCACATATACCAGGCAACAAGGTAACAGCATATGATATGAAGCAACTTTAGAATTTATATACTTCTATATATGTATAAAGGCCATTTGGGAAAAAATAAACAACCCTTGCCCATCAAAATGGTCAAGTCCCATGAAGAGATCTTATACCTAAAACCAAAAAAATTATTATAAGCCTGGAAAACAACCAACTACATGTACACAGTAGTCTTTGCCAGGATGCCAGGCATTTCAAACTTAATATCTATATCTCTTTAATTCTGACATTTCAAAATCTATATACCTTTCTTATATCATCACAGTCATCCTTACAAACTAACACTTCTGCCATGATCTCTTCCAGCACATCTTGTGTGGCAGTTCTAAACTTCTCTACCAGATCCCCAAACTTCCCAGGCACAGACTCAAACTTTTCAATGTCATGTGAGTGGAATAATCCCTCCACAACTATTGCAAGACTATTTCTGATCTCTTCTCCAGTAGATGCACGATTGAAGTCCACACCAAAATCAAACTTTATACTAATCACTGACTGTCCATTTAAGGACAGGTCTGGTCTAGGAGATTTCTTTTCTTCTAAATTCTTAAAGTCTAACCTCTGACTGCAAGAAAACAATTTTTTTTAAATACTAATGGTTCAAAACTTTTATTCTTAAATTATAAAACCTTTACAGCTGTAATAAATACTAATAATAACAACTTTTGAGAAGATATCTGAAACAAGAATAATTAGTTTGAAACAAGAATAACTACTTTTGCGCAAAATAACTACACAAAAATATTTAACTAGACCTGTGACACAAGATATATATTATCTACCTCTTCCATTTTGACAAAATATCAAAAACAAAATATATATTCATAACAAGAGTGATCATTGAACACATGACTGTGTTGCCTCATGATTGCCATTTGCATGTTTCAGTTACAGTGTAGCAGGAGACACAAAAATCTTTAACAGGGCAAATCACATTTTTTTTATTCAAGGGCTATAACTCAGTCAACAAGAGCTGTCACAGGAGACAGCGAAGCTCGACTAATAAAATACTGGACACAGTAAGGAGGACAAAACTATGAAAGAAAAATCAATTATGTATAATTATGTATTAAGTTATAGTAAAAAAATAACATTTGTTAACATAAATTCCAAGATCAAGGGGAATAATTCTAGAAATAGTCATGCTAGAGTTATGGATCTTGCAACACAACATTTGTGTAATGATAAGAAATATATATTTGAAGTTTGAAGTAGATACCTTAAAAAGTAAAGAAGCTATTATATTTCTTAAAGAAAATCCTAAGTTCAAAGAGAGATAAATCTGTAAATAGTGCTTCAAGAGTTATGAACATTGTCACATAAAATGTAATTGATGATAAGGAATAAGTATTTGAAGTTTGAGGTAGATACCTTTAAAAGTAAAAAAGTTAAAATAAAAAATAACATTTTTCTAGTAAATAAATCTAAGTTTATGGGGAGATAATTCTTGCAATATTGGTGCTAGAGTTATGAACCTTGTCACATAAGACGTGGATGATGATAATGTAAATAAATTTGAAGTATGAAGTTGATTCCTTTAGAAATAAATAAGTAACAATAAAAAATAATATTATTTATGGAAAATTCTAAGTTCAAAGGGAGATAAATCTGAAAATATTGGTGCTAGAGTTATGAACCTTGTCACATAAGATGGGGATGATGATAACGTAAATATATCTGAAGTATGAGGTTGATCCCTTAAGAAATAAAGAAGAAACAGTAAGAAATAGTATTTTTTGAGGGAAATTCTAAGTTCAAGGGGAGATAAATCTGAAAATATTGGTGCTAGAGTTATGAACCTTGTCACATAAGATGGGGATGATGATAAGGTACATATATTTAAAGTATGAGGTTGATCCCTTAAGAAATAAAGAAGTATCAGTAAAAAATAGTATTTTTTAAGGAAAATTCTAAGTTCAAGGGGAGATAAATCTGAAAATATTGGTGCTAGAGTTATGAACCTTGTCACATAAGATGTGGTTGATGATAAGGAACATATATTTGAAGTTTGAAGTTGATACCTGAAGAAATGAAAAAGTTATAGTGAAAAATATTTTACTGCACCAAAACTTTAATCTAAAATCTGGACGCGGACGCGGACACCGGGGCGAGTAGGACAGCTCTCCATATACTTCGTATAGTTGAGCTAAAAATCATTTAACATTTCATAAATTCAATGCCATGTTTATTTCATACCTGACATTTGTCATTGCTGTAACCAGATAGTCTCCAGTGTAAGCTAGTGGTTTAAAATACTGTATTTGTAAACAGTCTGCAGTAACCAGTGTTCTGTCCCCTTTCATGTCATGTTGACATGATACAGGCATCTCAAATGGATAGATAAACTGTAAAAGAAACAACCTTCGGATGACATATTTCCTTCTAGAAAATGCAAAAGAAAAGAAAATTATTTACATTTTAAAAAGTATGTGATAAAAGAAATTATACACACAGTTTTGAAAATATAAATCTACCATTTATCAAAATTAATTTTGTAATCCTTTATTGAATTAGCTTAAAATAAACGATGAATTTGCAAGTCAAGTCTGGGTAAAGTTTTAAATAATATGACTTGAAATCTAATTACATGTAATTTGTATGAGAACAAAATCTTAAAGAAGCGTTCCACAGACAGTGGTAAAACAATCTTTTTAGTCCTTTTTGAGTAAAGCGTTTTTTCAACGCTTTTCAATTTTTGATTATTTTGCACAATAACAGTTATTAGTCCAGATCTGCAGCAAAAGGTACCAGTCTCTGGAAAAAAATCAAGTTCCTTCTTGTCAAAAAATCTTAGTGGAGTCCCTTTAATCAGTTAAATTAATATTCTTCAAATCATTATGATGTCAAACTAAACCCCAACCCCCAATTATGATAATTTCATACTTATAATGTTACAATGAAATCTCAATAATTGTTAAGTTCATACGTTTTACCTCTTGGTTATGGTATATTCAATTTCATTACATCTCAAAATTATCATAATTTGATACTTCATTATAACCGACAAGTATGATAATTTCATACTTATTACAACAAAGTCTTAAATTCATACTATATACCTACACTTCTTTTACTCTTTTACATACTTATTACCTCACAATTATGACAATTTAAAACATTCTGTTTTTTTTATCACATTATTATGACAATGTCATTTTTTTTTACCTCATTGTGATAATTATTACATATTGTATACCTCATAGATATGATAATTGCACATAGATTACCTCATTTATGGGTTGCTCAGAAACCCCTCCCACCATCTGGCCAATTGATGGGCCTGGTATTATATTAACATGTTTTGTATATATATTAGCCAGGCTACATTTCTTCAGGTTTCGTTTTGAGACAACAGATCTGTCTGAAAATGTTTCCTTCAATTCTTCATAATCTACTGGACAGCTTCCGAAAATATCAACCTGAAAAAAAAATCAACAGTAAATCAAATTGTATTTATTTCATAGAGGATATTGAATAGGTGTAGGTTCAATACTGAATTTATTGAACTTGTTGAATATAATTATACTACACTTGCCTATTCTATGCTATTCTATTTATCACATACCTAAAAAAAAACATTTTTCAATTAATCATTCATTTGCTCATTGGACAACATATATTTAGCACATCTTAATGTTATATTTGTATAACGCAAGTGATGTCACATCATAATATATGCATGGCTGTGAATACCGATTTTACAGAGCCACAAAAATGGCACGGATAAGTGATAAATAATATTATTAAATTACTTGTGGAAAATGGTTTGAACAGTTTTAGAAAACTGTAACATGATTTGTGCTCACAGGGTTCTGAGGGGCAAAAGTAATTTCAGGTCAACAACCTTAACCACACAGCCTGAGAGAACCTTCAAATAGGATCGAAGGCTCTAGACACTACCTATATACCTTTATATGCTTAAATACTTACATAAAATGTATATAGAATCAAGTGACAGCCAATAAGATTAAAACTAAATTGTTATAGAATCATTGAATGATTTAGTTACCAGATTTAAGTGTTCGTCTTTTTCAAGAATGGGAACCTGCAAGGCTGAAATGATGCCACGTTTGAAGTTTAACGCCTGTAGGGTATCTTCATCATGAGCAAGAATACCGTCCTCAATTATGATCCCTTTATTCATCTGGAAGTAAATCGAGTACCTGAAATAGTCCAAAAACAAGTTCAGCAATTGTCGTCCAAATTGTTACTATTTATAGATACAAATTAATACTATAAAATGTCTATAATCTATAATTAGGCATCATTTTCACAATTCATTAAATAATTCCAGCTAGAAACTGTAGTAATTGCATAATTTCAATTCATGAGGTGTATAAGATTTAGAAAAATATGATATGAATAAAATTTAGGTAAAATCTTCTCCTACATTTTGACATAACACTAGCACTTGTAAAACATGACAAACTGGTTTCTTTCTACAAGAAACAGACAACAAAATGCTGAAGTACTGAATAAGACATGACCTTTATGCAAAAATAGCACTAATACGCCTTTTTTCTGGGCATAAACATCTTCAGAAGTCCTTGAACCTATTAAATCCCTTGCCATTCGGGCTTGGGCTTTAAATGTGTCCTCTGGCTTTTTGAGAAATCATCACCTAAGTGCAGTAATGGATTAACTCCTATTATATTATATAAGGAGTTAACCAATTACTGCACTTAGGTGACAATATGATGATTAGCCTTATTTCACCATACTATATATTATATTCAAGCCAATTGCAGCTTTGTTGTTCCCTATAATAAATATGATTATTCATCTTCACACAATTTGTAAGCAAGCAATACAATTAATTAATATAACAAAATAATAGCTTATGATAATGCCTGTTATTATCCCCCGCCGAAAAGGCAGCGGGGGATATAGAAATAGTCTTCGACCTTCCGTCCGTCCGTCCTTTCGTCCGACATTTTTGTCCGGAGCATATCTCTAAAAGTATTTGAGTTATCAACTTGAAACATCATAGGTGGATAGACCTCATTGAGGAGGAGTGCAGTGCACAAGAATGATAACTCTACCCTGCATAATTTTTGAGTTATTGCCCTTTGTTATTTTTCAAAATTGATTTTTGTCCAGAGCATAACTCCAAAAGCCTATGAGATATCAACATGAAACTTCATAGGTGCATATATCTCACTCAGGAGGTGTGCAGTGCACAAGAATGATAACTCTACCTTTCATAATTTTTGAGTTATTGCCCTTTGTTATTTTTCATACTTAATTTTTCACCTGAGTGGAGCAAAACTCAAAAAGTTTTTGAGATATCAACATGAAATGTCATAGTTGGATAGATCTTATTGAGGAGGAATGTTGTGCGCAAGAATGATAACTCTTCCCTATACAATTTTTGAGTTATTGCCCTTTGTTCTTTTTCATGCTATTTTGTCCAGAGCTTATCTCAAAAAGTATTTGAGGTATCAACTTGAAACTTCATAGGTGGATGGATCTCATTGAGGAGGAGTGCATTGCACAAGAATGATAACTCTACCCTGCATTATTTTTGAGTTATTGCCCTTTGTTATTTTTCAAAATTAATTTTTGTCCAGAGCATAACTCAAAAAGCCTTTGAGATATCATTATGAAACTTCATAGGTGCATAGATCTCACTCAGGAGGTGTGCAGTGCACAAGAATGATAACTCTACCTTTTATAATTTTTGAGTTATTGCCCTTTGTTATTTTTCATACTTAATTTTTCAATTCAATTTTTTTCTCAAAAAGTATTTGAGGTATCAACTTGAAACTTCATAGGTGGATAGATTTTACTGAGGAGGGATGCAGCACACAAGAATGATAACCTACCCTGCATTATTTTTCAGTTATTGCCCTTTGTTGTTTTCAGCCATCAGTATTCACATAGGTTTCAAATCTGTAATCACTATAGCCATCAGTTTTCATTACCAAAAGACCTCTTAAAATGGAATTATTCTGCTCTACTACATATACATTCTTCCAATGAGCAAACACATTCGGCGGGGGATGGCCATGTTGACATGGCTCTTGTTAACATTAAAATACCTGAATTATTTTTACTCACCTTTGTAGATCATCTAGGAACTGTTTAGCAGATGACACATCTAAGTAAGTGTCTTCTGCTTTTTGAACTCTTTCCAACAATGAACAATCTGAAAGCTGGATTAATATTCAGACAATTATACTCAAATTTTAGACTCTTACAAAAACAATTTACAGATTGTCAAATATTTCCTTTTCAAGGTTGTTTTTTTTTAAATAGAGAAACAAACAAAAGATTCCTGCAGAACATGTGAATAAAACACCTGTACCAAATAGGAATTTCAATATCTTTTCTATTTTTCTTTTCGAACAATCTGGTTGGTTGAAAACAATGAAATCATACATGTAAGGGAAGATGTTGAACATACATGGCAGGGTTATTTACCAGTACTAAGCAGATTTCATCTTCTGAGAGCTTGTTGTGACACCAGTATGTTGTTTATGGTGTCATATTATGGGGAGCCAAGCTCTCCGGCTGAACTTTCAAGCTGTCTGACCAATGACAGAACAATGCTAATATAAATCATTTTATTTGAACACTTGTCAACATTTTCAATCATAATTTTCTTTCCCGACATAAAAAAAAAAATAGCACTTGCTCTTTATAACTCTTAGCCTTCTGCCACCAGTGCAGACCAGGATCAGCTGTCACATCAGTCTGTACATTTTTTTGAAATTTTCTCGAAACTGATCAATGGTTTTGCCAAGTTTAGAAGATGTCAAGATGAACATGTCCATTTAAGATATTAGCCGTGTACACGACAAAACCAACATAGTGGGTTTGCGACCGGCATGCATCCAGACCAGACTGAGCCTCCACGCAGTCTGATCAGGATCCATGCTGTTTCCTTACCAACTCTTTAAAAAGTAGAGAAACTGATAGCGAACAGCATGGATCCTGATCAGACTGCGCCGAGGCGCAGGATGGTCTTGATCCATGCTGGTCGCAAACGCATTACGTTGGTTTTGTCGTGACGCGGCTCATATTAAGCATGGTAAGAGTATTAAAAGCAATTATACCTCCATGATGTGCTCACACCTCCTTGGAACATTAATTGTGACAGTGCATGACAACTTGGACACTGACATGGATGATGATGCTCCCAGAAATGCACTGGATACATGAACTGTGTAGCCATACGTATATATATGTCTAGGCTGAAACAACATATCTGAAATAAAATATATTTTTACATGTATTATACAAATATGGACTTTTTAGCTGTTGAATATGATGTGATATGTACTGAAAAAATTAATATTGACCGAGGCGATAGCATGCTAATCCCTATTGTTCTTAAAAATGAAAAACGGTAACTAATATAGACTAATTTGACTCTTATGTATTTTTTTCAGAATAATAACAACAAACTTGGCGTGACGTCACGTCAAAGTCTCGCGTCTTTTAGGGATTTCCAGAAAATCTATTTTTAGAAGAAAAACCGGTGAATATACTCTGAAAATCTATTTTTAGGGGGAAAAAACAGTGAATATACTCTGATATTGACCTGTTATTTTTTACAAAAAGTTGCTTGTTAGCCAATCAGGGAAAGGCATTTCAAAGCTATTTATAGATTATATAATAAATGTTATTATTTAATTCAACCCATGAAATATGGTGCTCTATCAGTCAAATATATTTCATATTTGTAAAAAATAAATATGAAATATAAATATGAAAGTGGGCAGAGTCAAAACTCATATTTAATTCATGGGACTTCTTTTGCCATTTTGATAACAAAATCTGATAAATAAATAACAACTTTTTGTTGAATTTTGATTAGAATGATAGAAAATGGTCTAAGAAAATAAATCCCAACACCAATATCTTAAATTCAGTCATTAACACTGTACAGACGTTAAAAGAGTTGTTTACGTGACGTCACAATGAGCGCTAAATATCGCATGCAAAACAAGACAATAATTAATTATATTACTGTGCCCTAGTACAATTGCAATTGCGTAGTTAGCAAGGGGGTTCATAACCATTTTTCTTTGATAATGAAATTAAATAAAAAGGTCACTTTTTCGATTTTCGTGAAATATGGTATATATTTTCACTCAACATGATAAAATGCCACATATTTTCACTCGCTGTCCTGGCTTGTGAAAATATGTGGCTGTGTGGCATTTAATCATGTTTCGTGAAAATATATTCCATATTTCACTCAAACGAAAAAATATCCTCTTATTATTTTTTCAAAAAAGTGTAAATATGCAATTTTATAATTATTGTGTTAATATGATAATGTTTAAGTTTGAGTTTTATGCCAGATTTTTTACTCAACCAGCAAATGGATATTACAGTAGGCTGGGAATATAACCCAACTCTGCACAATCTATAGTTAAGACTGTTCTCCATTTGAATTACTCGCTTCATATAAGATAAATTGCTACAAAGGCTTATTTTGCTTAGAGTTGTTGCCTTAAATTAGAATACACATCAAAGCATAGAAAATGACAGTTTGGTTCTAATCAATGGAAATAACATCTCCAACATCAGGCAATAACAGAGATGTTAGTCAGTAATCATTTCAAAATGGAGCTTGTAAGCTTAACTTTATGTATTGTACATACTGTAGGTCAGGCCAGCCTTGTATAACATTTTATTTTGCTGTATTATAATACTTATGATATTGATAAAATTTACAATGTTTGTATTTCTGACCTCAGAAAGGGCAAAATACTATTACTGAGTACAAATATCACTGAGTATGTGATAACAGAGTTTACGATAATATGATAATCATATTTTATTAACACTACAATCATGCACACTTGATTTTCTACCATACTAACATCTTTATCAAGCTGATGTTTCACATTAACAGTTATAGTCATTTGCATATTTAGTGATTATCTCTACTAATTCATCCAAGGTTGTATATCAATCCATAACCTGCTTGCACTGAAAATGAGTAACCTTTAGTACCACCAATATAGAACCAGTTCAGTCTGCACATCCTTACAGTATTGACCAGGCTTTATACTGTTGGTAGCTTTATTTTTGTATTTCAATCAATGAACTCCCTTTATCTTATCCAAAGTCAAAGCAATGATATACAAGTATGCCAAAACCTTACCAGTTTTGATAAAAGGAAAACAAATAAAAATTCCAGAAAGACCACAAAATAATCAATACATTCAAATAAGCGCAGATACATCCCTGACAAATCTTTTGTCTTTGTTTATGTGGTTTAAAGTCACACAACACTATGAAGTTCATATAGGGACTTCCTAGCTTCACTGATGAAAGAAGATCTCTGATTGAGCAGCACCTCAAGTTATTATTTCTGGCGTGATTGGGCATCCAATTAGAGCCAGGTACATTATGTATCTTCCCTAAACTAGCTGGACAGCTTCCTCACATGAAAGAAAATTCTAAATGCCGAGCCAAAGTATGATTGACAAGATCAACAAGGAAAGAACCCCCCAAATCAACTTACAGCTGTGAGGGATAATATGCTTTGTAGTCAGTGACTGTAACCATGTCCTCTGAACAAAATAAGTCCTATTTTCACATCACATTGATTATCACAAAGAACTCATTTACACCATATAATAATCATAGAATTACTGAATATTTTACTTACACTTTTTGCTGCATGATGGTCTTTCTATTGAAGCACTATTTGAAAAACCTGGAAACAACAAAGAAGGTTTTTAGGATTATATTTAATTATTTAAGTGTTCGTTTTTCTTTCTTATGAAACAGTAACATATTTTCAGAAGTTAAATTTTCAGGTTCAATGTTGTGACTGCATAAATTGCCAAAATTCCAGACTAAAGTTACACAAGAAATGAAAGCAGTCTAGATGGTTTTATACTGTTGTCTCTATTGAATTTTAGCATTCAATAATTGAAATCCCTACATTAAAAGCAGGACTATTCCATATTAAAAGCAGAACAAGTCCAGTATATAAATTCAAAAGGGAAATAGTTAAGGCAAGAAGTTATACATCTAAATAAAGGATTACAAAAGATGGTGCGTAATAAGTTAGAGCACTGAGAAAGACATTCTAATTTAAAAAGATCCAATTCTTTTCATACAAAATTAAATTTATTATTTTTCATCAAATATCTACCACTAAATTGAGCACTTTCAATTGGAAAATCCATTTAAATTTAAATGGATTGCTCCATATTTAAAGCAGAGCATCCATTATCAACATTTCCATATTTTTTCCCTTAAATATAAGAAAATATTTTTAATTTTTTATTAAAAAATTCTTTAAATTTTTGAAAAAGTTAAATCCTTACTTACCTACAAATGAAGTGAACACAACAACCAACACAACCAATCTAAAATCCTGTAGAAGTTCCATAGTATTATGGTAAGGAACAGAATAAACAACTATTTAGAATTATCTTTATCCTACAGCATCTTCAACATTTTACAAAATCTTGACCTTATATACAGCTAAAATCTATCCTTAAAAAGGTCAATGAAATGAATATTGTCTGTCCAATCTTAAAAAAAAGACTTTGCTTTACAGTTGCTTAACCTGCTGGGCAATGATTTTAACAAAATGTTAATTTGATAAGTAATGACTTAGGCCAATGGTAAATATAATTTCAATGGCTTTTTTAGTTTTAGTAAACTTTTAAGCAGAAGAAAAGCAATTTATCTATGTGATGATTGTCTTTACCAATTTTAAGATTTAACCCTAAAGTTGGGACAATTTTAGACCCATCTTGACCAGGTTACAATTTAATGTTATCCATATATGAAAAAAATCATCCATTTCAGGTATCATTTGAATACATAACTTTTTTTTTTAATTGACAGTATCCTTGATACAAAACCTAATAATAATTGAATTGTAACAATATTTTTTCATCCCGCAAATCTTGATCCAAGATTCTTTGGATCTCAATGCTTTCACCTTTTTGAAATATAAGTAAACACAGTGTTGATATCAAATTATGAAGATCAAGTAACACTGAATTAAAAATTCTGGAGATCTAACTTTCTTTTGACAAAATTAACCAGAGGTCCTGAGAAACATTGAATAATGTTAACTTTTTATTTTTCACAAACATATAATTATCATTTTATCATTCTTGATAACAAATGATAACAGATAACATATAAGTAGCACACATTGGGCAATAGTAACTCATATACATATAACTGACTGTTTGGTCATTGATGGGGTAGCTAACCTATATTTCAGTGACTTGACTTAAATATTTCAAGAAAAGGGTCCTCTGGTAAAAAATAAATTTCCTCAGCTCAAACTAAGACATCTGATTGGTCAGAAACCAGCACAGGATTCACACTGACCAATCAAAACTCTGAGATTTGAAGTAGAAGTCAGAAATTTTTTTTTATAATCTTGAGGCTTAGATTTAGGTCATAACATAAAATTATTTTTGTTATACTGCCACAGTACAATGGTCCTTTGTGACAGTTGGTATTGTCATTGGTTAAGAATAAGTTTATTGCATCACAATATTAAATTTGTAAGTAAGAAACGCAAGTGAATGTCGCGTGGCCATGATATACCCCCGTTCTCCCTCTACAAACCAAAACCCTTAAAACATCATCCAAACATCATAAGTATTGACACAAATAAATTTTATGAACAATTTTTTTTATGTTTTTCATAAAATTTATTTTTGTCAATACTTATCATGTTTGGATGATGTTTTAAGGGTTTTGGGTTGTAGAGGGGGAACGGGGGTATAGTGTAAGTCATGGCCACGCCGCATTCATCTTTGGTAAGAAAGATATCAAATTATATTATAAAATGTAGCTATGTGCCTGAAATACTAAACAGAATAGCAGAAATTTTGCCACACTATTTTTTGACCCCCGAGTATAATATTATCATATAACTTTTGTAGGGGTCCACTAGGCAATGCTACAAACGAAACATCTAAGCTCTAAGAAATGTAGTTTTAGAATAGAAGATGTAACTGCATGTTCCTATATTAGTCTAGGTAAACTAAGTGACCCCAAGGGTGGGACCCATTTTGACCCCAGAGGCATGATTTATATCACTTATTTAGAGTCAGTCACAAGATTATGATATCATACAATCACAGACTCATCTATGTGCACTCTCTGCTATGGCGAGCAAAAATATCAGTTCTATTTTAGCTTAATTCAGCAATTATCAAAAACTTCATATTATTCTTTTAGAAAAAAATTCTACCTTTTTCAGCAAATTCAGCCTAAATATTTCAGCAAGCATGAACAAATCTAGTTGCTCTCTGGGTCTTAAAAATGTCAAAGTAGTTATCATAACAGCACTGAGCATATAAAAAATCATGTCAATAAAATAAATATAAAGATAATGTAAGAAACAAAATTAGCCTAAGTATCTTAAGATGTATTATCAAAACTTATATCAAAATCAAAATTGTTATCATAAACAACTACATGTAGATATGTATCTGATTAAAGCAGGCCAATAATGTGTAACATTATAAAATTTGACCTCACCTGAAAAGTACTGTAAGGATAATCAGTGTCATAGATAAAGACATATACATTGTCAGATGTTCACCCTTAAAATGCTAGTGACTTATTATAATAAATACATATAGATGTTATCCGGAACTCAGCAAATGTTGGTTTTCCCAGTTTTGTTTGTTTGTTTTGCAAGGCGCACCAACACAGTGTAGGTCATATAATGCCAAAACAGGACAGATGACTTTGGCTAACCTCAGGTGATACAAACTTAAAAACAACACAAATGGTCAAAACAACCTCACCTGCTGAAGCTAAAAAAGATACATAGACTCCAGTTGTATGAACCCGGGATTTAGTCGCCTCTTACAATCACACAGGGATAAACAGTGACTGCAATACTTATGCCTCAACCAGTAAAGACAATCCCTCAGCCAAAAGAAGCTGAGTTTCCGCAGAGGGATTTATTAGTTGTGATTTTTATCAATATATATTTCAGAAGTTTTAACTGCAAAAATTTATATGTATTATATGTGAAAAACCAATATTTGCTAAGTTTTGGAGTCATTCTATTGCCTAAGCCACCAATCTAGAGCCAGTCCAACATGTACATCCATACAGTTTGTCCTAACTGTAGGCTGCTTATATTTTGAAAACAAAAACCCTCATATTAACAATGCAAATAATTTACCTTACTTTTTGACAATTCTGGGGCCATAAATTTGTTATGGGTAATGGAATTCAGTATTTGAAGAAAGGAAGATAGATAGAAAGAAAGAGAAACTACTTCTTACAACATCTACTTCAAATCAAATCAAAATTGAAACTATTTACAAATTGCAGTCAAGGTTTAAAATGTATGAAGCAATCTGTTGCTTGTAGTTTAAAAAATTATTGTCCAAATTTTGTAAAATACCAGTTTAAAAGAAATATTCCATAACAGGAAAGTTGAATATAGCTAACTTAGTGTGTTTCAAATTCTAAGTAACCATGTGTCTTTCAAACTTAAAGTAACACCTGTTGAAGCTAAAAGATGCATAGACTTGAATAATATAAACCAATTAAGTCGCCGCTTACGATCATGCAGGGATAAATGGTGACTGCAATTCTGATGCCTTAACTCTTAAAGGCATCCCCTCAGTCACAAGGGGGATACAACTCTGTAGTGCATAATAGGATCTACCAATTTATAACAAGAGGGCCATGATGGCCCTTATATTGTTCACCAAACTATGAAAGCTCAATCCCATTTTATTTGGGCTGTGTGACCTAATTTTTGACCCAAAATGACCCTTATTCCAACTTGACCTAGAAATCATCAAAAAAATCTTTCTTACCAATTTCCAGGATATTTGAATTGAGGTAGTAACCCCTAGAGTTTTGACAAGGTTTTTCCATATTTGGGCTGAGTGACCTAGTTTTTGACCCTAAATGACCCATATTGGAACTTGACCTAGAAATCATCAAAAAAAATCTTCCTGACCAATGTCCTGAATATTTGGATCAAAACTACAGCCACTATAGTTTTAACAAGATTTTTAGCTCCTGTGACCTAGTTTTTGACCCAAAATGACCTATATCCAACCTTGACCTGTATTTCATTGAGACAAACATTCTGACAAAGTTTGATTATGATCCAATTAAAACTGTGATTGCTAGAGTGTAAACAACCGAAATGTTGGCAACCCAAAACGCCAGACAATATTAGCCCCATCACTATACCTCACCTTGACCACTTTATGGTCAGATGAGGTAAACAAGAGGGCCATGATGGCCCTGAGGTCGCTCACCTGTATTTAGGCCCCCGGAGCGGGGCTAGTTTAAACCCCAGGGCTTTTATTTGAACAAACTTGGAAGACACTCATTAGAAGATGTTTCATTTTGTTAAGTTTTTACTACACACATATAATGAAAAACAATGACCTCCCCCCCCCCCTTTGGCAGGGCCAATTTTAACCCAAGGGCTTTTATTTGAACAAACTTGGTAGACACCCACAAAAAGATGTTTCCTACAATCTAACCTGTAGCTTATTGGGTTTTTTAAAAGAAGTTTTTTTAAGTTTTTACTATACACATATAGTTAAAAACAATGACACCTCTGGGGCAGGGCCAGTTTTAAGCCCAGGGCTTTTATTTGAACAAACTTTGTAAACACTTACTAGAAGATGTTTCATGCTTAATATCTAAACTCTAGCTATTTGGGTTTTTTCAAAGAAGATTTTTAAGTTTTTTCTTTACACATATAAGGAAAATCAATGACCCCCAGGGCCGGGCCAATTTTGACCCCAGGGCTTTTATTTGAACAAACTTTGTAGACACTCACTAGAAGATGTTTCATGATTAAAATCTTAACTCTAGGTATTTGGGTTTTTTCAAAGAAGATTTTTTAAGTTTTTGCTATACACATATAAGGAAAATCAATGACCCCCGGGGCGGGGCCAATTTTGACCCCAGGGCTTTTATTTGAACAAACTTGGTAGACACTTATTAGAAGATGTTTCATGCCAAATATCTTAGCTCTAGCTCTATGGGTTCTTTAAAAGAAGATTTTTTAAGTTTTTACTATATGCATATAGGGAAAATCAATCACCCCATGGGGCGGGGCCAATTTTGACCCCAGGGCTTTTATTTGAACAAACTTTGTAGACACCCATTAGAACATGTTTCATGCTAAATCTTTGGGTTGTTTAAAAGAAGAATTTTTATGTTTTTACTATATGCATATAGGGAAAATCAATGACCCTCTGGGGCGGGGCCAATTTTGACCCGAGGGCTTTTATTTGAACAAACTTGGTAGACACTTATTAGAAGATGTTTCATGCTAAATATCTTAGCTCTAGCTCTATGGGTTCTTTAAAAGAAGACTTTTTAAGTTTTTACTATATGCATATAGGGAAAATCAATGACCCCCTGGGGGGCCAATTTTGACCCCAGGGCTTTTATTTGAACAAACTTGGTAGACACTTATTAGAACATGTTTCATGCTAAATATCTTAGCTCTAGCTCTATGGGTTCTTTAAAAGAAGTTTTTCAAGTTTTTACTATATGCATTAAGGGAAAATCAATGACCCCCGGGGCGGGGCCAATTTTGACCCCAGGGCTTTTATTTGAACAAACTTGGTAGACACTTACTAGAAGATGTTTCATGCCAAATATCTAAGCTCTAGCTCTTTGGGGTTTTTAAAAGAAGATTTTTTAAGTTTTTACTATATGTATATAGGGAAAATCAATGACCCCCTGGGGCGGGGCCAATTTTGACCCCAGGGCTTTTATTTGAACAAACTTGGTAGACACTTATTAGAAGATGTTTCATGCTAAATATCTTAGCTCTAGCTCCATGGGTTCTTTAAAAGAAGATTTTTTAAGTTTTTACTATATGTATATAGGGAAAATCAATGACCCCCCTGGGGCGGGGCCAATTTTGACCCCAGGGCTTTTATTTGAACAAACTTGGTAGACACTTACTAGAAGACGTTTCATGCCAAATATCTTAGCTCTAGCTCTTTGGGTTTTTTAAAAGAAGATATTTAAAGTTTTTTCTTTCGGTTGCCATGGCAACCAGAGTTCTGCATGGAATTAAATTCTTTGAACAATTTTTAAAGGTGACCACCAAAGGAACATTCCTGTGAAGTTTGGATGAAATTGGCTTAGTGGTTTATGAGGAGATGTCATTTAAAGTAAAAGTTTACGGACGACGGACGGACGGACGAAAAGCGATCACAAAAGCTCACCCTGTCACTTTGTGACAGGTGAGCTAAAAAGGTCCTACTAGTGGCACAAGGTCCCTGCAAGTTTAATTTAAATCAATTAAAAAATATACAGCCATTATAAAGGCAAGGCAAGACATATCTTAAACAAAACCACTCTATAAGGCATCTGACAAAATTATATTAAAATCCAAATCTTTAGATGATACAAGTTCCACACAGCTTTGCCTAAAATCAAATGAAAATAAAACTGATCTGGTGAAGGAAGGCAAATTATACTTATTTTGGGCCCTTTAAGGGGCCACAACTCAAACAAGCTGGTATCCAGCAGTTATATTCAAGTAACTGTGATCTTCTAGTGCTAGATTGGATTAAATCAAAATAAAAAATTGAAGCAGCTATCATTTGACAAACAAAAAATTTGTTTGTTTTTCTGTTGTTTTTTTTTGTTTGTTTTTTGTTTATTTTTTTTCTCCAATTTTAACATCTTTTGTGGTCATATGTATATGCTCTCACTAATGAGTTTAAAGTAGGCAGACAAACATATTAAACTAAATTTAGACAACACAGAAAGATGGCACTATGCACTCATGTGGTATGTAAAGAGTGAGTGAATCTGTTTAACATTTTCATAAACTGATTTATTCATTTCAATGATTCAACATGGCAACATAGACAAAACAGAAGCAAAACAGAAATACCATGTACATATATAGACATATACAGCTCTGATATATAAGCTTTGGTGTAAAAAAAGATATCATCATATCAATGTTAACACAATATCGAGTCAAAAAGACTCCCAAGTCCATTGTGAATAATATGAATAATACAAGCTTACAAAAATGTAAAAAAAAGATGGAAAATTAACAATTAATAGTGCCAGGAGAGCATTAATACTTAACAATAAATCACAATGTCTCCGATTAAATGATGCATAATATATTTTCACACCAAACATTTTGAAACAATGTGTCATACACATGTTCTATATCATTCCTGTCAGAAAATGAACAATTTTTTATCCATTTAATAATAAAACAAACTATCACAGATTAGGTATTTATGGGACTCCACTTAAGTTTTTTTTACATGACAGGTTTGGAAACTTTTTCTTCTTCAAGAATTATATACCATTTCACGTATGCCTGGATCAATAGCTTGTGCACAAAACTTCTGATCATTCCCTCACTCTTTTTTCTCCAGGATAAATATTTTAATTGTGAAAAATAAACCCCAAAATAAAAGCATTGAAAACTTTTAATTCAAATCACTATAAGAAAAACACAATAATAGAATGTCTAATTCAATTCTGAGTATAATTCATCATTATTCAATACATCATGTTTCCATTATGCTTTTATACACTTTTTTGTTTAAGTACCCAATTAATCTATGTAAGAAATTCAAATTCTATGATTTTAGGCGTTTGAATCTCTGGGGTTAGGATTTCAGTGGAGTCCCTCTCAAATTAAAACAATTCCTATATACAAGCATATATATGACTGTGTGCTTAGCAAATTAAAAAAGATCTAGATATATATTAAAAGGACAATATACATATAATTTGATAAAACCGACTGCATGTTACATGATCATGTTGTAGTGGTTCTTTTTAACAAAATTACATTAAAATTAGCCTATATCGTCCTATGTAAATAAAGAGACATGTACAAGAATTGTGCTCAAAGAATTTCTAAACTGCTTGTAAATAAAGACAATATAAAAATTTATTACTTAAACAAACTGAAAATTCTTTGCACTATTTCATTAAATCCTTTAAGTGCAGGCAACAATTAAATCAGGCCTTTATCACTAACGGGGCTGCAAATCTGTGCCAGCAAACCAGAACCTATACAGTCTACGATTCAATCTTAGTATTTCGATAGTGAGAAACCCTTAAACTACGCATTGACTGTTAAAAGTAAAAAGCAGGATGAGTTCTCCATATACATCCAGCTGGGCAATGGTTTATGCTTTATCTGAAAATCTGACAGAGAAATGTTTTCAATGTTTATTCTATCACATGGATTCAGCCTTCTGTGGTTCATGAGCGCCTTGTATGGTAGTTCTATGTAAGATCCTCACACCAACCTCCTCCCTGGGATACTGCGTCTCTGGTGTCGCTTCATGTCCAACGGCTAAGTTGTCTGAGATGATAAAATCACCTTCTTCCCACTGAAATGATAAAAGAAATCAAAGATATCTCTAAACACTTTCATCTTAAATATGACCCTAAAATAGCATGTGTACATGTACATGTAAGTATTAATGTTATATAATTGAATATTGATTGAACAAAAAAACAAGAACTTTCGGAGGACAGTAACGCTCGACTATTCGAAAATTTGTCACAAGGGTGTTTCATTGAGTATAATAATGCTTACCTATATGAATACATAAAATTGTCCGAAAAAGTACAAACTCTTCAAGTTTCAATACATTCCCTTCAGTAGTTATGGAGAGACAAGCTTACATGCAAAAACTTAACCAAGAATTCATGAGTCGAAAAAGGGGCATAATTATGCAAAAAAAGCAAATCAGAGTTATGGGACTTGTACCAATCATCTTAGATAATCACAGAGACCAAGTGTGTGAAGTTTCAATCCATTCCCTTCAGTAGTTATGGAGATACCAGCTTACATGCAAAAACTTAACCAAGAATTTCTAAGTCGAAAAAGGGGCATAATTATGTTAAAAAGCAAATCAGAGTTATGGGACTTGTGCCAATCATCTTAGATAATCACAGAGAACAAGTGTGTGAAGTTTCAATCCATTCCCTTCAGTAGTTATGGAGATACCAGCTTACATGCAAAAACTTAACCAAGAATTTCTAAGTCGAAAAAGGGGCATAATTATGTAAAAAAGCAAATCAGAGTTATGGGACTTGTGGCAATTATCTTAGATAATCACAGAGAACAAGTGTGTGAAGTTTCAATCCATTCCCTTCAGTAGTTATGGAGATACCAGCTTACATGCAAAAACTTAACCAAGAATTTCTAAGTCGAAAAAGGGGCATAATTATGTAAAAAAGCAAATCAGAGTTATGGGACTTGTGCCAATCATCTTAGATAATCACAGAGAACAAGTGTGTGAAGTTTCAATCAATTCCCTTCAGTAGTTATGGAGATAACAGCTTACATACAAAAACTTAACCAAGAATTTCTAAGTCGAAAAAAGGGGCATAATTATGAAAAAAAAGCAAATCAGAGTTATGGGACTTGTGCCAATCATCTTAGATAATCACAGAGAACAAGTGTGTGAAGTTTCAATCCATTCCCTTCAGTAGTTATGGAGATACCAGCTTACATACAAAAACTTAACCAAGAATTTCTGAGTCGAAAAAGGGGCATAATTATGAAAAAAAGCAAATCAGAGTTATGGGACTTGTGCCAATCATCTTAGATAATCACAGAGAACAAGTGTGTGAAGTTTCAATCCATTCCCTTCAGTAGTTATGGAGATAACAGCTTACATACAAAAACTTAACCAAGAATTTCTAAGTCGAAAAAGGGGCATAATTATGAAAACAAGAGGGCCATGATGGCCCTAGATCGCTCACCTGATTTATCAAACTCATCCAAACAATTACCTAGACAAGCATTCTGACCAAGTCTCATGACAGGTGAGTCAAAAATGTGACCACTACAGTGTTAACAAGGATTATCCATATTTGAGCAGTGCGACCTAGTTTTTTACCCAGGTGACACATATTCAAACTTGACCTAGAAATCATCAAAACAAACTTTTAGACCAATTTCAAGGATACTTGGATCAAAACAGTAGCAACTAGAGTGTTAACAAGATTTTTCTATTTTTAGCTCCGGTGACCTAGTTCCACATGCGATTTCGAACTCATCCAAGCAATTACCTATACAAGCATCCTGACCAAGTTTGATGATAATTGAGTCGAAAATGTGACCACTAGAATGTTAACAAGGTTTTTTCCATATTTGGGCGGTGTGACCTAGTTTTTTTCATCCAAGATGACCAATGTTCAAACTTGACTTAGAAATCATCAAAACAAACTTTCAGACCAATTAACAGAATATTTGGATCACAACAGTAGCCACTAGAGTGTTAACAAGATTTTTCTATTTTTAGCTCCGGTGACCTACTTTTTCATCCGAGATGACCCATGTTCAATTTCTTCCCAGCAATGACCTAGACAAGTTTCCTGACCAAGTTTGATGACAATTGAGTCAAAATTGTGACCACTAGAGTGTTAACAAGGTTTTTCTATTTTTAGCTCCTGTGACCTAGTTTTTCATCCGAGATGACCCATGTTCGAACTCATCCGAGCTATCACCTAGACAAGCATCTTGATCAAGTTTCATGATGATTGATGCAAAAATGTGACCACTAGAGTGTTAACAAGGTTTTTCTATTTTTAGCTCCGGTGACCTACTTTTTCATCCGAGATGACCCATGTTCACACTCATCCGAGCTATCAACTAGATAAGCATCCTGACCAAGTTTGATGATGATTGATGCAAAAATGTGATCGCTAGAGTGTTAACAAGGTTTTTCTATTTTTAGCTCCGGTGACCTACTTTTTCAGCCGAGATGACCCATGTTCGAACTCATTCGAGCTTTCACCTAGACAAGCATCTTGACCAAGTTTGATGATGATTGATGCAAAAATGTGACCGCTAGAGTGTTAACAAGGTTTTTCTATTTTTAGCTCCGGTGACCTACTTTTTCATCCGAGATGACCCATGTTCGAACTCATCCGAGCTATCAACTAGATAAGCATCCTGACCAAGTTTGATGATGATTGATGCAAAAATGTGACCGCTAGAGTGTTAACAAGGTTTTTCTATTTTTAGCTCCGGTGACCTACTTTTTCATCCGAGATGACCCATGTTCGAACTCATCCGAGCTATCACCTAGACAAACATCCTGACCAGGTTTGATGATGATTGAGGCAAAAATGTGACCTCTAGAGTGTTAACAAGGTTTTTCTATTTTTAGCTCTTGTGACCTAGTTTCTCATCCGAGATGACCCATGTTCGAACTCATCCGAGCTATCAACTAGATAAGCATCCTGACCAAGTTTGATGATGATTGATGCAAAAATGTGACCACTAGAGTGTTAACAACTAAATGTGAACGGACGACGGACGGACGACGGACGAGGGACGACGGACAATCATCGATCCTAAAAGCTCACCCTGAGCATGCTCAGGTGAGCTAAAAAGCAAATCAGAGTTATGGGACTTGTGCCAATCATCTTAGATAATCACAGAGAACAAGTGTGTGAAGTTTCAATCCATTCCCTTCAGTAGTTATGGAGATAACAGCTTACATACAAAAACTTAACCAAGAATTTCTAAGTCGAAAAAGGGGCATAATTATGAAAAAAAGCAAATCAGAGTTATGGGACTTGTGCCAATCATCTTAGATAATCACAGAGAACAAGTGTGTGAAGTTTCAATCCATTCCCTTCAGTAGTTATGGAGATACCAGCTTACATACAAAAACTTAACCACAGGGACGCCGACGCCGACAAATGGGTGACTGCATTAGCTCGATTATTCTGCGAATAGTCGAGCTAAAAATTCATAGTGTCACTGTGACCTTGACCTTTGAACAAATTACAGTGCACTCCGGATATAACGAGATCGTCGGGACTTTGCATGATTCTTCGGTCTAACCGGTTCTCGTTATAACCGGGACAGAACAAATTGAGAAATTCGACACCGTAGAACATCATTTATTTCTACTTTCGCTTTCGCGTAAATCCTTTTTGAAGAGCACATAATAGGAGGTAACTATTTGCACACAGTAGTTTTTTTTTTATTGAAATATACATGTAAATAAATATATCTAGCTATCATAGAATTTAAACAAAACATATGAAAACCCATACCACGTCAAACTGCGTGTGTTTTTATTAATATGTACATTTTAAATTTCTTTTTTTAAAAGTCACGCAGTGTATTTCTCACAAGCACCGAATAACACTGCAAGAAATTAGCCGCTTCCTTTGTGCTGATCACCCAATGAAATTGTTTTGTCAGCTAAAGGACAATTTAGCCCGGAGCGTTGACAAAACAAGACTGACACATTTGATTGCTAATTGCTCAATAATTTCTTCCTTAGTTGATCTTTGTTTTCTGTCACCATTGTTTTTCTCAAGTTGTCAAACTGATGCAGACGAAGTGCCAATGACGTGACCTCGTTCTGAAAATTACGCATGGGACGTAGAATATATGTACGTTGTAACCAATATCTCGCTAAAACCGATCTTGTTATAAACGATATAAAAAGAAAGGAAAATAGAAGGAAAAAGGCCGGGACACAGTAGAATGTACGTTATAAGCGGAACCTCATTAAAACCGATCTCGTTATAAGTGGAGTAGACTGTACCTTAAAATCAAGGTATTAAGGTCATCTACTGTCCAAGGGCAAAGTCCCTTCAATGTTTCAATTTTTTTTAGGATATTTCATTGATCTGGTAAAGATTTGACACAAAGTGTCTCTATGACATTGACCTTAGTTAATATGACCTTGCAACCAATCGTTGTCACCTTCTTCCATTGGCAATGTCCCAAGTTCAATAAACAATAGCTTTTACCTTTCCAAGTTTGTGGTACACACAAATTTACCATTTCTGTTTTGGAAATATTCTAGCAGAAGAAATACGAAAATCTCTATTGGTTTTCAATAGTTTGTATTCATCCACTAACCTGTATTATATCATGAACATAATGATGCACTTCTCGTGTATTTATCTGTCTACATTCTAGTTCCAAAAGTGACCTGCTAGTATATGGTCAGTTTATATTGAAGTCTCTCATATTATCAATGGACTGTCCCAATTTCAATACAAGAGCTGTCCATAAGACAGCATGCTTAACTTTTCTCTGTGCTTGACAGTAAGAAAAGGGGAATAACACTGTAAAAGGGTAACTTACACTGTAAAAGGGTAACTCAGAGTTATCACACCTGTACCCATCATGTAAGGCAATCACAGAGAAAAAGTTTGTAACATTTCAACCAATTCCCTTAAGTAATTTTCAGAGATACTAACTTACATGCATAAACTTAATCAAAGTGTAACACCAACGCCAGGATGATTACAATAGCTGTCCCTATTCTTTGGACAGTCAAGCTTTAACATGACAGCTTTAGCAGGGTATGTGTTGAAAATAAAGTAGATAAACACCTTATGTGAATAGATCAGTCTTCTATTATCTTTGACTATCTCATCATGAATTTCTTGCAGTAATTTCATAGTTTCCTTATGTTCTGTTATTCGCTGTTGATCAGTACCGTAATCCCAAATAAATGCCTCAGTCATCCCAAGATGAAAACACAAAGTCTACAATAGAAATACATATCTAAAAAATCTTTAATACAATGTACAAATATTCTACTTTTTTTAGCACAAAATCATATTTTTTCTGTAATATCAAAGATGTCATATTGAAAAATGATCATTTAAACAGATGCAAGAATAGAAAAATGTAACAGTTGAGTGCAAACATACAATCATAACTTACATATATGAGTACGTTACCCTATACAACTGCATCAGGGAATCGATCCTTTGGCTCAGTGGTTAAAAACATCACACTGTTGTATCTTTTGTAATGCACTTGCAATTTTCTGTTACAAACTTAAAATGCTCGTAAAATTAAGATAGGCGCTCACACCTTTGTGTTTTTGAATTTGTCTGAAATCCAAAATGTTTTCTGACCTATAATTGAAATGGTTTCTTACTAAACAAGATATGTTTGTAAAACATGTATGCCCCCTATCAGCAGCCAATTAATCATGTGAAAAGGTTATTATGCATGACTTCTGACCCAGTGATCAAACAATTAATAAGGGTTATCAAGTATCTACTGGTCATGACCTTAACCTTTGACCCCTTGACCCAAAACTCAATAGGGGTCATCTGCTGGTCACGACCAATCATCATACAAAGTTTGAAGTTCCTAGGCCTAAGCGTTTTTAGTTAATTGATCGGAAACCGTATAACATACAAGGTCAATGTGACCTTGACCTTTGACCCCTTGACCCCAAAATCAATAGGTCATCTGCTGGTCATGACCAATCACCATACCATGTTTGAAGTTCCTAGGCCAAAGGGTTCTTAAGTTATTGATTTGAAAGCATTTTTACCTACAAGGTCAATGTGACCTTGCCCTTTGACCCCTTAACCCCAATATCAATAGGGGTCATCTACTGGTCATGACCAATCACCATACCAAGTTTGAAGTTCCTAGGCCTAAGGGTTCTTTAGATATTGATCGGAAACCGTTTTTACCTAAGAGGTAAATGTGACCTTGACCTTTGACCCCTTGACCCCAAAATCAATAGGGGTCATTTACTGATCATGACCAATCACCATATCAAGTTTGAAGTCCCTAGGCCTAAGGGTTCTTTCGTTATTGATTGGAAACCGTTTTTACCTACAAAGTCAATGTGACCTTGACCTTTGACCCCTTAACCCCAAAATCAATAGGGGTCATCTGCTGGTCATGACCAATCACCATACCAAGATTGAAGTTCCTAGGCCTAAGGGTTCTTTCGTTATTGATCGGAAATCGTTTTTACCTACAAGGTCAATGTGATCTTGACCTTTGACCCCTTAACCCCAAAATCAATAGGGGCCATCTGCTGGTCATGACCAATCACCATACCAAGTTTGAAGTTCCTAGGCCTAAGGGTTCTCTTGTTAATGATCAGAAACCGTTTTTACCCAAGAGGTCAATGTGACCTTGACCTTTGACCCCTTGACCCAAAAATCAATAGGGGTCATCTACTGATCATGACCAATCACCATACCAAGTTTGAAGTTCCTAGGCCTTAAAGTTCTTTAGTTATTGATCAGAAACCGTTATTGCTTACAAGGTCAATGTGACCTTGACCTTTGACCCCTTGACCCCAAAATCAATAGGGGTCATCTACTGATCATGACCAATCACCAAATCAAGTTTGAAGTTCCTAGGCCTTAAAGTTCTTAAGTTATTGATTGGAAACCGTTTTTGCTTACAAGGTCAATGTGACCTTGACCTTTGACCCCTTGACCCCAAAATCAATAGGGATCATCTACTGATCATGACCAATCACCATACCAAGTTTGAAGTTCCTAGGCCTTAAGGTTCTTTAGTTATTGATCGGAAACCGTTTTTGCTTACAAGGTCAATGTGACCTTGACCTTTGACCCTTTGACCCCAAAATCAATAGGGGTCATCTACTGGTAATGACCAATCACCATACCAAGTTTGAAGTTCCTAGGCCTTAAGGTTCTTTAGTTATTGATCGGAAACCGTTTTTGCTTACAAGGTCAATGTGACCTTGACCTTTGACCCCTTGACCCCAAAATCAATAGGGGTCATCTACTGGTCATGACCAATCACCATACCAAGTTTGAAGTTCCTAGGCCTAAGGGTTCTTTAGTTATCACTCGGAAACCATTTGGTCTACGGACCGACGGACCGACGGACCAACGGACCGACGGACCGACAAGTGCAAAGCAATATACCCCCTTTTCTTCGAAATGGGGGCATAAAAATGAGCCACTCTACCATCATAAATAATGACTTTCTAGAAAGAGTGTGTGTTACAGTTGAATGCACTCCCATCTTCATAACTATGAGTACAAATCAAGGAATTGATTCTTTCTATCAGTGGACTAGAGCAATGCTACTTTCCCTTGTAAGCAGGTGGTCAGGAGTTCGAATCCCAGTCACGGCAGGACCTTTTCTGATGAATTTGAATCTTTCTGATATGCAATAAAATAAGTTTTTTTAAAATGTGATTTATAATTAAACAACTTTTTTAAAAGTATGTGTAAAGCTAAAGTTAATCATAATCATGAATATTACAAGGGTAAAGAAACTGGTGTTTTACTACATAAATCCATATTAAATAGATATTCTCCTTCACAAAGCAATTATATAATGATGATTCTTATTTTATTATAGTACATGAATTATATGACATTCTTACACGACCCGCATTTTTCCCTATTGAACATAGAAGAATCGAAAGTGTGTTGTTATTATGCAATAAAATCACTGTTGATGTTCTATATTTAGACATGTGACGTAACCATTATATACATGTGACATAACCACAAAAAATGCAACAAGCTGAAATAAGTACGGAAACATATCAGGCGCAATTTAGCTTAATATCAGCTTTGGCAGCATTTATTTGTTAATGTCGTGTTAGAAGCAAAATAATATATCCAAATCTGTGATTATATCGCTTGATAAAATCACTGTTTGTCTTTTGGCTACGCCCGTGTGATATAATTTCTAGCATCCAAACTCCAAACAGTGATTTTATTGAGCGATAAAATCACAGTTTGGGGTATATTATTTCTTAATTAAAGAAGGCTTAGCATCTTATATTTTTCAGCTGTTAAACATCTAACATACCCGGTACCCAAAATCCATGATCAAAACATTAATAAACACATTTTTGACATTTCTATAGACTTTAATAACTACAATGTATTGATTTCTGAGGCATAATGTGCCATTCACATCTTATATTTTTATAATGTATGTATGACAAATAAATAAACCTACTGGTTGTTTTGTGACTGGATGAGAGTATATCAGTGGGTGAAGAATTTTGTCACGTCTGTCTGGTAACATCCAGAGTCTTTCCCATCTGGCTCGAGTCTCTTCTGATAGTCCCTCAATTAACTCTTTCAGTGGAACAAAGTCTAAAATAAATCTTTTCAGATACAGGAATAAATTACATGAATAACTAACTTTTCAGTTCTGAATACGTCCATTCATGCACTTCAGAGCATGATCACAAACAACATTCTATATACATGCATAAAAACTGAAGGCAGGGGTATATGCATGCAGAGTAAAATCATCAGAACCATCAAATTCTAAATGAATGTTTGGGAAAGTCTAAACTGCATATCTGCTAAATGCCATAGCCATCTATATGATCTAAACATGGTCTCAATTGCAAATCTGCTGCCAAAAAATCATCTCTCCATTGTTATGTCTGCTATATACTACTAGACTATAATGCAAGGGATGCCTGTGTTAGTGGGTAGTAATACTAAGTAAGTGAAACAGCTGTTCATTAATAATTTGAGCTTTGAAAAAATTCTTAGTTACATACATTAGTATACAAACAAAGACACAATTGAACATCAGTGTACACCCAAATTCCAAATTTTGAAATGTACGCCCAATTTTTAATGACAGGGGGTACATTAACCTTTACAACTGAAATTGAGTGGACATGCTAGTTCTAATAGCTTTAGATAAAACAAAAAAAAATACTATTATTTTCTTTTCTTATTTTTCAATTAGAGTCAAACTTTTTCACAAACGGCAGTTTCACTTTCTGCACTCAAATATAGGTAATATTACAATGGAGTCTGCTACATATATATGGTCACATAAAAAAGTATGTAATGTCAATCATAGTTCATATTGTACCCATTTGTATTTTTACTATTTGCTACTTTGAAGCAGCAAGCATCTAGATTCATGCTTATTTTTGTAACTTGGTTGAAACTATTGGTCTGGAATAAGATTCCATAATAACCAAGAGATTTGGTTCTATACTTCTATCCCGGCGATGTCTATATATGGATCAGAGAGTTGAACTTGCACATAGTTGTTTGTATAGAAGAGAAATAAAATACATCTATGATCCATATAAAGACACCACCGAGATACAAGTATAGAACCCAATTTCTTGGTTATTATTGAACCTTATTCTAGACCTATAATTGCAACCAAGTTACATGTTCATGAACGTTTTAAAAATGTATTTTAAAAGAAAAATATTGTGAAGTGAACAAAGAGAGTAATTTACACATTGCAAATGACATTTATACATTTATACAATCCATGTAAATTAACAAAAACGGGTCAAAATATGCAAAAAAAAGCCCTCACTGTGATACTGATAGTCATGCAGTAGAAATATGGTCATAAATACTGCAAAATTAGTCATTGATCACACATTACATGCAAATTTATTATCACCTGAATTTTGTATCAGTGTACCTATCTTAAAATCTTAGTACATTTTTCTCAAGCTTGATTTTCTTGAAATATTTTGGCTCATCTGGAGGCTAGTCAAAATATATTGACGTGCTAAAGCTTGATTCTGAGATATTTTCGTTCCGTGGCAGAATCTCGCTTTTTTGTAGAGGCGAGATATTTCCCAGACACGAAAATAGCACAATATTTCGTCACGCAGTACAATTAGTTGGACTAATTTGGAAACACGCTGCTTGAATAAATGAATTATAACATATAGATCTAAATAAAGTTTCAAGACATTTACCAGTATTTCCAACTTTTGGAATCGATACCATGTGATAAATTGAATATGCAAAGGGTTTCTTCATAAAACTTCCATCAATATGCCATCCAGTTCGCCCAACATTGGTGCAGCCCTCTTCACGAATGTTTGATACTCGAAATACATCTGGATGTGGTGATTTAGGATGTTTGTAAAATGTTGATTCAAACTGTCCAAACCATTGGCTTATTTCAACATGTCTTTGACCAGAAACTGTGCCTTGATTTTTGAAAATAAGCAGACGATGCTTATGGACATCTCTTTTGAACTGGTCTATTAAATCGTCTGAGATGTCTTTCTTTAAGTCAACGCCCGTTATTATTACTCCTAGGGGGGTGCAGAAAAAACCCTTGCATGCCCTTTTTAACCCTGAGAAGTTTTTTAAATTTTCAGAAACCCTTTTTTTGAATTTTTCAGAAATTTAAAATTTTTTTGATTCCAAATTTAAACAAAAAAATTGTAAAATGCTTTTAAATTTTTGGATATTTTTTAAACCACCTGCAATTTTTTAAACGAATTCATCGGCTAATTTTGTAAAAATTTACCTAAAATTTAATTGGAACAAAATCAAAAATTTTTTTTTAGTGAATATTTTTCATTTTAAATTTTCACGAAGCGTTTTTAAATTTTGCATTTCAAAAGCTCGGTAACCCCCAAAACTTTTAAAAAGGGAGGTAACAGAACACAAAATTTATTTAAAAAAACCTAAAAAAATGAAATTTTTCCAGGGTTTCCCTTTAAATCGAAAATGACCTTTTTGACGAAAGTGAGCGAAAGTGCTTTTCAAAATATGACTTATAGCGTTTGAATAGAATTTTACAATAAAATTGCTGTTTGCAGACATATATGATTAGAAACTACAGTAATTATAATGTTGCACTTCCTGGATAATTGTACAAACGTGATGATTTTAAATGTCGCTCAATCGGTAGAGCAGCTATAATTAAGCTATGAAGGAATTCACCTACTTCATCATGTTCATGGCAGAAAGCTAACGGGCTTCAAAATTTTTTTGCTGTTTTTGTTTTCCTCCATTATTTCCACATCAGAAACTTGTTTTCCTCCATTATTTTTCACATAAGAAACTACATTATCATAATGAGCTTTTTGTTAAAATCGATGATTTATCATTGTACTTTTTAATCAAAGTATCTTCATCTCATTTGTTTCATCACGGATTTATATTACAAATCCGTGGTTTCATTCTCTCATTTTCTTTTCTTTCTCTTTTTTTTCATTTCTTATTAATTTTAAAGTAGGTATAATCACACGACGCCAGTGTTAGTGAGAATGCGTTTAATTATTGTTGTAATCAGGAAACGATTCTCTTTACAAAGGAGAATAAAATAAATCATTACATTAAATACAAATTAAAGATAATTATATCAAAATATAAAATACGTACAAACACAAGATATCTAATCATCAATCAAAACATCTGTATTTACCTCTTAAATAAATTAAAATAACACCATTTTCAACCTCATATTTCAGTTGTTTTTTTTGTCTAAGCTGGGACATACGATAAGTCCCGGGTCTAAGGGAGGGGACAGTCTTCCCAGACTCACCCCAATCACATACATTTTTCTTAAATCATTCATAATTACACGTATCGTCTAAATTTTTGTCACATGAACAAGATGCTGGCCCAATCTTGCACTGTCCAGTGTTTTTCTTGTTTTTGTCAAAATCTTCCACCCATATGTCTGTCAGCCCCCCCCCCCCCCCCCCCCCCTCCAAGAAAACCCTGTTCTGTATCAGCCCCTGAATCAAATTTTTTTTTTTTTTTTTTTTTAAATAAAAACTATACATGTAATTATTATCGGGATAAACATGTATGCTCACACTTGCCCAACTTAGATCCATAAATATTTTTCCGTGGTTTTTATTAAAATACTTATCCAACGGTTTTGTTCGTTTGTTATTACAGACCTTCCATTATAGATCAATTCACTTTTTAGCCGTAAATGGGTATAGTCATTCCTTGTGCAAGCAACACATATACAATGAACGAAGGACTGTAGAATGAAATTGATGATAATTAACATATACATAATATAATAACCTGTATATCGAATGAAATTCAAACATGATCAGGCAGAGTAAACGATTTTATGTAGTGGCGATTTCTGCAATAAACGATTTTTAGTAGTGTTCAACCAGAATATAAATAGCTATTTCGACTAAATCCAAAAATAGCTTTGTAATGATTGACAACGATTGGTTGGTATATTTAGATTATTTTAATGATATTTTTAGACTGCATGCGTATATATATATTAAAATGAAACTACGTTAAATTAGTTTAAATTCTGAAATAAATCTACTAACTGGATTGATATATTAAATAATATTGAGAGAACTTTGGAAAAAATATTCAGTAAGTTATTTTTCAGACATTCTTATGATATGCTTAATTATAATCTGCTTATACTCGTTGATTTTCACAGTCATAATTACATGTACAGTGCACGTGCATGTATGTAGAGAAATAATTGTTGATATTGATAAAATGATCTAAATCTAACATGAAAATAACTATTAATTTTATGTAGTAAAAACACTTTAAGAACATGGATTTCTCGCCTCTGTTGGAAAGGTTAGTGGACGGACTATACACATTGATCGATATATCTACATAATGATTTTGAATACATTATTAAATATATATTAATGTATTAAATGTACGCGTAGATCTATATAATTATGGGCTGCGCATTATTTTTGTCCGCCGCGTTTATTGTATTTGATTACTTGAAAGACCATGCATCAATGTGGCCATACCACGTGACTTTCCGGGTACGGAACACGCCGATTTTTCACCCGATTAAGGTATGTTTTTTATTCACAACTTATTTATTACTCAACCGATTTTGATCAGATAAGGCGCAGAGTACCCGTAATTATATCAGTTATCCACGGTATATCAAAATTCTGAAAACCCCTGAATGGTTTCTGAGAACATTCGAGTACAGTTTTCTTTTCATAGCCTGGGCCGAGGGGAACGGTACACACTCATTTGTCATAACAAGCAATTTCTAGCAAGTCATATGTTTTTTGACACTATTTTATAGAAAAATACATGTTAAATCTGATATATTTACTATGTCCAATGTATCGAGTGAATGCAGTGATGTTTTAGCATATTTTCATAAAGTTATGTTGAAATGGTACGGAACACACTGTTATTTCAAAAGATACGGTACACACACAATTTCTGTCTTTGTAATAATTCTAAAATAAAATATATTAAAATTTAATTTCAATTATAATGTGAGTGATTTATTTTCATAGTTATACATTTTATTAATTTAAACAAGAACCCAGGGACCTGTTTTGCAATGTATCATAATGCTTACTTTTAATGTTTATATGAATTTGTGCACTGTATTTCAAGAGATCACGCTTAACATTTACAACCTCCATGTAATTGTCCTATTTAAAATCACCTAGGGTAAATTGTGATAAACAAGTTAATCCATTTGGAGTAAAACTATTAACTATTTGCAAAGAAAATGATTTATGTATATTGAATGGTAGATTGGAAGAGGGTTTTTGTACTTATCATGCATTGTATAGAAATAGACCCGTATCTAGTATGGTCGATTATCTGATTACAGGCTGCGATAATTATAACACAATCAATGAACTGAAAATTTTAGAATTGAACGATTTTTCGGATCATTGTCCGATTAAGTTTTCCATTAATTGTTTTGTTGAAGGCACAGAAATTACTTCTCCTGTATGTGATAAAATTATATGGGATATTTCAAAGACCGACTATTTTCATAATGTTTTACAAAGCAAAACTATCCTGTTTGATGATATAAATGAGAATCTTTTATCTGGTGACTATGATATTAACCAATGTATAAACAATTTTTCTGAGCTTATTCATGATATCTCAGCTCAATGTTTCGGCAAAACTTTTAGAGCAAGTCCGAAGTCACGCAAACGTAAATCACCATGGTTTAATGAGGATTGTAGAAGAACTAAAGCTATTTTTTTAGCTTCGAAACGCTCATTTTTACTTAATATGTCTGATGCAAACAAATTAACCTTTTTGCAAAACAGAAGAATTTATATGAATTGTAAACGGAAAGCAAAATGAAAATTGTCACAATTGAAAAAAATGTCACAAATGAGTAAATCGTCCCCTAGAAAATTTTTGAAGTAAATATAAAAATTCAAATGCTCAAATTCGAACAACAATGATATAAACTTAAATGATTTTGAAAAATTATTATTCAACTATTTCAAATGAACCCCAATGTCAGTTTGACCCAGGAGCGTAAGATTGTGAGCGTGAAAATGTTCTTAGTGTAGAATTGCTAGATTGTCCTATAACATGTAATGAAATAAAAAAAACTATTTCATTGTTAAACCGCTATAAATGCGGCGATTTTGATAATACCGTTGCCGACTTTTTAAAAACGCAAAGAATTTCATTTCTCCATATTTATGTACAATCTTTAATCATATACATGATAATTGTGTATATCCTGAAGCCTGGATCAAGGGTGTGATTGTCCCTATATATAAAAAGGGGGATAGAGATAATCCCTCAAATTATCGTGGAATCACACTGGTAAATGTTATTGGTAAAATATTTTCTCTACTATTGAGAAATCGTATAAATAAATGGTGCGAGACCGAGAATATTTTTAATAATACGCAGTTTGGTTTTCGTGATGGTCGCTCTACAGCTGATGCTATATTTCTATTACATACTGTAATTCAAAAAGTTTTATCTAAAAAGTCAAAGTTATATTGCGTTTTTATTGATTATCAAAGAGCTTTCGATTCGGTAAATAGAGATGCCCTATGGGTTAAACTTATTCAAGCAGGTCTCAGCTGTAAAATGACAAATATGATTAAACTTATCTATAATAATGTACAATCATGTGTAAAAATATCAAATACTATGGAGTTATCTAACTTTTTTGATGTTACAATAGGATTAAAGCAAGGCGATCCATTATCTCCCCTGTTATTTACATTATTTATCAATGATATTGCTGAGAATTTGAACTTTGATACTATGACAGATAAGGATCTAGAACTTTTATCAATGTATTTAATTTTGTTTGCTGATGATATAGTTCTATTCACTACTGATCCAACAAGCTTGCAATCTCAAATAGACCAGATATATAACTATTCTGAAAAATGGGGTCTCAAAATTAATGTTAATAAAACAAAAGTTTGTGTTTTTGAAAAACGTAAACAAGTCAGGGGAAATGAGTTTTTTATAAATGGAGAGAAAATTGAATATGTTGATAACTTTACTTATTTAGGTGTCCGATTTACATATACTGGTAATATGTCTGGTGCAGTAAAAGCATTGAACGATCAAGCTCTGAGAGCCTACAACAATTTATTGTCTTTATTCGATAATATTAGTCTAGACATTAAAACAAAACTTAAACTTTTTGATTCCATGATAGCACCAATTTTATTATATGGGTCAGAGGTATGGGGTCTGTACAATTTTAAAGATGTTGACAAACTACACTTACGTTTCTGTAAATATATCTTAGGTGTTAAAAAACAAACTCCAACATCTGCCGTTTATGGTGAACTTGGCAGAATCCCATTATCAGTCATTTGTAAAGAAAGGTCTATAAAATTTTGGTTAAAGTTTATGAAAACTCCCGACTCCCCTATGTATATGTTATATAGAGACCTATGTAATAATGTAAACACAAATTGTTGGGCTTCTAAACTCCATTCAATTATTGATCATTTAGGTCTTACAAATATTCGCTTAAATTACGACTGTAATGCAAATTATTTAAGTTTATTTAAAAGTAGGATTCGGGACCAGTTTATTCAAGATTGGAATCATACAATTAATACTTCACCGAAATTACACTATTATTGTAAGTTTAAACAATTTTTTGAGTTTGAAGATTATTTAGTTTCAATTAGCAATGAGACTACAAGAAAATCTCTTACTCGCTTTAGACTTAGTTCACATAATTTGGAAATTGAACAAGGGAGATTTAATGGGATTGATAGACAGAATAGATTATGTAAATTATGTAATCAAAATGTTATTGAATCTGAGTATCATTTTTTGCTATGTTGTAATAAATATGATGATTTAAGAAGACAATACTTGGGAAATATCCCATGGCCAAATTTGCATAAATTCAAACAGCTTATGTCAACAAAAAATAAATTTAAACTTTTTAAAATAGCGAAATTTATAGATGAGTCAATGAAATGCCGAAACAATTATTTAGAATTTCTCACGGCTTCTTAACGAATTCTTAAATCATTGTCTCTTAAGTATAAAATTGATTGATTATTAACTTGTATTTTTCTGTACATTTGTTTGATTATATCAGTGTAAAATGTAAACATGTTTATAGTTATATTGCTGTTAAATGTCTTTGCCATATAATGTATGTGTGTAAATGGCCAAAGACAATGTTCATTGTCGATTTGCCAATAAACTTGAAACTTGAAACTTGTTAAACACTTCGATCTTCACAGAATCAGGTAGTTGCGCTCTATAGAAAGAAAATGTTGTTATAATGCTGTGTTTATTGTTGTTTATTGTTGTTTTTTATTTCTTTTAGTTTAAGTGAAGTAAGATATGTATTTTTGCTTCATCCTGAAAAAATAAAACAAGGTCATGACCTCAATCGCTGAAAAGTATCATTACTTGATAACAATTCATATATATTTATATTTTGTTAATAATAAGCAAGTCATTAGGTACAATTTTGCAATATCATGGTCATGTTCAATTAAATCAAATCACAGAAGGCGCTGAATTTGTTTGGGTCTCAGAATGTCAGAAAGGTGAAGGCTGTGAGATTGTAGACCAATTTGTTTTTGTATAGTGCCACCAATGTTGTTTCTAGTGTCATAACTGTAGTAAATTGACTATAAGGCTTATTGCAACACTGATATGTAATTCATTGTTTATTTGGCTTAAACAATTAAAAAAAAACAAAAAAAACATGGGTTGCCTTAACTTGGATTTGAACTCAGGACATCTCTCTTCCTAAACGAGCGTGTAACCCCTCGACCACGGGGAAGTTATAAGATAACAGCCTGAAGAAAACCATATCATTCTAAATTAGGGTTTGTAACCCTTATTAATTTCGTTTGACACTGATGTAAATAATCATGGAGCTTAATATTACATGTATATCTGTAAAGAATTACACAATATTTGAAATCTTTGACCAATCGGGAACTACTTTTTCTTCTCCCGAGAAGGCTTGAAAATTAATGCGCCCGTCATTTGACAATCTTAACACAGTGATCCCCCTTATTTTTTCAGCGTTAGAGTACATATAAAGGTAAGTAACCGCTTCCAGGGGTTCGGACTCCTTTCTTACTTTGCAAATAAGCATATCAGAGCCTGAAATTTCGCTACCATTATTTGTTTGGTCTGACGACCCAAACAAATAAAAATGTAGTCGCCATTGCTTAAATTTTTAGTATTCAAAGGCATGAAGCTTTAAAAATAACTTTTAATTCATGTAATTAGGTCATTTTTGGTTTGGTTTCACGGCTCATAAAATTGACATTATATCATGTGGCGACTTTCGAGTTTTACAAGTGCCCCTTTGGGTATAAATAAAGGAACGAACGAACGGACACCTGAGTAAAACGACCGACATTCTGTACGGTAGTAAGAAAACTTTCTCACATAAAAAATCGAAACATCGAAGTCACTTGTGGTCTCGTACCTACTTCATGTAGTATATAAAACAGAACGCTGCCTCCAAAATCCATAGCATTTGATTGACAAAATGGGTATTATTAAAATATCATTTTATTTTTAACACAAACACGCAAGCACACATATCCATGAACTCAAACTCAAAAAAAAAAACTTTAAACTTCCGTGATTTAAAAAAATCCACTTACATCAAAACCAGCGTTTTTTCTCCAAATTCGATTATTCAAACAACATTTTGCAAGGAACATATAATTCCAACTTACTCCTAACTTCTTGTTTGTTTATATATTCATACTACGTTTAGACAGTCATTTATATATTCGAACAAACAAATTAAATGAAATAATAATCGCACATAACAGATGTCCATGAATTTCACAATTCGCTTTATAATCCAAAAGAATATACCTAATTGTTTCAAATGAAAATCAAAACAAAACAAAATTTTGAATGTCTTCTGTATCCCTCCCTAAAATTTTAACATTTTATAGCCAAATATTAATTGCTCAACATATAAAATCGAATTTTGCGCAACGTACTCTCAAAATGTTCTTTCATTTTTTTAATAATCCTGTTTACATCAAACTGTAGGCATAATGATACTTTGCAAAACAGGTCCCAGAGTTCTCGTTTAAATTAATAAAATGTATAACTATGAAAAAAAAATCACTCACATTATAATTGAAATTAAATTTTAATATATTTTATTTAGAATTATTACAAAGACAGAAATTGTGTGTGTGCCGTATCTTTTGAAATAAAAGTGTGTTCCGTATCATTTCAACATCACTTTATGAAAATATACTAAAACATCACTGCATTCACTCGATACATTGGTCATAGTAAATATATCAGATTTAACATGTATTTTTCTATGAAATAGTGTCAAAAAACATATGACTTGCTAGAAATCGCCTGTTATGCCAAATGAGTGTGTACCGTTCCCTTCGGCCCAGGCTATGAAAAGAAACCTGTACTCGAATGTTCTCAAAAACCATTCAGGGGTTTTCAGAATTTTGATATACCGTAGATAACTGATATAATTACGGATACTCTGCGCCTTATCTCATCAAAATCGGTTGAGTAATAAATAAGTTATGAATAAAAAACATACCTGAATCGGGTGAAAAATCGGCGTGTTCCGTACCCGAAAAGTCACGTGGTATGGCCACATTGATGCATTATATTTATCATTGATGATGTAAATTCCAAGCAAAAATACTGTTTTGAACACAGCTGGACCGTTATGTTTTTTTTCTACATTATATATATATATATGTATATAATTATTTATTTCATATTTTTAATTTGACCTTTTTCTTTGAATGCAGCAGTTTAATGAGACATTTTTAATGTTTTATATAGACAATAACAGACATTTTTTATAAGTTATATTTTTTTATTTATAAAACTTTTAAAAAAAAAGGAATGTTTTTAAATATACAGACAACGAGAACAGGATTCTTGTGAACACATCCACATGCAACAACAAAATATCGTGCTGATCTGTACGAAGATAAGGCAATAAGTTTAGTTGTATAAATTGGAAAAAAGAAAAGAGTTTAGATACATTAACATGCCTATTTGTAAATGTACATGTTCTTCACCGGCATTTCTCCATAAAGATCAATTCATATGTTACATTTTTACGTTACATTAATTTTGTTCTAGTAATGGCTACCAATCTGAAGTTAACAGTGGTAGGTGATGGCGGCGTCGGCAAAAGCTGTATGCTGATTTCTTATACTACTAATGCATTCCCGAGCGAATATGTACCGACAGTTTTCGACAACTATTGTGCCAATGTTATAGTAGATGGAAAGGTTGTAAATGTTGGACTTTGGGATACTGCTGGTCAAGTGAGTATAAAAAGTTTATTTGGTCCCGCAATCATTATAAATAACGTTTTGGATAAGTTTTTTTACCAAAGAAATATACTTAAGATTTTTTTGTTACTTCTCCAAAACTGTATAACATATGTACGAACGTAAAAAGAAAAAAACAACAGATTATATACATTGATGCTGACAGGTAGAAATATTTGATTATCTGTTACAAAATTACAATACATCAGCTCAAATCTTTTTGCTTCAAGTCAAAAGCATATCATCAATATGAACCTAGCTAGTATTTTTAAATCATTTATTGCCCCTCGCCTTTTTACAAGAAAAAAGAGGACTCCGTCAAAGTTCCATTTAATTTATATGGGGGACGTTGGCAACTCCTTTATAAATTCTAGTTGCTGTTACAATTTTTATATGTAGCTTATAGTAAAAACAATATGAAAATTACAACTACATGTATGTATATTTTCATTCAGGAAGATTACGATCGTCTTCGACCATTATCTTACCCTCAGACGGACGTCTTCTTTATTTGTTATTCCATTGAAATGAGGTCTTCATTTGAGAATGTTCAGCATAAATGGGTTCACGAAGTGCGCCATTATTGCCCACATGTTCCATTGGTTCTCGTTGCTTGTAAGATGGGTAAGTATCACAACCACGTGACCAAAACTTCTAAAATTAGCATTTACCCTCATAAAATCGCTGTGAAGTGCTGGACTTGTCTAGCTAATATTTTGAATTAATTTATTTTTAATCGAAGAAATTTAAGAAAAAAAAATCTAAAGCCAGTTGAGTTGTATTGGACCTGACCTAACAGTTAACTGCATGTTTAGAGCTATAAGCAAACTAAATAAGAGTAATTATAACATGGCGAAAAAATTTAGCATTCTTAATTAAATATTCTGACTTTCTGGCTTTAATTTTTTGTGAATGTAACTTTTCAAACAACGATGACAACAACAACAATAACTGTAGCAGAATCCATGCTGTTCGCTTACAAACCCTATAACAAGTAGAGAAACTGATAGCGAACAACATGGATCCTGATCAGACTGCGCGGATGCGCAGGCTGGTCTCTATCCATGCTGGTCGCAAACCCATTATGTTGGTTTTGTCATGGCGCAGCTCAATTGTTTATAACTTAAAAATCTTTCAATGCAGATTTAAGAGGGACGAGTTCTCGTAAAGATATGGTCAGCTACGATGAAGGTCTTAAAGTAGCAAAGACTCTCGGAATGAGATTTTGCGAGACTAGTGCGTTAACTCAGCAAGGATTGAAGGATTGTTTTGACGATGCTGTAAGTATTTTATGACATTTTTGGCTAATATTTACCTAAAATGAAAGTTAAATAACTGTTATACTGACATTGCAAGTGGAACAGACAGACATACTGATATGTGTATAATCTACAAAAAATAAACAACTATTTTTATCTGTTGACTATTAGTGTACCACGTTTTCATAACAACCAATTCTTTTCTTTTCAACAGATAAGAACTGCTCTAAACTGTCAACCGTCTGCAAAGAAAAGGGGCGGCTTGTTTGGTAGTAGGAAAAAAGAAATTCCAAACCCCCCTGTCATGCCTCAGACTGGTAATTTTTGTTTTCTTATTATTCGTGTATTTTTTAAGACTAGAAACGAAACTCTGCTCCTCAAATATGCTTGTATATATGTTCTTTTGCAGCTGATACTGTTGTATTAGTTGTTATAATAAAAGGTCCCACCTATGAAATATAATAGAAAAATAATGCTTAATGTATTTTGAAATAAGATAATGAATTACATTAGTTGGTAAGCATATATATCTAAAGACATTAAGTATGATATCTTAAATGCAACAAGATGTATTAATCAATTAAAGTATTACTATCCACACCTGCCCTATTGTAATGATTTATATAAAAACGGTCGACAAGGTTTTAAAATAAGATGTATCAGTAACTGTAAATGTCTTTTTGCACAATTTTATTTAACATATACGTTATATAATTCAGGATTTGCACCAAAAATTGAAATAACTACATCTACCTTTGGTGATGAGTGGTACAGGATGCTTCAAGATCCGAAACACTGTGACGTCACGTTTGTTCTAGAGGAAAAGCATCGTCTGGACGCGCATACAACAGTTCTATGTGCGGCATCAAAAGTTTTCGCAAAAATTCTTGGAATTTCAAAACCTATGAAGGTAATCAGATTATGAATAATTTTTTATCAGGTACATGATAATTTGTAAACAAATACATGTATATGAAAATTATGAAAATGAAAAAAATCTCTAGAATCTTTTAGAAACCGGAGGTCTTCCTATCTCGTGATTATTTTTATTATTTTTTTACAGAATAACCAAATGAAAGAAATAAACGCCATTGACAATTACAGCATGGAGCAAATAAATTCTGGCGCAGTACAAGGAGTTGCCGCAATGTACCTTAATGAAGCAGACGACAAAAATCAATCTTCTGCAACCAGTCGTCATATAAATATAGAACTAAGTGCAGACATATTAGCCAAAACATTCGTTCGTGTCCTTGAATTTCTATACTCAGGTTTGTTTCCTTTCAATTGTTACATCTAAGGAAACGAATTCAATTAAATTTGATCCTGTCACTCATTTTTTATGGTATTGTGTCATAAATATAATGCTCAAATGAAGAATTATCAATATTGTAAGTTTCAAAAAGCATTATTTGTAAGGATATAACAGAATTAACATATATCATGTAAATAAAGGGATGTAATAAGAAATTTATTTTCGATAAAGTACAAGTCAATTTTTTTCAATAAGAAATGAATGCATATATTTTAATGATTACTTATAATGCGAATAAACATTTGCAGTATATATTTAACATATTCTTGGATATTTGGAAATTGTTGTAGAAGGATAATTATATATACATAAGATATACAAAATTTCACTTAAGCGTTATTACATTATTAATTACAAAATACAGGATCTTTTAAAGAATTATTTTTGCTGTTGTTGTTGTTTTTGTTTTGTTCCATTTTTCATAAAACAATTGCAGATCTCATGGCTAAGACGTTCTGAAATTTGCTTTAAAAATGCACGTGATTATATGATTTGTTACTTAATAAACTCTATCATTTTTAAGTTTAATAAATCTCATTTAAATTTTGAAAATCGGCATTTCTTCATTAATTTACTCTATCAATTTTAAGTTTAATAAATCTCATTTAAATTTTGAAAATCGGCATTTCTTGATTAATATGTTAATTTATGGTGTACTTTGTTTACAGGGGTTCCACGCTTTCCCGATATAGACGATGTTTCTGAACAGGAAATCCGGGAACTTGAGCGCGTGGCAGGAATATTCAAACTATCCCAATTGCAGACGATATGCACAAATATTTTAACGGAACAAGAATTTTTGAATCCCAGCATCGGTACATACTTGAATGATGAAACGGGAGCCAGACTTAAAGAGCTCTTCTTCAATCAACCGGATAGATCGGACGTTGTTTTCAATGTGGAAGGTTCGGAAATGCTTTGCCTATTTTTATCTTATAGTCATAGCGCTATGTATTATGACTGTCGTTACAGAATTAAAGATAAGGAAAATTAACATTAATTAATTTATTTATATTATAAATAATTTTCAGCTGTTTAAAACTTTTCAAACTAAACCAAGATAAGGGCCATCGGACGAAATAATATAATGGACCTTGTACGTGTTTAACATTTTAATCGTCGAATGTATATTTAACAAGATGTTCTAATAAAATAATTATTAATTATTTCTATTATTTACAGGAAAGTACATATACGCACATAAATGTATATTGAGCGCTCGGTGTGACGTCATGTCAGCCATGTTCAGCGGAAACTTTGTAGAAAGTAAAAATAACAGAACTGAGGTTAGTCAATCAAACTATTTCTTTGTTTTTGTTTAGTTTAATGCAAAAATGCCGTTTTTGAAACATTACCAGATTTAAATGCAAAATCTAGGATTTACTACATGTATATATCATATAGCATCTTGAATTACATCTAAGTAATTGGTCTTACATTCAAGCAATCGGTCATGCATTTTTTTAGAACATCTACAAGCAACGTTTCATTCCATGATTTTCTGATCAAAATTGTCGAACTTTCATATAGTTCTAGCTTCCAAAACTTTATAAGCCGCTATTTAACATTTTTGTTTTTCATCTGATGCGGCATTCACGTCATGTCATAGTATATAAACGGGTACGCTGAAGACCTTAAGCTAACTTTCATATACTATTAGATCTATTTTGCCAACTTATTTTCGAAATTTAATATTTTACTTTTTCTCTTTTACTTGCATAACGGAGACTTCAAACATAGTATGAATTATGCACACTGTGACAAGTAACTATTAGTTATTTCACATTGTAACTCCTCTGTAGAAATTAGAATAAAATTTGGTTATTTTATATTGTCATATAAATCTAGTGCAGAGATATTCAAACCGAAGCTAAAATATGAAATAGCTTGAGATCTATCAATGATTTGTGGAGTGTTCAATGATAATCAACGCTATACAATTACATTAACAAACTTACTATCAAAACGTTATACATCGTCGGATACCCACGATTGATAAACATGTCACATAACATGCAATCAATGTTAATGGTTCGGCCGTGGGTATCCGACGATGAACGTTATATTGCAAAGCACGTAATTACGTATACTTATTATATACATAAACTTTTTCCATTATAGATTCACATACCAAACGCGACTGAAGAGACGTTTCTAGCATTTTTAGAATATCTATACACTGACCACTCCCCTATAGATGAAAATGACGCTGTCGGAATACTCGTGCTGGCAGATGAGTACGGACAACATCGTCTGGTTAACCTTTGTGAATTGTACATTACTAAAGAAGTGGACAGAAGTGTTACGAAACAGATTGAAAAATCTGAAATTGACGTCATAGGCCTATTACTGACATCACAGGTAACTGTTATTTTTGAATTGTATTGTATACAATATACAACAGGGATATAACATATTGATATTTCAACAGGGTCCGCACTCTCAGTGCCTAGAAGGGCGGATGGACGCTCATTAAACCTAGGATCCAGATATTTCAACAAAAAATAATATATACAATTCAAAAATGTTATCTGATTGCATTTAAGAAGAACATCGAGATAACCTTCTTTTTGACAAACACAACGTGTGAAGAAGCATTAATTACATTACATTATAAATGCATGTACATAGATTTATCATGTGTTATAGTTTCCTGTAGTTATATTTATCTATGAGTATAAAAATATGCTGGTAGCATGTGTTAATACATTCCATATATAAGGTATTTTCAATATTATTTATTGCAGGCATACGATACCGATTTTGTAAATATAATTTTAATAGATATTCCTGTTTTTCCCCTTTTTAGGCATACAACGCAAAACAGTTGGCAGACTGGTGTTTATTTTTCATCTCCAGTAATTACATAGCATTCGAGCAACGTAAAGAATTTTCACAATTGAAAGGAGAAAACAAAAAGCAAGTTGTGGAAAACCGATGGCCGCCAGTGTCATATCTACAAGAAGTGGAAGAATATAACAAGAAATATGGCGACAAATCGGCAGATAAATGTGTGGTCATGTGACATTTTAAGTGCATATTGGTATCTTGTCATGTCACACACAGTCTTGTTCCAGTCACAAGATACAAAAAGCAGACGGATGTGCATTATTTCCGAATTCTATGAGGCAGGTCTCTGCGCATTTCGATCGCGCATTTCCGTTTTTGAAGACGCGCGTTCTTCGATAGTCCGTGACAGTTTGACAATGGCGATTTCTTCACTAGCATGTTGACGTTAGAACTTTATGTAATTACGTCATGTATATCTAAAGCTGCCGTCAATGTCCTACAAGCAATAATTATGTCTGACAATGCTGACACAACCTGGAAAATGAGAACACGTTTTATCAAGTACATATTCGACATAACATTGCAAATCTACAATACAATTACCCCATTTCCAACAGTAAAAGAAAATAATTTATTAATGATTATGAGAATTTTTGCATCACATATGTTACTTTAAGATTCTATGTATATTGTATTGTATATTGCTGTATCCATGTAACAATGCTATGACTGAAAGATTCTGTTTTTATTTGACAAAGTTTTTATTTGCTCGTTAACGTCACGTTCCGTTTAGGGTATAGTTAAACGGACGTTGCGTAATTTGTTATATATACACGTCATTTTTTCTGAAAAAGACAAAATGTTGAAAGCTAAAGAAAGGCGTTTGTTTTCATTGAACTGGTAATATATCTCCAATAGCGAGTCAGTCAAAAAGTTGAAATCCATTCCGTTGAAGCCCAAAAGCTACTGTAGTCAGAGATCCGAACAACACTAACAATTCTCTGGTACAAATACCTGCAAATACGCGGGCTTCAGAAACACTGTCTCTGCTTTAGCAAAGCCCTAAACATGCAAAATATCACAAAGAAACTGGTGCTTCGCCTTGTAGGTTTTTGCTATTGTTAAAAGTTTTACCATGTGCAATTCCACCATAAAACGGCAGCCAACTGTTCACTGTCAGATTGGCAGTTACAGTTTATATGATCAATTCCGAAGTACTCCGAAAGAACACACAGAAATGCGCGCCATTTTGCAGAAAAGTTTGCTTAACTAAATTTTACGAGAAACAATATGTTTTCTTATCCTGTGGTTATTTGATGCCTCCAACACCAGTAGTAAATCATTCTGTATTATAGGTTTTAAAACAAAATGTAAGACCTCTTTATGGAAGGCATTATGTGAACTTAAGTTTAGGATAACACAGACTGACAGTGACAGCCCGTTAATCAAAGTAATAAAAATTCCTTAGAAAAATTTATGCCAAGTGATTCAAAATTTTTGAGGTTTTATTAAATACAATTAATTTTTGACATTTTGGCCATCTGCCCTTGAAGAAGTTTATGAACTGTGACAAACAATTTTAACGGAGCCCCTTTTTTGCTTTTATGGATTTTAACCCCTTTTTGGGGTGTTAATTGATCTGCTACGTTACTTGATATTTGGGGGATTCTTGAAAAGTGGTAAAAGCGGCCTCCATGTTGGCCTTTGTGCAAAAATGATAGAAATTTAAAAGGGTTTTCTTTTATTAAAAGAACAAAAAAAATGTGGAATTGAAATTTGTTGTACCAGTTCCTTTATTTTACAATCAAAAAGTCTTTACTTAAAAAAATAAAAAAATACAAATTCCCCAAAATAGTTTTAAGAAAAAAAATTCAAACCCCAATCTGTGTAAAAAATTTCTGGGGAAAAGTTTAAACATTAAATTCAATTTCTTGGATATTTTTTCAAAATTTTTATAAGAGTTTGCCCCATTACTTTTACTTTTAGAACAATAATTGGGTTTTTAAAATTTTAAAAAAAATCCCAAAATATTTACAGAAGGGTAAACTCAAGGAAATTTTACAATATGAAAATATAACTTTTTCCCTAAATCCGATATTTTGTATCAATATCTCTCCCAACGTAAAAATGGTTTCCCCACAAAAACAAAAAACTGTAAAAAAAAACCCAAATGTTATAGGGAAAGTTTTTATCAAAAATAGAATGTGCAGCAACTCTGCTTCCCATTCCCTTCCTGGATAAAGGGAAGTTGTGACGTGAATAAAAGCCCCATACTTTTGTAAAAAGGTTTATATATAAAGGCAATAATTATACATGTATAATCAACGTTTACTGTAACGGATCGCCGTTTCTATGTTTAATCTTAATGCACAGTCATTCCTTAAATGTTTAAATTTTAAAGCACAAAGTGGTGTAATTTCCCCCTATGCAGCGCCAACGATATAAATTTTGAGCCAAAAGTAGGTCCTGTACGGCGGCCAATGGAACCCAAATGTACAGAAACCTGAGACATAAGAAAGGAGGTAGCCCCTTTAAAAAGGCTGTTGGGTGCAAGCAAATGGCTGTCTTACAGCTGTCATTGTACAGGGGCTCACGCCCCCTGTACCTCCCCCTCCCCGACTCTCCCCTTTTTTGTAGGGCCACTCCCTCGGCTTTGTCGGGAAAACCCCAGCAGTAATTCATGCAAGTTAGTGTGCCGCCTTAAACGTCCCCTCCGAGCTGTAAAAAAAAACTGCGAAGTTTGTCTTACGCGTAGCTGGTTCTTAAATTATTTCGATGCCCTTCTTTGGTCCCCCTTTGGGGGAAAAGAAAAGGGACACGATTATTTGTTTTTCGACTCTTTATAGCCATCCCTGTATCACCCAAATTTTAACTGCATTTATAACTCAATTTCTTTTCAGCCAATTTGCGAAAAGGGATCCTCGGTGGGTTTTTTGTTCCCTAGAAAACGAGATAACTCATTAAAACAAATCAATTTAGTTATTGTCCCCTAGTTACGTTTTTCCCCTTGGAAAACCCCATTGGGGAACCCAAATTTTATGGTGCCAAAGTTTCAAATTTTGGCTTTTTAAATTAACCAATTTTAAATCCAATTTAAAAACGCCCAAAAAGGTTAAAAAAGTAAAAAATTTTCCGTTTTTAAAAAAAATCCTTTTTTTGGGCCTTTTGGTTCGAAATTTTAAACAAAAGTTTTTAAAAACCTTACAAAAAAATGCGGCAATTGGGGCCTTTTTGACCAAAATTTTTTAAAATTTTACAATTGCAATTTTACCGGGCAAATGTGCTTCTATAAACCTTTAAAAAAAGGGTCGCCAACTGCTGGAAAAAGGCTGAATGTGCAAGCGCCGACTTTGTTGGTGGGGGATAGAGGGTATTTTTCAAAATTTGAAACCATGTGGGGTTTTATTGTTTTAAAAACCCCCTTTTTTAAAATACAAAATATAAAAGTAAAATGCGTTACATTCGCAACGATTTAATTTAATGGTAACATTTCAAATTTTACCCTATAAACTAATACCTGTATTTACAATTATTTCAAACAAGACACGGGTATTACACGAACAAATTTTGCTAAATTATGATTAACTATTACTTTTAAAAAGAGGTCTGAAAAAAAACATATTTTAATATCTTAAAACAAATATTAAAAAATATTCTGAAATAAAAAAGCGTATTTTCATTTACCATATTTTCACTGCAAAAATTAATTTGTCACAGCAGTGAAAAATTTTCCGGGCTATTTCTTTTAAATTCCCTAGCAAATACACAAAATTCGGAAAAGGCTTTCAATTGTAAAGTCCAAAAAAAAAAAAAAAAAAAAAAAAAAGAAAGAAAGAAGAGAAAAATGTTATGATTAAAAAAGGAATTTAAATTTTTCTTAAAAAAGGATTTATTTTTTTCTTGTGGAATGATAAACAATTACATAATTCTATCACTCGATGAAAATAAAACCTGATTATAGAAAAAAACTTAATTGTTTTTTCTTGTGTGGGGATGATATATAAAAATCTAAAGTTTTTTACCCGCGAATGCATCAGCCAGTGGGGGTTTTTAAAAATTGGAATTGGTTTGGGGGGGTTAAATTTCAGCAGAAATTAATCCGTCTTTATTAATAGGTTTTTTGACCGTCGTCGTCACGGAAACCATAAAAAGGACCAAGGTAGATGTTATTAACACTTTACCGGGGTCTCTTCTTATATTTGGTCAAGGGCCATGCTGACAAAACATTTTCCCAATAATTTCGTTGACTCTCCGAAATTATAATTTTCTCAATAATCTTTTTTATCGTTCCGGCTTCTAATGACTTAAGCAATATTTTGGGTCATTAAGTGCAATCCGAGCCTTTAGTTTGACTACACACGGCCACAAGGGGACGAACGCCACTTGTTGGTCTCAGGTCTCTACAACATCAACTGCCATTCGTCACAACCCTTTTTTACCTATTTCCCTACGGACATTGAGAGTGTACGTCACCACATGCCCCCGGGTATGTTAATTTTAGCCCGCTTTTGCGCACCATTAAATTCGCGGCAAGCACTGAACATAGGGGATGGTTTCTCAATCCCAAATTGATTATTGATCGTAAGCATCATCGGGGAACTCCAGTAAGGTACTCGTATGTTTGTTGTCATAAATGGTATGCCGAGAAAGCATTATTTTCTGTGTCAACCTGCCATTTGTTACGAGAAAAACCCTGCAAATAATTCTTGACTCATATCTTTGGAGTGGTCACCTGAACCCAAAAGCATTTCCTCCCGATCTTCAAATTTTTGTGCAGTAATTTTCCAAAAAGCGGGTAAAGCTGCGTCTTTTTCGCTTTAAGTTCTCCCCAGGGGAAACTTCAAGAATAGTATTCTGCAATTACCAAAGTTAAAAAAAGTAAAAAAATTCCCCAAAAAAAAAAACAAATTTACGTCTTAAAGGTTAAGTCAATAAATCGAAGAATTTAAAATCCCTAAGTAAACGGGAACCCTTTTCCCAAGTAAAAAGGGGACTGGGGTTATTCCTTGTAAGATGAAAAAACAAGACAATAAAAACAGTCCTTTTATTCTTCCATCAAAATTAGATTTCCATTTAAATTTTGCATCAGCTAGTGATCTGGGAAAATATCGGGTAAAAAGGAAAAGTTATGTAATTGCTAAAATTGGGCCAATATCATGGATATTGTATTGGGGATTAAGCTTAAATTAAATAAATATATACTTGCAGTTTTAACTTAA